TATGTGTGTAAATTCTTGCAACTGTTGAGATTTTAAAAAAGAGGATGTGCCGGGATAAATATCATTTAAACAGTTACCTAACAACACAAAGTAAAACAAATTATACTTCTAGAGAGACTAAAGTTATCTTTTGCAATGGGTAAGCATTCACACCATTTGGATGCATTCTAATTTAGATAAAAGTTATAATGTTTAATTGTTTTATCAATTGTTAAAATGAAAAAAAGTTGTTCTCACCAGTATTTTCAAAAATCACCATGGGATCTGAAAAGCAATGTTTCTTAAAAATTGCATCACCATTTTCATGATAAATTCTATAATTCAAAAAGCACCAATGTGAAAAATATACATGTAGTATTATGGTATCACAATGCTCTTAGGCCTTGTGGAAGACACTGCAAAATTGCTTTTACAGATATGAAACTCGGGTAACTTTGTGTGAAATTGAGTTTTTCTTCAGCAATTTCAATATGAGTAGTGATCATTCTATTTGAAAAATCTTTCATTAATCCAAGTAGAAGTTGACAACTTTCAACAGAACAAGTTAACCAGTGAATTGTCACTGCTGTTAAATGTTTCAGTACAAATTAGTTAAAGTTGACTTCCCTGTTCTGAGTTAATTTGAGTTTTGCTGATGAAACAGATTATAATTGATATAGAGTATCAGTTTCTGCATTGATTTGTGGGTAATTTTCTTTGTTGTAGACAGGATATAACAAAGTTACTGCTTTTCACAACTTCCTTAATTACCCACCTAATTGTAAGAATCAATATGGTTTCCCTAACTAAACATGGAATGCCTTTATGAGGTAATTTTTATAGTGTTTAGAAAATGTAATGAACTCAAAACTGATAAAATTAATTCGGTTAAGTAAAGAGTTAACATGTCGTCTGACAATTCGGACTCTCCAAGGTGTTAATGATGCCTTTTGGTAATAGTGTTCTATTATTGAAGGGTCATATAGTCTTAGCTACAGCTTACTGAGTCTGAACAAGAGACTGCTGTGTGAGAACTAAATTCTTTGATCATTTTGAAAGTCACATGTTGAAAAGTATGACCTGGTAAGTTGAAACATTTACCTTTACCTGCTTATTCCTCCTTTGAATTTTGAATGTTATATTATAGTAGTTTTCCAGCTGAAGGTCAGTGGCTTTCTCTGGGCACTCTAGCTGCCTCCATCAATAAAAACTGGCCACCAAGAAATAGCCAATAGTGCTGAAAGTGGCGTTAAAACAACAAAAATCAATCAATATATTATATACAAACTCATCATAGAAATCAGGATTAAAATTTTGTATGCCAGATGCAGTTTAGTCTAGAAAAGATTCATCGAATAAAGAAAATTAAAATATGCCAAATAAAGTAAAAAGTTGAATAATATTGAGGACATAAAATTCCGAAAGGTTACTGCCAAATACAGCAGCTAATTAGGTAATCTACTACTGGGAGAGACAATCCCAAGTGTTCATCCAGTCTTTCAATATTTTTGCTTTTACTAACCTAATGTGTTGGACACTTTGAACATATGATGAAACTAATAGAATTAACGTTATTGCAATCACCAATACAATTCTTACTGTATTTTTTGGCCTGTGTGCTTACTTACTGTCTTCCCTTATTCAATATTGACCCAAGGACAAGTACAATAGTTACAGTTTGAACAGAGATCACAAGATTCAGAAAACTAGTTAGGGTTTCATTAGTCTTGTGTCATTGAGTACATATGATTGATGTGTTCTATTGCATACATTTATTGTTGAGTCTGTGACATATATATGTGAAAGCAAGACATAGTGATCCTAAATTTCGTCTGTGGTGTCAACATTTAGGTTCAGTCTGTGGTTAAAGTTTTTTTTGGACATCAATAACTTTGTCAAACCTTCATGGAATTTTAGGAAATTTGGACAGAAGCTTGTTTATGACTAAAATATAGTATCCAGAGCAAAATTTTGAACATATTTATTTCAGTTTTCTGGCGTATTTTACAAATAAATGGACTTTTTTACAGTTAAGTAGATACAGTCTGGGGTTTAAGTTTGTTACACATTAATTACTTTGTCAAACCTGCATACATATAGAATTTTCTGAAACTTTGGCAGAAGCTTTTTTTATGATTTAGAGATAATTGTCTGAAGAGTTTTTTTTATAGTTAACATTTACAGACAGTCTGGGACTACATTGTTTTGTCGTGATAAATTTGTAAACCATCTTGAATTGTTATGAAACTTGGATAAAAGTTAAATCTTCAAGACAAAGAAATAGCATCTAAAGAAAAAGTTAGAATTTATTTTAAATTCTGTATTTTACTGATAAATGGACTCACTTTTTAAGTCAGCATAACACTTTTACACTGACAGCAGTAATAGCAGGCGAGACACAGGGTTCTACTGAACCCCTTACGTATCCTGGGGCCTAAGTTGCTATTTGGGATATATCTTGAGCACTCAAATTTAAAAAAAAAAATTTAAACTTAAAAATTAGTTAATTTAAAGCTTTAAGCCCTTGTTTCAAGTTAAAGCCCAAAAAACTGATCCTCCATATATTGATATCTCAGATTTATAATATACATCCAGAACAATGGAACTTGTTTGAGTGTTTGCCAATACCTAAGATGTCACAAAGAAATGCCTCCCCAAATGCAAACTGTCCAGGAGATTCTAATCCATTTGACAGGCATATCTCAAGATCAACAAGATGCATGTTGGGAAATCTTGCAAAATCTGTTCCCATATACGACATGTTTCCACACAAGGTATGCAAATTCCCGGAGATTCCAATCCTTCTAAATATTGAAATCTTTAGTTTATTTTATAATTTTTACTTGGATACACTAACCAGAATAACTCAGTCCCTCCCAGTTAAAGATCTCTTCCCTCTTGCAAGGGCCTGAATTCTTTATACAAATGATTGTGTTACAAATCCTTCATTTTGATTGGTAACCTCTTCTTCGAGAGAGCCTGCCACCTCAATTTTACTGAGATAGGTAATCAGGTTTATGAAAACATTTTATATTTTTTAGTATAAAATCCCCCTATATTAAAATTTTGGATCAACCTCTTGTTTATACAACAATAAAAGAAAGGTGATAGATACCAAAGGCAAAGGGATATTCAATTTCATAAGTTGAAAACAAACTGACAATGCCATGGCAAAAAACTTAAAAAGACCAAAAGACAAACTACAGTACTAGTACACAAAACAGCATAGAAAACAAAAGACATTAAGGTTGTTGTGACACGAACCCCACCAAAAACCAGGGGATGATCTCAGGTGCATATACAATATAATTGAATAAAAGAGATTGGTTTAAGGGAATTTAGGGTATTAGTATCATTAATGGATACACTTACATCTCTTTTTTTCATTCCTTTAAAGTACATATTTGTTGAGAAAAAGAATCAAGAAGCCTGCATGATTTTAACAGATCCTGTTACAAGAATATAAAACATTATTATAGTCAACACGAAAAAGGTAAAATGAATTGATTTGACCCAGAAGTATAACTTACTTATACTTTTTATCATGGTGTGAGTATGATCGTGAGCTCTGCATAATATGATTTAAATACATTTGATCTATATGTGGTCCCGTAGATTAATTTTCAAACCTTTCATTTGTGAAGTTCAAGATGAGAAATTTGAAATTGAAATTCCAGCATGAAATTAATCTTCATCAAAAGAAAATTGAAAGAGTCCCTGTCTTTACACATACGGTTATACCTAAACAAACAGTTTTCATTATGATTTTCTATGCGAGATGTTGACTCGGTCAAGAATCGAGAGGGTTTTCCTTTGTGATAATGTCAAGCTGTTATAACTTGTGGGACATTTACTGCTCTTAACTTTTATACACCTTAATATTTACAGAGCTTTGTAAATCTATAATTAGGTGTTGACTCTAATTTTATTTTAATAAACATTTTTATCTACCTACTTACGCCTGTACAAATATTCATTTGAACAGGTATAACTCTATCACAAATATTTGACAGATTCATAAAACCATATATTACACAAGACATTTTAAGAGAGATGACACTTGAAGTTAGTCACTGACCCATCCTTTTTGTCAGATTAAAATGACAGTTGTTATCTCTTAATTATAATTAATCTGACATTTATCTTACGTATCAAGATGTTAGAGTTGTCTCCCATGCATTGAGATAATTAAAGTCTATAGAATTTATTTGCAAAATGCTTCTTAATTATGTAATATTTTTTCTTTGTAAAAATATTTAATTGCAAATTTAGTTATTGGTAAATTTAACATTTTGTTTTGGTCTTGTTTGAAGCTGCAGGTGGTCATAATTCCTAACACAAAGTGCATGCTTGTGACATATTCCGTCACATGTTTAATCTATTACATAATAACATGAAGAGTGAATTTGCAACTGTTTATGGAAATAGAGTGGAATTTGATCTTTTAAGTTTTAAACGTTTAAATTATTATTAGAAAAATTATTGTTTATGATGTAAAATGTCAGGTGTAATTTAAATAATTAAATTTTTTTTTGTTTTTTTTTAAATTTTACATGATATTTTCCATTTTTAGATAGCTTTCACTGGCTTGGAACTAAATTTTATTTAGGTCCAATTTTTTGTTGAGGAAATCCATGGGAGACTAGATTAAAATACTTTCCCTTAAATTTGCTTATTGCTCTTTAAAAAAATGACCTAAATTAAAATTTGTGTGAAAAATGTTATCTTTTCATATGCATTGATTTTTGCTTCACAAGTGTAAGGAATTGACCTTCAGTTAGAAGATACAATATTCTTCCCATTGAAAAGAGTGTCAGCCTAGAAATGACACTGAAAAGTGATACCAAATTTTGAATGCACTGGAAATTTGAGTTGAATTAGTAACAGATGGCAAACATTTAATGTATTGACATTTAGGATAATAATTGAAAAATGTAATTTGATACACAGTAGTTAATTGCTCATATTAATTTCATGTTGCTTTTAATAGTTTATTATTAAATTAAGACAAAAAGTCCATTAACTGACTGTGATAATTTTTGATATATATCAGTGAATCTGAAAGTGTTGATTGTTAACTTATCGTAGAAGGCTTGATAAAGTACATCAGTTTGGGAAAAGTGATCGACTTACCACTTGAAAGTAAAGATTTAGCTCTTGAATTGATCACACAAGTCTGTTCTTTGTGGTGCATTGTGATAATCTGTTTATATGTTTAAGTACATAATCTGTGTAAATAACAGTTTTTCTGATTCATTTCCTGTTTCCACGGAAACACAATATCAGTTTTTTCCCCTGTTGTATATACGTATGGGGCCAGTGACACAAACATTCTCTCTCTACTGGTATGAGTAGCTAGGAATTACATCACAAGTCTGATTAGGATACCAATTGTCATTACTTATCAAGGGATATATTAAATAATTAGATGAATTTCTGTGTATTCGTGTTCATCTGGATATATAATCGGGAAAAATGAGAGTTCATAGTGTATCTTGTTGGATTATAAAATATATTGACAATTTAATTACTTGATTGTTATGGAAGAAATCGAAGTTTTCTCTACAAAGTTATCTAGTACTGGAGAAAATGTTAAACTTTTCTTAGACGACGATTATTTAGAAATACCAGAAGAGGATATTGAGGATCTTGATGAAGAAATGGGATATGAAAGTTACTACACAATTGAAGAGTATGTATTTTTGTGGGCACATGATCCCACAATTAAAATTTCTTATTTATAATTAGTTTGTGTGAAAATTATATTTTAAAAGTTAGAAGTGAATTTGATATGGGTAATTTAGCACCATGTTTAAAGGTTAAAAGTTGTAATTAGATTTGAAAGAAGGTAGGGCACAAATAATGTTTTTGGTGCATTCTGAAACAGAAACGTACCTGTTGTAGTTGTTTTGTTTTTCGGGGTCAAGTGATATCATATTTAAGACAGAATATTGAGCATAACATAATATTTTTTAAACATACCCCATTTCATGTTTGAGTTTGTATTTTTATTGATAATAGATCATAATAAAGATTTAAGTCAAACTTGTTTAAAGCGAGTCAAAAGCAGCAACAAGATAACCCTAAAATTAAACTTGAATGACTGTGTTTCTGCTTAAATGTTCTTAAAATAGGTTTATACATGTAGGTATAAATTTTTTTTTGGGAACTTTCAGCTATGGAATTCACCATCTGCTTCTAGTAGTTCAATTATTCACATAATACTGAAAAAATTAAGATTGGGGTCTGCAGGATTAACAAAATCATATTTCTATCTAAAATCTACCAAATCAACAAATGATTCATTTTGGTTTTAATACCACTGTAGGTTGGTATAAAAATAAGGAGATGAGGTATGATTGCCAATGAGAGAACTATCCACCAAAGTTCAAATAAAGTGGATGTAAGCAATTATAGGCAACCATATAGCCTTCAACAATGAGAAAAACCCATACCATATAGTCGGCTTTAAAAGGCCCCCACATGAGAAATATGAAACAATTCAATTGAGAAAACTAACATCCTAATTTATAACAAAACAATTAACGAAAAACAAATATGACAGAAAAGAACCAACGACAACCACTGAACTACAGGCTCCTGACTTGGGACAGGCACATAAAGAATGTGGCGGGGTTAAACATGTTTGTGAGGGCTCAACCCTCCCCCTAACATGGGTATACTTTGAGGAGCCTAGATTAATTTTAATCCTTATGGGTTTCTGGCTGATTAGTACTGGGTCCTTGCCTATTTCCATCTTTGATTTAAAATCTTCTATCTCTGCATTTATCAAGTTTGTACATTAACCAGTACATGTATGTGTGTACAGGAAATGTAGTTAATACTGCTTTTGAGATAAATTGCTTCCTTGATTTTGTCAATACATCTGATCCATATAGATTCCATTTGTAGATCTAGAATTAATTGCTTAATTTAAATTAAAAAAAAAACAACATGAAAATTTTGCAGATTCAAATAAATCAAATTTTTTTGACAAATTGTTACTGAGGGTTTCTATTTTTCTTTTGGGGAATATATAGATCTATTAGTATTGTTTGTTGAGTCCTTGTAATGTAATTGTTAAACAAGTTTTCCTCTCTTTAATAATAAAAATTTTCCTTAAACAAGATGGGTCAGTTCCAAATATTTTTTTGAATTTCTGGCTCATTGAAAACTTTCTATTAAGATACCTTGAGCAAAAATTTACAGGCATTTAAGCCAATACATTTTTTTATTTTATTGTACAAGTCGACTCAACCAAAATTTCACCTCATCCAATTTCGGGACCACGAGAAAACTTCGACTCATCTGAAATTTCGAGTCAACCGAGTTCGAGACAAAGAGTGTTAACTTTTTTTGTACAAAGTACTATAGCATTTTGATATGACTAATGAAGAAGTTTTTTTTTTAAATAGTTTAGTCAACCAGGCTAACCACATTTTAAAATTGAAGTGACAGGTGTGATGTATTAGTTAGAAAACAGGAAGGGTGAATTTCCTTTTCATTTACATCATAACATGGTAATGGGAAAAAAACTTGAAATAACTCGCCAAGTTTACATCAAGAAAACAAGCAGCTATTTTAGATATATATGCCCATTGTTGATGTCATGTCTTATAGTTTATCTCAGTCTATTCATCAGGCCATTCACACATTGTATAATAAGTCAGATTTGCATTGACTTATTTTGTTGAAATTTAAACATAATGAAATGAATGAAATTTTGTTGTTGTTGAAGTTTTGGTATCAGTCTAAATTATCATTTTGTAGTTGTTGCAGTATTGAAATTATAAAAGAGTCAATTTTTACATGTTGCTTCAAAACAGCTTCTCAGAATGACATTAAAGTTGTCAGCAATACATCTTTACCAATAAAGTTCAATTCCATTTTCATTTTGATGGTTTTCTGATGTGTTGCTTCTGAGTTATGGGGCTTTAAAGATTGAAGTTATAAAGCTAGAGACACACAGAAGCTATAAATTCTGAAAACACTTGAAGTTGATTTCTGATACAATATGCAATGTATTTATCAGAATTTTAGTTTCATTCTATTGGTTTAATTTGTTCATTTATTTCAATCAACATTAAGTGTTGTTTTATTTTTCCTGTCAAATCCTTGAAATTTTACACTTTTTGCACTCAACAAAATTTAAAATGTATCTTTGAAATTTCTGAACTTTTCTTTTGTACATGCAGTAAGAGCATTTGGTAATGAAATTTGATGTTTTTAACTATCTAAAATCGATTGTTGAGAAACTAGACCAGATGCCATATCGGAAAATAGATAAGAAAAAAATGAAAATTAATAAATCAATTATTCTATTACTAAAGTTTCCCATCAATGTTAGTTAGAATGTTAAACATGAAACTAGGGGAACGATAACTATATATAGGTTCATTTGCATCTTCAAAATATTCATATTTCCATTGTGTTAACTTGATAAATTGATGTTATCTAAGACATTTTCAGCATTTTCCCTTGATATCAATAGACATATATTGATATGAAATATCAAGAAATATTTTGATGAGTTCACATATGTTATTATGATATTGGGGTATTGATTTGGATCATGCCCTCGTCTTGTAACAGGGTTGGATAACTTTGTCATTTATATTATAGGCTGCAGATCGATTCCTTTGACATAGTAATTGTTTTGATGTTTTTAAGTGAGATTTAGTTAAACAAATGCTGCATTCATTTCTGTCATTCTGAGGTTATTGTCAGGACAGTTCCGAGACCATGAAATTGGTTGATATGAAGAAGTAATTTGAGTTTGAATTTGACGCCAAGGAAAATCAATGGAAATCCATCAGAAGCTAGGTTCTGCTCTGTCTGTGTTTTTGGAAGTGAACACTACAGTTATTTTGGATTTTGACATTTCCGCCTCCAACTTCCCTGTCAGCTCATATTTCCTTAAAATTTTTTGGAATACTGAAATTTAAGCTTAACTAATTTTTCCAATGTAAAGTATTTCAATTCTCATGATGAAAGACAAGAAACTGCATTATAAATCTATAGGATATTGCTCATTGAACCATCTGAAAGTTGTGCCACTGGTATAAAATGAGTAGATATGGTATTATGCCAACAAGACAAGTTAACTATCACCCAGAGATGTAATAGACTACAGGTCACCACATTTGCCCACTCTCACTGTACTGTGGATCTTTTGAAAACACAACCTTAGCCAGAGTTCTCAAAAGTGGTGGAGTGAAGGCCCTGACCCAAAATTTTGCAAAGGACAGACACAATTTTGGTATTTTGCAATAAAAATAATAGTGAGGGCCAGCAGATTTTCTTCAAGGATCACTAGAGAAAAAAGATTTTGATAACTCTGCTTAGCTGTAGCTTACAGAAGATATTTAAAAAAATAATTGTTGTTCAAATCAAAATAGTTAAGATGATTTTATTTAATTTTCTATGAGTATACTGGAGCAATTAATCTGTAATGACAGAATTGACCATTTACAATAAAATCAATGCATCTGTTTTAAGAAGATTGTAGAAATCTCGTATCTGCTGCACTGGTACCAAATTAATACATTGAATAAATAGTAAAAATAAAAAGTTCTGAAGAAAAAAAATATGAAATGCAAGGATTTTACTGAGCATTATGATTATACCTTTCTTCTTTTTTCATTTAGAGTTGTAGCTAATTAAGAAGGGTGTGATTTGTATTCAAGTTCTTTGTAAATAACATTTAATTGAAAGTTGAGGGAGTTATAAGTTGGTATAAGTATTCAGTAAGGTTTTAATCAGCTTTTTATGATAAGGATAACTCTTCCAATTAACAGTGACTGGGGTCAGTGATGTCTGAAACTTTATTACAGACCAATTTATTTAATACCATTAAAATCTCTTGATCAGGGAAGACACCTTAGAATCAGTACATATATTTAATTGAAACGCCCATGAGGTTGTGTATCCAGTTGGGTGTATCTCATTATATATACTTCCATTTCTTAGGCTAGGGAACCGAAATACAGAAGAGGTAATTTAATATAATTACCAATAAATAGGTAATATATTGAAGCTGTGAGACTATTCCTCCTGTCAGAATGATCTTCAGACTGGTATTTAGTGATGGGAGGTGTACTAATTAATTCAATTAGAAAGACTGTATACCTGCTATCTTATTGAGAAGATTATATAATAAGTTGTGATGGCATGCCTCATGTTAGCAGATAGTTAAACATCACATATGCTTCCACCAGATGTTCAGCTGTGAAAGGTGTTATCTCTAATTTTGGAATCATCAAAGCTATCATGGTTTAACAACTGTAAAATTTTATCAAATAATTGTTCTCAATTGGTCTTGTAACTCTTTGATTATCTGCAAACAATTGTCACTTGAACATTTAAAGATTGCAAAAGATCAAGAAAACATTTTTAATGTGAGAAATTAAAGACTAGAATGAAAAGGTCAACTTGACCTTAAAAATGCATATTTGTGGAAGGCTTGACCTAATTTCAACTGTCTTTGTCTTAATTCTGATATCATGTTTCTTTAGTGATAATTTTGACTGGTTTCTTTAAAACCAATACACATGTTAATGGCTTTTGACAGGTGTATCTCAAAATGAGCATTATAGATTCCCAAGGTTGCTTATTTAGAGGAAATTTAAGTTATTTGATTTTAATTATATAATTCCGCATGCACCCAACTATGCAAGTTTTTGTTATGTAATTAGACATTATGGGCTTGCATTATATAATATGCCTACAGTGTTTGAAAATTACCCCGTACATAATTGGTTGTCTAGCCAAGTTGTAACATAAGATATATACCAGGACACCACCTTCCTTACAATTAGGTCTGCTTCATAAGTTAAAGTGATCACATCTACAAATGGCTAGTGAGGAGCCTTTGAAAACTAGACATTACTACAAGATAGAAATAAGGAGATGTGCAGTCTTCGCGCTCAACCACAGGCCCACCAGCCCAGGCCTGTATAAATGCTGTCAGGGCTGTAAAAATCATCTCTACGGGTCAATTGAATCTTAACTAAAATTTTCGGAAAATTCAGCTTGGGGCCTGTAGATTAAAAAGTTTATTGTGAAGAAGGGATGTGGTATGATTGCCAATGAAACAATTATCCACTACAGACCAAATGATGTAGATTTAAGCAATTATAGGGGACTGTATAACCTTCAATAATGAGAAAGACCTCGCCATGAGATGACTTCAATGTTCTATTTGTGACCATTATATGTATTTTTATTTAGCAACATTCCTATATACTGTATGGAGTTTGTATCTTCTGGTTGATGCCATACTCCAAATACAGAAATAAGAAGATACATGAGGTATCAGTGCCAATGAGACAACTCTCCATCCAAGTCGCAATATGTAAAAAGTAAACAATTATAGGTCAAAGTACGGCCTTCAACACGGAGCCTTGGCTCACACCGAACAGCAAGCTATAAAGGGCCCCAAAATGACAAATTAAACAGGAAAACCAACGGTCTAATCTATATAAAAAACGGAAAACACTTAAGAACCACATCAACAAACAACAACCACTCTGAAACAGGTTCCTGACTTAGGACAGGTGCAAACAAATGCAGCGGGTTTAAAAGTTTTAACAGGCGCCAACCTTCACCCTAACCCGAAATAGTAGTGTAACATTACAACATAGAAAGACACACTATAAAATACCAATTTAAATGGCTTAACTCAATCAAAAAGACATATTAACAAAAACAAGTAAACTAACACTGAACAAATAAATTTGATCTATGACACAAATGCAGCAGGTTTAAAAGTTTTAACAGGCGCCAACCTTCACCCTAACCCGAAATATTAGTGTAACATTACAACATAGAAAGACACACTATAAAATACCAATTTAAATGGCTTAACTCAATCAAAAAGACATATTAACAAAAACAAGTAAACTAACACTGAACAAATAAATTTGATCTATGACACAATGTCAAAAAGACAACTATAACCTTGGATCTCTCACAGGCAAACAACCCATAATTGCAAGATATAAGAGCATACAGTGTCACAAGCAGGGAGACACATTCTACTACATCCACATAGCACAAGCAACAAACCCTGCAGTAAATAGAAATAAGACGATGTTGTATGATTGCCAATGAGACGACTCTCCACAAGAGACCAAATGATGCAGAAGTGAACAATTATAGGTCACTGTATGGCCTTCAGCAATGAGCAAAACCATTGTGCATTGTGTTTTTTACTCCTTGATGGAAGGTTGCTGCTTACATGAAAGTCTTTTAAACCAAGATTTCTTAATAGTATAACTCAGAGGTCATTTCATGAAATACTATACAGATATCATTTAGTTGACTTTTTTTGACTGATAATGAATATCTGTGTTATAGATGGCCACAAATGAAAATATTCCATTGGTTTTTGCTTCAATTCAGCTCTCTTTTCCTTTTATAAATGATATAGTAGATCAGCTCATCTCTGATTGTTGGAGTCATGTTGCTCAATAATGTTTTTTTGTTTGTTTTGTGAACCATTGTTTGTATTTTCCTCTTTTTTTCTTTTGGACATGCATGAAATATTTGCCACTGGACAGAAAGCGAAGACAATGAATCAATCTTTTCTTCTGGTTATGGTGTAGTCAGTCATTCTTTAACTTTCAAATTCTTAATGGCCTTCTTTTCTCCATGATAAAAAAACATCAAAAAGCTGGGACAAACACTGCTACATCCCAGACATGGAACAGACATTAAACATGAGATTTCATTTATTGCAAAAAATAATAAGTGGCTTGCAAAATTCATTTCTAAATTACTGACATAAAACCTTGAAGTCCAAGTCAAATTCCTACAAATAAGTACAGTTGTTTTGATCAGGCTTCATCAATCTTTCATATCTTACAACATGCAGTTTTGTTTGACACATCAATGATGGTTTAATCATTTGGCTTCTCAATATGATAGGTTTTCATAATCAGCAAAAAAATACTATGCACTGTAATGCCCTCTATTTTCATATTACATAATATCAGTATCGGCTAACTAGATATTTGAGAGGTATTATCTTATAGTGCACCAGTTGTGTTCATGTAACTACTTGTATATTGGTTGCATATTGACGTCAAAAGTCCTGTAAAGCTGTTTGACCAACTTGATCCCGATCTTAGATAAAGTGGTTTTATGGTATTCATAGTTGAATTTGATTCAGTAAAACACTACAAACTGCATCATTGTGTCTGTAGTAGAAGTAATAATCTTCAATCCTAAATTAAATCAACCAGTTTGTCATCTACAATTACTATTGATTAAATAAATTTTTAGAGACACAATCTCACTTCACCAGATGTGCATTTCAACAATTATTGTCTCTTCAGTGATGCTAGGGGACAAAATATTAAAAAAAAATAAAAAACCTAACACAAATAGTTGTCAAATGTATTATTTGAATTTATTTTGTAAAATAAAACTGTCTAACATCCAAGATGGCCAGCATCAAGCAATATAGTTGCACATAGGACTATATAAAGAAAAATATTAAAAATTCTTTCTCTTAAACCAGTAGGACTAAAAGTTTAGGTCTGAATGGTCCTTTTTGCATGTGTGATTGTATGAGTGGATTTTCACCAATAATTACTGGATTTTCTAGTTTTAATAAATTTAGCCTCTCTATAATAAATTCCTTGGCAAGAACATACTTTCTTCGTTTTGTTATTTTTTTGTTCATTTCAGGCAGTTTTTATATTTCAGACAGATCTATGCTTTCACAAATGTGCTAGAAAGGTGATCCGAGCCGTTTAATTAGAGCTAAATTCCACCATAAAGATATTTATATTTTATATCATTTGTTTTGTAGCTCAGGACAGGAAGTACAGAGAATCAGTGTCATTAACAATTTGCCAGATTTACTGAAAGACACAGACAGTCATGATGAATGCATGCGCCGTGTTGTCCCTAAAGTTAGGGTAGGTATACACAGATAACAATGCTCTACGGTAATTGCATAAACATTGGTTAGTTTCGTCCAGAGTATATATTTATGTATTGCACATATGAGGGACAATATTCACCAATTTTCATGTAATAACCCTTTTATTTTATAGTTAAACTTGAAAATCTTTAAAAAAAACCATATTTTGTCAGTGATGATGTTGCCGATTTGGAGCTTTATTTGCACAGTCACATATCCGCATTATGTTATATTATTGCATTTTAACTTTTGGTTACATTCTGAAATAAGTTCTTACTGTCCAGTAGTATTCTATCCTTGTATACAGGGGTTATGGTGATCGAAAACATATAAAATATTTCACACATTTCTAATTGCTCATTATTGTACTATTAACCTTTTTGCACCCAACTCATTTTATAATCAAATTTATGTAAGTGTGTCGCCTCAATTTCTTATGTACTTTGTTCAACTTCAACACTTAAGGATTGATACACACAAGTTTTCTACCAAATTTATTTCATGTGACCTGACGTGTTCATTGTAGTCACTAAGCCAGGTTTGTTTAGAGGAAAGAGGGACAATTTCTCTGAATTTATTGCTTACCAGGGCCATTTTTGTAAAGAATCATTGATACAAAAGTGATCTTTAAGATTTTTTTTTGTTCTTTAAACTTGTAACAACATTGTTGTTTTTTTCAAACATGTATGTGTAAAAATGGCTAAAAACTGTAAACTTGACCAATTTTGGTAAGTTTAGAGTATTAATAATTTATCATTAAAAATGTATGAGAAGAACAGACTCAATCAAAACCAAAGATCTGTTGAATGTAGATGTAAACATTGTCCTTTGAATACAAATTAATTCATTTTGGTTAGGGACATCATTCAATACAAAACTTTATAAACACATGTAAAATTTGCAATATTGTCTTCCAAAGCAATATGCTGTGCTGAAAAAGCATTTTTATGTCCCCTACGCTAGGCGAAGGGGGCATTAAGTGTTACCTTTGTCTGTATGTATGTCCCAAAATTGCTTTCAGTTCTTTAACTTTAGTTTGCCTAACCCAAATGTTATGAAACTTTAAACACAATGCTTATCACCATAAAACACAGATCAAGTTCGAATTTGGGTGGCATCACTTTTATAGTTCTCTAGTTGTGTCCCTTTATAACGTTATATGCAAGTGGGGGCATCATCTGTGTCCCATGGACACATTCTACATTTATTATTTGAATAAAAAAAGCAAAAATATTTGATGATTTGTATGATTTGAGAACATTTTATAGACTATTTAATATTCAAATAACAGTAGGTTTTAACAACTTTTAGATTTTGACAAACCGGGAAATTGGCTCTACCTCTTTGTTTTTACTTTGATAAACAGTTGGGATGTTTCATATTGTACTTAAGCAAACACCAATTTGTCAAATTTGAAAGATGACTAGACAAGTATTCATCAATTCAATCTAGACAAATTATTGGACAAAACTCAACTGTTGGTGTACCGGTATCCTTAGTATCAGCAATGCAAATGTATGATAAAACATTTCAGTAATATTTTACCCAAGTACTCAATTCATCTATTTGATTAGAATATATGGGAAAACCATATGATACCCACATCTAAAAAAAAGATATGATTTTTGCCAGATGAAAGCAACTAGATTAATTCCAGATCCAAGAAGTTTGTTACACCCAAACTCATAAAGGTGTTAACATATATTCAAGGAAGTGATCTTTTCAATTAGAATTTTACCTAGTGCTGTTTTAACAGATGTTTATGATGTTGAAATCAATATTTTTACTGTTTATTGAAGCTTTACCAATGTTCCACCTGAGCAGTTTTGGTTTAACCTCAGACATATTTTTAACTAGCTCTTCATGAAGAAAAAACGGAGATAAAATTGCCTGCATGCAAACAAATTTTTTTAACTCCTATGATTTCAGTTGTAATCTGACATGGGAAAAAGATTTTTTTATGGCATATTGCATTTAAATTTTATAAATTAGAATATAAATCTTGCAGTCATTGCAGTAAAGTGTCAATTATGAGCTCTGTGATGTTAAAGACATCAAAACTTCATATTCTTTTTACATTAAGGGTAATCATAATTTAAATGTAATTTTATGTTGTGCAAGCCATCAGCTGGAGCTTAATTTTTACCAATAGGAATATTAGGTCTGAGGGTTTTTTCACCATTATATGACAGAGCAGAGACAATGTTAATTAATAGAATTGAGAAAGGAAATGGGGAATGTGTCAATGAGACAACAAACTGATCAAAGAGCAGAAAACAGTCCAAGGCCACCAATGAGTCTTCAATGGAGCAAGAAAATCCCACACCTAGGAGCGTGCATGAGCTGGCCCCTAAACAATAATTTATACTAGTTCAGTGAAATGGACACCACACTAAACTCTGAAACATATAAATGAACCAAAACTAAAAAAACACACAAGAATGACAAAGGCTAGAAGTTCCTGACTTCAGACAGGCGCATAAATGCAGTGGGGTTAAACATGTTTTGTGAGATTTCAACCCTCCCCCTATACCTCTAGCCAATGTGGAATAAACAAACACACAGCAATATGCACAGTAAAATTCAGTTCAAAAGAAGTCTGAGTTCGATGTTAGAATATGTAACAAAAAAAACTAAGCAAAATGACAATGATCAACATGATACAACAAAGGACTGCTAGCAGTTACTGACATGCCAGCTCTAGGCCTCAATTAAACTAATCGAAAGATTATGTCTTCATCATATGAACATTTTTTACCCAAGTTTTATGATATTTAGTAGTGCCTAAACCAAATGCTCATATATTTTATTTAAATGAAAATAATGTGTTCCTCAGTCATATACATGTAATAACAGATGAAAATAAGATTTTCAATAAAAAATGGAGAACAGTATAAATCCTACATCAATTTTTTACATCTTAATCTGAAAAGAAGGCTTTTTGCTCACCTGTATATTTACGTACAACATTCTACAGAACAAGATATCAAAAAGGGTATAAACCAGTTTTAAAATGGCCCAATTTTGTTGCATAGTTAGAATGACTGACAGAAAGCACCGTTGTGACTTAAAATAGCAAAAATATAAGTTTTTGGAAAGTTTATCATTCTTTGTAGATAAATATACAAAATGGTTCTAATTAACTAATTCATTGATGGCACGTTAAGTTGTTTATTTGAAATGCTAGTTATTCAGAAAATAAGTTACATAATCATAATTACACCGCTGAAATGAAAATAGAGACATAAAATACAAGAACAAACAAAAAAGGACAACTTGGTTACAGTTTATGTCATAATTTAATGTGAAAGAGACATAAAACTACCATAGCTTGAAGTGATAGACATTCTTCTTTTGATCTACCAGACTGTTTCTATTTGGTTGACAATTAGACTGTATGTTGTCCTTGATATTGAACAAAAAAGGAAAACAACAATTGGTAAAAATCACAGTAGTCTTCCAAAGCAAAAACATATATTAATCAGTCTATAGATGTAAAGAATTGGTAAATTGATGGAGTATTTTTTATTTCAGTAGAGTTCAAATTGGTTTGATGGAATGGCATATTAAAGGGAAAGGGTATGGGATGGAATAGGGACTATATACACTTTCAAACTTTTATGAAATAAGTTGGTGGACATATAGACTTAATATATATATATAGAATTAATATGCACACTTTTGTGACTAAATCTCCCTGTATTTGAAACAGGGATTCAACTCTTATAAACAGAGTTTGAAATTTTTTCTTACAAGAGATTTTGTGAAAGAAGAAGGTCCGGTAAGGGCTAGTTTTGGCCTAAAATTCGAAGAGTTTTTACATTTTTTAAACACTTAAGTGTCTACTTCAGTCGTTTCAATTAGTTGATGTAAAAGGTTTGAACCGATTTGGTTATGAAAGACGCTCAAATTCAAGCTTCAGTATGAAAAGTCTATCAAATATGCCATAAAACATCACTTTTCAGATGTTTTTTGTCCAAGATGGAAGTGGCCTCATTCGTGTTCAGTCTCAACCTTTATATATGTTATGTATCATCAAATACAACATATATTTAAATATTAAGACTGAACACAAATGAGGCCACTTCCATTTTAGACAAAAACTGTCTTAAAATTAGCACAAATGCTAAAATTGTGAAGATTTCAGTAATATTTCATGAATTTATGATGCTATTACCTGATGCATGTTCATTGTATTGTCAAAACAGCCCATATTTATGGAACAGAAGTATTCTACTTTCCAATAAATAGCTAAAAGTTAACATTTCAACAAATTTGTAAAAATGCTATATTTTGGGGACAAAAAGGGGTCTTACCGGACCTACTCCTTTATAAGAAGTTTAGGATACAAAGGCAACTTTAAATGTTGGTCATTGAATATTATCCCTCTCCAGCTGGATATGACCTCCTTCTTTGGATGACTTTTATCCACGAGAGGAAACATATTTCTAGACCACACATCATCACATGACTTATGCTGGTATCAGAAAAAAATGCAGAACAGTGAAGTCAAATTTATCGGGTGCCAAACTGAAAGATGAACAAATGGTACAATCAAAATGGTTGTCTTAATTAGAAATCTGTCTGATACTTCTTGTTTTACAAGAATACATCTATGTACATTCTGTTTCTTCAACAATAATTACATCAAAATGCTTGGCTCAACTTGGCACCAGAATTCATACCTGTATATAAATTGGCTTGTTTCACTGTAATGTTTTGGCAGTGTTTCCTTTATTCAAACGGCTAAATGCAAATTACAATAAATGAAAATAAACAAACGCTGGATTATTTTGATATAGAATAACATTAAATAGCATATGGTTTATGCATTAAAAAGTAAACCTTCATCAAAATGCAATTTGATAAGATTAGGATGAAACTGAAAGGCAGCCATTAAGATATAAACACAGTTTCCCTCCATGTTATCGAAACTTTATTAGTTTTTAGATTAAAATAATTGTTGTGATTATAGTATGATTACTAGGTTTGGAGATGGTCAGTGAAGTTTTGATGGACGTTTTGGCGCCATTTGACCTTATTGTTAGTAGTGTTTTTATTGATTATCCATTTGCCTTGATGATGTTACTTGTGATTCAAGTGCCCTAGAGATCATTTTCTACTTTGTCAATGGAAGATAATTGTTTTGTTTTTGCAATGATTGCTATCTTTTCCTGGTCTCAAAAAAAAATTTAGCACTTTTTTTATAACATGTTGATAAAGTAGCAGGTGATGTATTTATTTTGTTTGCTGGAATTATGCTGAAATTATCAGGATCTGACTCAACAAGGATTATTAATAGACCAGATACTGTAAATTCAGAAATTATTGCGTGCATTTATTATTGCGATTTTGTCATTTTAGACTAAAATGTGATTCTAATTTTTGCGATATTGAGGAAAATCCTGTTTAATTCATAAAAAAGAATTCAGAATGCGAGTTTAAATTATTGCGATTATAATCCTGTCGCATTTTTCGCAATAATAAAAACATCGCAATAATTTCTTAATTTACAGTAATTTGTTTAAAAAGGCCTGGTTACGGGTAAAGGGGACTTTGAGTGGATACAAAATGGCATCCTGTGATTGCTTTTTATAAGATAATATATATAAAGCAAATAACGACAAAAACTGTCCAAAAAATACCACATTTTCAGTCTGACTTAAGCCAGCCCCACTATCCACTTGAGTGGGGGCTGGCTTTAGACAGACTGTCACATTTTAGGACTAGTTTTTGGCTACCTAGAATTAGGTCTTCAGAACAAATGTGGTGACAATGTTTGAATATAGAGGGGTTACCAAAAGTTATATGAAAACAATGGTTGACATGACAACATTATTAATGTAAATGTGAAAACAAATGTGTTCATTCTTTAGACTATCTGTGCTGTAGTTCAGCTAGATGGCAATATGTGTAAAAATGCCAAACTCCTCAGTAATGGGTTTTTGGGGTATTGCAAGGTTTCTAATCCTAAAACTTAAAAAGTATTTAATGGATTGAATGGAACCTTAGTAAGTGATGACAGGGGCAATTTGAATCAAAGTGATGACAGGGGTAATTTGAATCAATGTTCAGAATGTTAAAGTGGCTCCAATTCCAGATCCCATAATGGGCATTTACATACAGTGCACTTAAAGGCTATAGGTATAAAGTCCCATTTTTATTTTAATTATTTTAAATTACAAACTTGTTGAGGCATAATGTTTACCTGGAAATGTTTTTCTTCCTGTTATTTCAAATTAATCATAGTATAATTTCCTGATTTTTGTTTTTGCACCTTATGAATGTGGTTATACTAGGATAATTTAAATTTTGTATACAAATTCTTATCACAAAAGTAGAAAAATTCATAATGTTCTTTCTATAAATTTTATCCTGTTGAAAAGTTAAAATTCTGCATACACCTTTAAACTGGTATTTCAGATATCTAGCTATAATAACTTCCCTTTTAAAATAGCAAAAACACTTACAGTCTCGTATATACTTAGTTAATTAGAAAATGAAGTATTTATTGGAATCTTTGCAGGAAGTGCTCCATGTTGCACAATGTGAGATGCAGTATGCTGCATCTGCTGCATTCCTACAGATCTTACAGAAAAATTTGGTACCGATACAAAACTATACACAGACATTTCTACAGACAATACTCAACAGTGTGGATGGCAAAGATCCAGGTAAATTGATATAACAGGACACACACACACAGGGTGGTTGGGTAAAAATCACCCTGGCTGGTGTTGAGTGAATCTCAGTGAAATAATGTGATTGCTAGTGATTTGGGGGTGATAACACTGATTTATGACTGTAAAGTGATTCAATTGAATTTACAAGTGAATCATCAGCAATCCCTAGCATTCGCTGTGAATAATCACCACCAAGAGTGATTTTTAAATGATTACTTTAAATATACTGTGCTCTCAGATAATTGTCTCCCATTTTTTAAGGAAAAAATTGTATAAAATATACTGTGCTCTCAGATAATTGTCTCCCATTTTTTAAGGAAAAAATTGTAAAAAAAGGGCAATTAAATTATTTCATGCATATACAGGATGATAAAATGTAAATGTGATAGGAAATGAATTCCTACCTCTTACAAAAAGATCATCTTGAGTCAGATTTTTAACAAGGTAGCTAGGGTAAAAGTGTAAGTTGGAAGACATTATTCTGACTTCAAGTCAGTCAGTCTCTTTTGCCTAAATGTTGCATGCTTGATGGAGATTTAGAAAACACCACTTTTAAAGGTTGTAATTTCACTAGACCATTACATTCAAATCTTCACACTCAATGCAGTACATGCAGTTGTCATCTAAGTAATCATACAACTCCATGTGAAGAAATACAACAGTTAAATTATTATATATAGACTAAGCTAAACTTTAGAAGTTTTAATAGTATTACATGTGGTTCGTCTTTTATTTGTTCAAAACTTGAACTTTGTTAGTTGGACCCGAAATTGTTATAACACAATCAAAGGTTTTCAGTGCATTATTTTTGTAGAAAAACCAAATATTATTGAAAATAAATGCTGAAATCTAATCATAGCCTGGAAACTTTGTCCGGTTTATTGAACTGGAGGAGGTTGATTCATTTCTATTGTTGACCTAGATATTAACAATCATTTCATAATTCCATGTTATAGTATATTGATTCATCCAGCCATAAATTTCATAATTACATCAAATGACAATCACTTGGGATTTTATTGTCAACAATTTATATTTGTTGTGGTATATCAAAAGTCATATTTAATAATCATTGTAGTAATAAATAGGAAATGAGAAATGGTATGGGTCAGTGAATCAGTCATATTGACTTCATCACTTGTATGGGGGAAAGGCTGATTAAGAAATTGATTGTTCTTGTATTATTGGGGATAATGACAATTTATGAATTATTATGTGAAATTGAAATTCTGTTTCAAAAATTTGATATTTTTGGTTTGGATTGCACCTCTGTTTCATGTAAACATGTCTTTTGTTCATGAAATTTATGTTTTGATTTTGTTGCTGATTTTTTTTTTCGGGGAGTGGAGTTTCAAGCTTATTTTAGGATAACTTTCATCATTTAGTTGTAGATTTATTGTCAAAGACTTTTTACCAATATCATTTAAACACATTCTGTGCTTCCTTGAGAGAAGCATAGTTTCTGTTCACAACTAAATATTCATTATGTTTTTTTGGGGGGTAATAACACATTTATTCCAAGACAACTTTCATCATTTAGTCATAGATTTATTGTCTCAGCCTTTCTAGAATATCATTCAACAATTAAATCATTTCTTTCCTTCAGAGTAGCCGTTTTTCTGTTCACAATTAAATTATGATTTCAGAAGTGTCAAGTACCTTTTATTTGAGAGGAGCATTTTTTCTATCCACAATTAAATTATAATTTCAGAAGTATCAAGCGCCTGGTTAGATACTCTACTGGACGTTATAGAATTACTGCCTAAAGATGTTATAAAGAAAGAGGTTTGTGAATAATTAATATCCTACCACAGAAAAACAAAATTTCTTTCCCATGAATGACATAACGTAATGAAATTATTGACTGTCTGTGAGAAAACAATAGTATGTTTCTATAATTAACCCATTAGGAGAAACTACAAAAGAAAAATCTAATGACGTTAACACAGTTACAAATTGAAGCAAATACTAAAGACGCCTCTTGTATGCACAATTGCAGTTAACACATTCTTAACGTGGTTTAAAGTATTATTTGAGGCCATACCAAATTAATTTGTTTTTGTTTTTTTATTTTTTATTTGTGTACCAGTTAGCAGGCAATATGTTTATTTTCAATTTTGTACCTGCGTTACTGAAGGCAGAAGCAGGTCTAGTAATAGTAGACTCCGTCCATCTGTCCGAAAGAAAATTTTCGCCAAAGTGATTTGTTTTCTATGAAAGGGAATGATTTAATATTTGGTCTGCAGCTTGATAATGTTGAGTTGTACAGAGAAAGCAAATTTTACATCTGCCATGTAGCCACTTCCTGTTTGCCAATAGTTTGAAATTTTACAACACTCATTGTTCAAGGAAAATTTTAATCAAACTTTTCTGGGCTCCTTTTGAAGTGAATAACTTTAATATTTGGTCTGGGAATGATCAGTTATACACTGGTATACATGTTACCTCAATCAATTGCATGCAGCAATTTAGGCCCAGACCTAATGTTGGTCTTATTCATAGTTTAAAATTAATTGAAGACCAGAACAAAATATGCTGTTAGAGGAAAATATAAAGTTCGTAATTCATTTCATCATATTTGTTTACTTATTTGTATATATTTTTAAAATTGAACAAATAGTATGATAGAAAGGGCTGGTATAATGGAATTTTGAAAAAGAAAATTAATCCAGAAATTGTTAGAGAAGCAAGTCCCCAAAACAAGAAAATTATTTGCTTAAGCCTAATAAAGATACAGAAGAACCAGCAACATGAATATAATGTAAATTAACATATTCTTACAAAAGTTTTTCCCTGATGTTTTATTGTAAAAAACGTTTATTGAAGTAGGACATGCATAAAATATTTGTAGGGAAGCACTTATTAACCAAGGAAACTGGTACTTGAGTTTTAAGTATTTAGAACATTCATGGCATATGTTAAAAAAACTAGACAAAATATTATTTATTCACTGAAGCATTTAATATTCAAGATTATAGGACAGGGGATATATTTTTTTTGCACTTGTAGTAGAAGCTAAGTGTCTAAGGACCTGTTTGAATTAGAAAAAAAATATTCAGTTATATAATTGATATTTCAGAGGGAAAATTGCAAAGTCCAATTTCTTTCCTTTTTTGCACTTTTCTGAAACAGGAAAAGAAACTGAAATTAAATATTGAACACACACAGTTCCCTCCCCGATTTAAATGGTTGACTAAAATAAACGCATCTTTGATAGGCACCATATTGAAGTAATCTATAGAAATGTGCAGCCATGATAATAAAATCAGTCAAATTGACAGCTAAGGCATCAGATCAGTTAATTAAAGAAAAAATCTAAATTTTCTTTATTAGTCTGGATTGCTTTAGTAAAAAGCCTAATGATCTTAGAAGGGTAAAATTGCATTTTATTTCCATAATTAGCCTCTCCTAATGGATCAATAATAACTTCACTATTCAAACTTCTCTGGAATAAGGACATTCACATTGCTACAACTGCCGTAGTCATTCAAGTGTTTTGATGGATGGAATATCCACTAGCCAGTATCAAGCTTTGTTAAATATTGCTTCCCTTGGGAGCTTTAAGCAGCACATGCATAAGAGTTACAGTGAAACCTCTATATACGAAACAGTCTACAAAAATGAAACCTGTCATTACAGAACTCTCATTTAATATTCTTTTATTATTTAACTTTTGTGAACCAATCCATAATCTGTCCAATTAAATTTCATGGTTTCAAAGGATTTTTTTTTATAGCTTCCAAAGTAATTTTTAATAAAGAATTTCTTATTGTTTTATTTGATTGTAGTTATGGTTTCTATATAAAAAAAAGATTCCAAATTAGCACAAAATTTTACCTCTTACAAAACAATTATATCCAATCTGTATTGACAGAATTAGAATTTTTCTAAATATGTCCTTCATTTACAGTCAAACTCATACTATATAAGTATGAGCTATTTTTCTTGCAGCTGATCAGTTCAATTTGCATTTACTTAGAGCTTCATGTATTAAAACATTTGTAAGGTATTAAGATAAATTTTGCCCAAGCGAAACAGATTCTTTCAGGTCATTTTACCTTAGATTTACCTGGTGACCCTGATTAAATTGAGTTTTGATCATAGAATTAAAATGTAATTAGGCATTTGCAAGAAAAATAGTTAACACTTGTACAATTTTAGTTGTAATAGTTTAAAAGATACAATACATAAGCTTAGATTTTTAATGTTTCAATAATTGGCAGGAAACAATTAAAACAGAACAAAATAATGAAATTTTTACCTCTACTTCAGTTTGAACATAGTTTATATGAAATAAATATTTTACAAATCATTTTACTGCTCATAAAAACATCAGCCACTCTTCAATGTATAACCATTATTGTTTAGAGATAATAAAACATAAATATTTTCGTCTTTTATATATATTGAGTCAAAATTCTTTTATTTTTCAGATTTTACATGTGGCAATAGCAAAAGGTCAACTCTCACAGTCAGTAGCAGCAAGAATGGCCTGTTGTAAAATATTAGGAAAAATTTGTACCAAATTTGAATCTTTTGTGTAAGTACATTATATTACTTACCATTGGATATTTTGATACTGGATTATTTTCATCAAAATATCAACAGTCTGTAGCAGCAAGAATGGCCTGTTGTAAAATATTAGGGAAAATTTGTACCAAATTTGAATCTTTCGTGTAGGTACATTATATTACTTACCATTGGATATTTTCTCCTCAAAATATCTACAGATAAACATGATGAAGGCTTGTTGTTAGTTGTTTTGACATTTTCATGACTTACTTACTTCTTGTATGGTTTGTGGTGTAAAATGTACTTTGTGCAGTTTTTGTTGTAAAATGTACAAATTTATTCGTTCAGTGTATGTTCACTTAATAGCTTGTTTTTGTTAATATATCTTTTAATTGAGTTAAGCCATTTCAATTGATATTTTATAGTGTGTCTTTCTATGTTGTGATGTTACACTATTGTTTCAGGTAGGGTGAATGTTGGCGCCTATTAAAACGTTTAAACGCGCTGCATTTGTTTGCACCTGTCCTAAGTCAGGAACCTGATGTTCAATGGTTGTCGTTTGTTGATGTGGTTCATAAGTGTTTCTCGTTTCTCGTTTCTCGTTTTTTATATAGATTAGACCGTTGGTTTTCCTGTTTGAATGGTTTTTCACTAGTCATTTTTAGGGCCCTTTATAGCTTGCTGTTCGGTGTGAGCCTAGGCCTTACTATAATGGTTTACTTTTACAAATTGTGACTTGGATTGAGAGTTGTCTCATTGGCACTCATACCACATCTTCTTTTATCTATTTGTGCAGTTTTTGTTGTAAAATGTACTTTGTGCAGTTTTTGTTGTAAAATGTACTTTGTGCCCCAGACGGGTAATATGTTAGATAAGAATAGAAGATTGTTTGAATTAACAGACATGTTTGTTATTAGATATAGCTTTCACTATTCAGAGTGTGTTCAAAGATGTTACAAGGATTTTATTTCAAACAGATTGTGAAAGATTAAAAATATTCATTCAATACATCAGTTGAAAAATAGAATGGTTTTAATTATAAAAACATGCCGTAAACATGGAGCAATGTGGAAGATTCAAAATATTTCTACAACACACTACATCCTTTAAGAACATCCCGGATCCACCTTGTAATAATTGACTGTCCATCGTTTAAAAAACAATACAAAGAAAAGCAATAGAAAGACTAAACAAGAAACAGGCTTTCAGAACAGGGGTTGCATTGGGTGTAATGGTATCTTTTCCATAATAAATGACTATAATTATTAACATTGATTTTTGTAATATACCTTATAGTTTAGTATATCAATTCCTTATTCTAGAACCATGAAAACAATATCAATTTTTTTAAGACAAAAAATTCCATTATTTAAATCTCCTTGAGTTTCTTTTCCAGAAAGCTGGCAATGGCCTGGTTTTGAAAAGAACATAGAATAATTGTGAACATAAGTTAAGACCTAAAACACTGAATATTGGAAAAAGATAAACCAGAAAAATACAAACACACAACAGTTAACTTTATATATGGACATCTTATAAAATGTCAGCATTTGGGTGTTAGTATTTTTTGTATTGTTATTATTTTATATTTAAGGATGTACTTAGGTCAGTTTTAGGAATTATTGTCAGATGTTCGGACTCATTGGTTTTTTTCCTATGATACAGGGAAAAATATTTTGCCCCATGACAACACTTTTTCTTTTCATGTAAGACTGCAATAGCTCATAAAAGGTCATTTACCAAAATTTAAGCAGATTCTAGATTTCTTTTCTTTCGATTTGAGACCCAAATAATACCAATGCAAATATAAGGTAAAAGTCGGAGTCAGCCTTTTCCCGACATTTTTGAAAAAAACAGATATATTATATTATTAAGACCATCTTTTTTTTTTTATATAGAATTAAAAAAGAGATTCTGCCTGTTGTGCAGTCCTTGTGTCAGGATGTGGACTATGAGGTGAGAGGGTGTATGTGTAACCAGCTCCACTCTGTAGCTAGGGGGTTAGGGTAAGTTAGTTATAAAAGTATTTTACAGTATGAGATTGTTATTGATGAAAGGATTAATGTACTGTAAAAGCAGACATTTTGATCCAGTTATGATTTTGATTATTTCCTGGATAGATGTTATCCAGGAAATTAAAACCCAGACAAAATATTAATCTACTTAGAACAATACTTGTATATACTGCAAACCAGGAAAATTAATCCCTAAAAATCAAATTTAGAAACAAAACTATGAATTTTTTTACCTCACTGAAAATATGAATAAAAGGAGATGTCTGGTATGTGTCAATGAAATAGCAATTGAACAAATCAGAAACAACATCTAGAGGTCAAAAGTCCCATGCTCAATACACCATCTTCAACAACAGACAATGTCTATACCATACATCAAGATCTAAATCCCCAATGACTGATGGAAAACCCTAGTTATTTGTTTTAACATTGTATAATTCTATAATTCTGTAGTATAATTCTATAATTCGTATAAACTTAATTAGTTTGATGTGTTTTCCAATTTGTCAAAAACAAATTGGCAACGCCTCTGTATCATAGTACATTTCACTCAGTGATAAGGTTTCACCAGTTTGTGTAAAAGGTATTGATTAAGTTTATTGTTTGGAGAAAGATATACTGCTACACAGTAAAACAATAAAGATTAATTTGTTTTGCACTGAGTTATAAATTGTTCAGATGGTGCACTGTACTTTATATTAATTTACATGTTAAAATAATCAATATATAAAATGTATATCAGAATAAAGATAGAAAAAAAAGAATGTCAGTGCCTTTGAAACTAAACAAATCTTTCAATATCATTGTTTATATAAAATAATGGTTTGTTTTGAAAGTCTAGACAGAAATTATTGCATATATTATAAACTATCACAGCGAATACCACAAAATGAGTTGAAATATTTGAGAAGATTTTTGACAATACCTGAAAAGCTTCCATTAATATGTTTAATAATATTGACATTTTTAATTTGCATACAATAAATTGTTAATGGCAATATTTTGACGTTTTGTATATTGCAATGTCTGATATTTTTGCATTTTGGGAGTGGTTAATCTTTTTGCATATTTGGAGTGGTTAATCTTTTTGCATATTGGGAGAGGTTAATCTTTTTACATATTGGGAGTGGTTTATCTTTTTGCATATTGGGAGTGGTTAATCTTTTTGCATATTGGGAGTGGTTTATCTTTTTGAATATTGGTACTGAATAATCATTTTGCATACTGGGAGTGGTTAATCTTTTTGCATATTTGGAGTGGTTAATCTTTTTGCATATTGGGAGTGGTTTATTGTTTTGCATATTGGAGATGGTTAATCTTTTTGCATATTGCAATGTTTGATATTTCTGCATATTGCAATGTTGGATATTTTCCCATCTTTGTAATGGTTACATGATTTTGGCATATCATAATCAACATGGCAGTATCATGATACAGAGAATATCAGTCAACAAGATCAAAGAGGATGAATGTTCACGTTACCAGTAAATGTGTGAATTGTAGAAATGAAAGACAATTTCTGTCGATTCAAAAGAAACTGGAAAATGAACTTTTAGGTCTGTTTGTGTATTTAGGTCCACGAATTTAAATGTTCAATAAAAGACAAAATTTCCAATGGGCTTGTATGCAGAATTTGTAAATATCAGGAAAAAATGTTTTACAAACAAAATAACATTTTTTTTTCTAAATTCACATCAATTAGTGCACAGAAAAATAAAATCCACAGTAACTGTTTTTATTTATATGAAGTTATGGTCTTAAAATGATTGGAAAAATTGCCAATACATTTACACTACTTTTTTGTTTTTTTCAGGCTTGAAGCCACAAAGAGTGCAATATTGCCAGAATTAGTTGAGCTGACAAAGGATGAAGAATGTTCTGTTAGAGTTCATGGCCTGGAAACAGTAGTTAATGTACTCGCTTCACTGGATTCTGGTAGGATTTGTTAAATTTAACAGAATTGACGAAGAGGTCTATTACCCAGTTTAATTGATTCTGGAAGGTTTGGACAAGTGTCCAGTTTTTGTCTGGCCTTGTTGGAGTTACTAAGGCAAGACTTAAGAGTGCTGTTTCCATTGTTCTAAAAGTTAGGACTGACTTCTTCCAATTACTAAATATATAAATCTTATAGAAAAAACCTAAATACCCATTAATAAATTTGTCAATTAAAATTAATAACTTGCATGAAAATTATATTCATATTTGCCAGAAACAACTTGAAGAATTTGTATTTAATCAGAAGCTTGTAATAGGATTTTTGCAATAAATTAAACTAGAGAAATTGTAATTACCTATCAAAGAAAAGCAGTCATTTTATCTTTTATAACTTTTGAAATGATTTTAAGAGCAGTTTGATAATATCTGTTTGAAATTATGTTATTATGCAATTCTCACTAAGTAAAGGATTTCAACTAAGTAAAAGAATTGATGTATGATTTATTGAAGAATAAAAAAAAAAAAAGCTTCTTTGGAAAAGTATAAAATATTGACTTTTTTGCAGCTTAATAGTTAAAATGTTGGTTTTAAGTCTGTGTTATGTATGTTTAAGTCTGTGTTATGTATGTTTAAGTTTGTTTTAGTTGTTTTTTTTTGAAAACCAAACATATTTAAAGATTTTCTAGTCATTGCAGACTCATTGTGGGTTAATTTCAGGGGATGCTGATATCTTTGGATTTTTTTAACTGCAAAACTGTTGATTGAACAATAGTTTACTGTAAATTCAGAAATTATTGCGAGGTTTTTATTATTGCGACAAATGCGACAGAGTTGTAAACGCAATAATTTAAACTCGCATTTTGAAATATTTAATATGAACTAAACAGGATGTTTCTCAAAATCGTAAAAATTAAAATCGCATTTAAGTCTAAAATGACAAAATCGCAATAATAAATGCACGCAATAATTTCTGAATTTACAGTAACTCTCAGTTGATTTTGTAGTAGTAAATCGTAACTCAATGAAAGAAATAACAATTTTGTTTCCTAAACCAATGAAAAAAGTAGCAACTAAATTTAAATTATGGTAGTATATATAGATTTTGTTATGATTATTGCTTGGAACACCCAGAAATTGTGGAACTGTAGATGAACAGTCAATAAAAATATACAATTTGAGATTAACAATTTCTGTCCCAACTTTTCACATTTATCCTGAGTTTTCGTGGCCAACAATAAGAGCTAAAAAGGCATATAATGCATCTGTTTGCTTTGGTCAATTTCTATGTTCAGTTTCATTCTAAAATCCAAATCACTGTGCAATATTAATGATATTAAACAAATACAAACCTTTCACATATTACAACACAGGTCCGCTGCTAATTTCAGGTCACTTTGACCTACATTTTACATGACAATTTTAAATTTTAAAGGTTAACCTTTGACATCCATTGTTATTTTAGCAGGTTAATAACACAAACAAACAAAAAAGGCATCTAGAGTTACTTATAGAGTCTTCATCAGTAAAAAGGTGTATATACAATGTGTTTATACTAAGATATTTCTGGAACTATTGAGCCTACATTGTATGCTTGAGTGAATTCAGTTAAGTTTTGCATTTAGGTTCAATTCAAGGAAGTTTATCTATGATATTTCACTGCTATATCATAATGAAGTCCTTTATACTTGTAGAAACATGTTCAACAACAATCATTCCATTAGTATGTAAGTTCTGTCAACAAGCCATGCAGGCTGAAGATTCCACATTGCCAGAAGTTGGTAAACAGATTGGTAAAATCGCTCATGGCCTTCTGGGTGAGTTTTAACAATGAAATTCCATCATTTACAACATAATGTAGAGACAAGACTTCTTGTAAAATAACATATGATTGTATTGCTATTGATTGTATGAAAAACAAAGTCTGAAAGCATGCTGTCTAAAATCATTGATGCTTAAAAAACTGATATAAATTTTTTTGTATAAACTTTCTGCTTAATTTGGTCATAAGAAAACAGGATATGTTATAGATAGTGCTCTGCAAACATAATATAGATTGTATACATATGTACTTATATTTTTGTTACAATATTACCTCTAGTTCTTAGCACAAACATGGCATTGAAAACTCATTTATGGATTGTGGTTACACGTTTTCCTTGAATACTAGAGATCATTAATAAAATTTGCAGACAGAAAAAAGAAATGTACCTTTAAATTGGTATTTGCAATTGCTTCCATGCCAACCATGCAACATTTAGGAATAAGAGCAAAGATTATTTGGCTCAGAATCAGAATATTATGTCCAGATGGGATGGCATGTCTTTCTGCAGTTTATTACCTTGTGAGGTGGCATGATAAAAATCAGACTGAGCTTGTAGTCTGCTACAGTGCCATGTTTCCGGTTCTTAATATAGTTGAAAGATTGTCATCCATCCTTCATTTGCATTGCATAATTTACTAATCAAAAACACATTAAATGAAAGGAAAGTAAGAAAAATACGGAAACAAAAATCAGTAACTTGTATATCTGTTATCAACATGCAATTTATTAAAAAGCAAGTTTTTGTTTCTTAATGTATAGAGGAACGATTGCCATCCATCCATTATTATCATTACATAATGTGCAGACAAAAACACATTAAATGAATGACAAGCGAAAAAAAAAATAAAAAAAATTGTAACTTGTATATTCTGTTTTAGCGTATTTATCAGATGAACAGAAGCAGTGGTTTGTTGATTATTTTAAGAAGTTGTGTAAAGTTGGTTTGTCTCTAGAAAAACTTAAAGGAAACCGAGACATAGAAAAGGATATTAGTCCCACAGTAAGTATAGTTTAAGGATGTACTTAGGTCAGGTTTAGGACTCCTTGGTCAGATGTTCGGACTCCTTGGTTTTTTTCCTACCATACAGAGTAAAATATTTTGCCCCATAACACCCATTTTACTTTTCATATAAGACTTCAATAGCTAATAAAAGGTCTTTTACCAAAAGTAACCTATCAATATTTTAGCTTATTTTGTTCCCTAACTAATGCTCTTCTGACCTATAGTATCAGTTTTAAATTCTAGATTTTTTTAATTTCACCTAAGTACATCCTTAATAATGGTAAGAAAGTGTTTTAGAAGGGGAATACATGCACAAAGACAATAATAAGAAGTGTGATTTCACAGTAAACAGGAAAGAATAATCATGTAACCATGGTGAGGTTTTATCTGTTTTATCAAAAGATATAGAAAACTGCTTTTCAGCAAAAAGTAAATTTGAAATAAAAATTGGCAATATTTTCAAAGAAGAGAAAAGAGTTAAAATGATATTTACACATTTCATTTACAAATACTACAAAGATAGAAGAATAAAAATAACAAAACAGAAATCACAAGCTAATTCAGTCATTGATTTATTGTTGCATTATGTCACATCATGATGACAAAAATATCATTGCGTTATGTCACATCATGATGACAAAAAGCAATTAAATGTTAACTGAAATTTTAGTTGCATATATGATAAAGATTGAATGACTGATTGATTCATTGTTGTTTGCTGAATGTCCAGTGTCAAATATTTCATGCATATTCAGGATGAGAACAAATAAACAGTGAATACAATAGATAGGGCCTGCTATGTAAGGATTAACTGGATGAAAGGAGGGACTTTTGGACTACCACTGGAAAATAGATAACTGATAAAGATAGTTTGATAATTGTTGAGATTTCTTTTGTAGTTAAAATGTTCAATTTAGTTATTTTACCTAACTTTTTATATATTTTTTTCAGATAACAGAAATTCCAGATTTTACCGAAGATGACAAATTTTTGGAATGTAGGAAAAACTGTGCATATAATTTTCCTGTAAGAGTTTATTACAGATAGTTGGTCCTAAATGATTCCTTCTTTAGTTAAAGATAAACACATTTAAAGTATATGTTAGACTTTCTAAGGATAATCTTACTGGGGAAAAAATCAATTTTTAACTGTTATTTCAGGCAGGAGGGGGGATATGGATATTTAAATATTGATCATTTAAATAAATCCTTCTACAATTCAAAACACTTGAGGAATAAAAAATTGCAAATTTAGTTATAACCTCAGAAGTCATACCTTAAATAGGAGACAAGAAATTGTAATTTTATTGTTGATATTAAAATAAGAATTTATTGATATAAGATATGAGGCAGATTGTCATGTGACTGAATTAAACAGCATGCAAAGAAGATTCAAGATAATAAAGATTATTAAGAGTAATTTCAAAACCCTGCTAAACATATTGAAAGTCGCTCAAAGGCATTCAACCATAAGAATAATTCAACACCTCACACTGAGTTCAAAACAAACTTTATAAGAAAACTACATATATTTCAAATAAAAACTTTAGAAGCTAGAGCTTAAAACACCAAAAAAGGTAAGATGTTATAGTTGCTAGTTTGGTTGTTTTTAAATTGCATTGTACACCTTAAATTTTAATGTATGTTTTCAGGCAATGGTGTTATTTATTGGTGCAAAGCATTTTAAATCGGAATTATTAGGATGTTTTTCTAGTCTTTGTAAAGATCCTAATGTTCAAGTTCGGAAAACTGTATCGGGTGGCTTTCATGAGGTAGGTTACATGTTAGATTATTTATGGAAGTAGTAAAATTTATCATTTACATACCGTAGTTAAAAAAAGTTTGATATTATTCACAGCCCCAATCTGTTTAAGGGAGGGTATAGATAGATGCTACATCTTAAGGATGATCGCTTCTCTTGTTTTTAACTTTTTGTCAGATATTCAGAATCCACTAGTTTTATCCATGTAAAGCCAATAAAAAACATTGACCGCTAACCCCTACTTTTCTTTCCATAATTTTATTATATATAGTTTAAACAGCCATATTTGAAAATCTTATCAACTTTTTGTTATTTTTTCATAGTTTTTGAAAGAAAAAAGTGCAAATGTTAAATGTATGAAAAATCTAGAGAGAATCGTTTCCCACCAAATTTTCAATGGCTTATATCTGGAAAACAAGGACACAGACCCTTCATTTTTTTCTGCTTTATTAGTTCCGTTATTTATATTCTATCAATTTATAATAGTCTTTTAAATGGCTTTTAAACAGAGTAGTGAACATCCTTAAATCATTCACTGTTAATTCAATTTACCCACAGGACCAGTGTGATTTATTATATTCTCAATATTGCAAACACCTATGGTCATATTTGGTCAGCAGCTTGACAGTGATGAGAATGATACTTTGAATTTTTCAATATATTGAATGAACTCAAACAATTTTTTTCAGCTTTCTCAAATACCACTGAACAGAGTTGTGTCATATTTGGTCAGCAGCTTAACAGTGATGAGTTGTTAATTTTGTGTGCTTAAATGATCTGTCAGACAGCAACTTCCTGTTTTCTGAAACTTTGAATTATGAGTGGAGATATGCTTAGCAGAAAAACACATGCATTCTTTTTTTTATTATTTGCAGGTGTCTAGAGTTTTAGGGCAACATGTAGCTGTTATACAACCAGACTTAATACTTCTGTTGAAGGATGAGTCAGTAGATGTAAGTACTGGGTTCCTTAATTTCTTTTTAAATGCCTTTCAATATTTAATGAAGGTTTACTTTTATCAAATTCTTGGAGAAGTTTCAAAAGTTAGATAGAGGGACCTTATTCTCAAAATATAGGCATAGTCTATGAGTTTTCTCAATAAAGTTCTTACACTTGAAACAGTGGTTCCCACTCGGGACTATATTTAGTTTGATGAGTAAGAAAGATAACTGTTTTTGCATTGTCATCATCCTTAATGACCTGTTTTATTGGAAATACAGCTCCTAAAGTGCAGTATCGTAGAATTTAAATCAGAGCTTTTCAAATGAAAAGTATATAACTTTAGGGCTATTCCATTAAAATGTATGTGGGAGGGTAGGAAGGGAAGTTTAATTATTGAATGTGGGTCATGGGTCTTTTTTCAGTATGCTTCTATTACCATTATGCAAAATTATCTAAAAACTGGTTCTTGGTTGTAGGGATGTTATGAAAGTCCCTTCCTACCCTCCCACATACATTTTAATGGAATAGCCCTTACCTAAGAAAGCAGTTTGAGATCTCTTGGTTAATAATGTTTATGTTTTTATACTTTTATAGAATGGAAAATATAAAATCTATATCATTTTAGAAAAAAAACATCTTTTTGTCTGAGTATGAGGTTTCCTATATTTACTCTATGTATTGGAATGGAAGGAGATTTAACAGAGTTCCTTTATGCTATGTTAAGGAATATTTTATATTTTCATGAAGATGAATTTCCATCGCAAAACATATATTTTTTTCCAGCCTCTTGACTTTTTTCGCAGAAAGCTCAACATAGGGGTAGTGATCTGGCGGCGGCAACGGCAGCGATCACTAACTACTTAAAAGCTTAATATTTCAGAAGGAAGAAGACCTGGATGTTTCAAACTTTGTATATATGTACCTTATGTTGTGAAGTTTCCATCTGTCATATGTCCTTTGTCCTTGACCTCATTTTCATGGTTTGGTGACTACCTACTTGGAAAAAAAAATTAAGATTTTTTGTAATGTTGATTTCTCTCTTATTATGAGTAATAGGATAACTATACTTAGTATGTGCCTACGTCCTCATGCCTGTCAGACAGTTTTCATCTGACCTCAACCTCATTTCATGGATCAGTGAACAGGGTTAAGTTTCGTGGTGAAATCTATATCTCAGATACTATAAGCAATAGGTCTACTATATTTGGTGTATGGAATGATTGTAAGGTGTACATGTCCAACTGGTAGGTGGCATCGCACCTTGGCGGCATTTTCATTGTGGTTAAAGTTAAGTTTTTGTGTTTTGGTCTATTTTTCTTATACTGTATGCAATAGGTCAGCTATATTTGGTGTATGGAAATATTTTATGATGTACATGTCAGTTTGGCAGGTTTTATTTGATCTTGACCTCATTTTCACAGTTCATTGCTCAATGTTAAGTTTTTGTGTTTTGGTCTGTTTTTCTTAACATGTAAGCAATAGGTCAACTCTGTTGGGTGTATGGAATGATTGTAAAGTGTACTTGCATGTCTGGCAGGGTTCATCTGACCTTGACCTCATATTCATGGATCATTGGTCAATGTAATGTTTTCATGCTTTGGTCTGTTTCTTGTATACTATAAGCAATAGGTCAACTATATTCAATGTATGGAATGATTGTAAGGTGTACATGTATTTCAGGCTTGGTTTATCTGACCTTGACCTCATTTTCTTGGATCATGATAAGTTAATTTGATACTTGTAGTAAAACATTATATATTTAGGGCTATCAACATAAAATCAATGGTAGTAAAGTAGGCGAGACATTTCAGCGTGTGCTCTCTTGTTCAATTTTTACACACCGATTTTGTAACTAAGATAAACAGAAACTGAGGAGATATTTGTTTCAATGTCAAAGTCAAATTTAATTGTTTCTGTGGTCGGTCAGGATACTTCATGGTGAGCAGTTGTCATTGGTGGAGAAAGCACAAATATCCTGAGAGAATAACTGACCTCTAGAATAAATTTGGCAATCCCAGTCAATCAAGGTTGAACCAGAACTCACTTTGCCAAAGTGGGGTTAGAACTCACAACCTCATTGCTGACAGACTAGTGATTAATGTAGATAAATACTTAGACCTCTCAGACACCAAGACCCCTTCTCTTCATTAAATTGTAAGGATTCATTTATGATAACTAAATAGTATCATTTCATATCAATGTTCTTTTAAAATTTTGTAAATCTTTGTTTTATATTTTACAGGTATTAAAAGGGGTGATAGCAAATATTCCATGTATATTAGATTGTTTGTCAGGGACTGGTAGTAATCATTCATTGTCAGAATCAAAGGTAATTAATGCTTAATGAATTTAGAAATGAGGCATTTGGGCATGCAACACAATTAAGTAAAGAAGATGAATCTAAAAAAGTTCCATTGTTATACTGTTTTGTGTAACAAATAACAAAGCATTAATATGCTGTTAACTTAATCTTACTTTTTTTTTATACTAATAGCTTTTATAGGTATGATATGTCACCAAAAAAGGAAAAAAACTGCCATAATACAAAATATCGAGAGAAAGTATCAATATTGAGCTTAATATGTCAAGCTTCTGAAACATGAATTTTTCTAAAAAAAATTTCTTGTTAACTCAAAGTGTTCTACAATTACAACAAAAATAATACATTTGTTAACAAATTTTCTTGCAATTAGTAAATTGTATTCTGACAGAATTTTCTTTTAATTTTTTTTAATAATCAAATTTACAAGTAATTTTTTTAATAATCACATCTGTTGAAACCAAGCAGAACACAGGTAGACACAATGAAAAGAAGCAGGATCAATTCAACAATTTCTTTCTGATTAGCTCATGATTAAAAGAAAATCTAAAAATTGTAAGCCCTCATCTCTATATATATATATATATATAGACTTCTGCATATTATTATACATCTGTTATATAATTTCAGCTCCATGTACTAAATGATGTGATAATAGCTGTACTGAACTCTGAACCTGTGATATTTACCTCTAATAACTGGAGGTTACAGGAACATCTGATGGATAATTTGTCCTGTCTAATCAAGTGTTGTTCTAGTGATGTACTCTACCAAAAAGTCATTCCAGTTGTATATCCTAAAATTAAATCTGCGGTAGGTACTTAGTGTAGATAATTTTGAACATTTTAGCTTTTGAACTATTTTGCTTTTAAATTTTGGCATGTAACTTTTGAGTTCTGTAGAAAATATTTTCATCATGGATATTTGATGCTCAGGAACATGCCATTGTTTTGAAATTTTCGATGTGGCAATTTAAAAAAATGTAAGCACATACCAAGGAGACAATTAAAACCTGAAATCACATTTTGCCATGTCAGCTTCGTTTATAGCTTACTATACAGTATGGGTTTTGATCATTATTGATGGCTGTATGGTGACCATCAGTTGCTCACATCCATTCCATTTGGACTCTGATGGATACCACATCACCTTGTTTTTTTAAGCACGCACATAGCCATGAAAAATAACATTAAAAGACAATACTTTACAAAACATTACACAAAGATTCAGCAAAATAAATCCAACTGAAAAATATGGTGAAACTCAGATCCTTCCTAAGGTTAAGTCGTCCTAGCTACACTTGTGGTACTCATGTTTCGTATGCTATGTAAAATATTAGATTATAAGACATATTGGATGAAAAGTGATAATAGAAAAAAAAAGATGACAGAATTTTACCTTCAACAAGCAGAACATTTATCATAATGTATAACACTTTTATAAAACTGATAGATAAATTAACAAGTTTTTGCACAAAATATAATCATGTATAGAACTAAAATTGCAAAAAAAAAAAAAAAATTGAAAACATTTATTAGCCATCAATATTTATTTTATCTACTGTATATCTGCTAAGAATAATGAGGCACATCACTTTCTTTCAATAAAACCTATATAATTTATTACAGAGGGCTTTGCCTGTGAAACATGCAGCCTGCAGATCTGCCTTGAAAATTATTAGAAAAATTAAAAAATTAACCCAAAGAGAAGAACTCCTCCATTGTTTTGTAGAAGGTATGTAGCATTTACAATTATTTCATATGCAAGAGAAAAAACATGCTTGGTTGATGTATGTGAGAAAAATTCAATCAAATACTTGGAGAAATATTCGGCAAGTTTAGAAATTATTAAGTATGAATAAAAGATTTGGGTAAGTCATCAATACAGCATTTCAATGACACAAAAAAGTCGAAAGACATCTAGATGTCAACATACTTTCTTTAACAATAAACAACTGCATTTATTAATGGGATTGCTCATAAAAAAAAAAAGAAATGCAAGTTTTTAATATTTAAAGCAATATCTGGAAATGCATCATATAATAAAGCATTCATAATTTACAATGCAAGTTATACAAATCTTATTGCATTTTCCCCTAAAATAAGAATGTCACAAAATATTTTGAATTACAATATTATAAAGTAATAGCACATTTTTTAGCTGTTCTTCTCTTGGGTGATTGCTAAAAACAAATCCTATTGCTATTCTGTTAAGCTACATATATCAAGGTCAAATCCTAAGCTCTTTAGAATTCTTGTTGAGTTTTCCTACAAATGCTGTCATTTGTTTCCTGACAATACAAAGAACAATGGTGAAGAGTTGAAATTTTATGCATAAAACATTAGGAATATAATTTGGATATTTCTGACAATTCAATTTAAAACTGTTACAAAATTGGTACCAAAAACCATTTAGTTCATATTAATATTCTATTGGTTTTAAGCTGAGAAAAACTTCTTTCAAAAAAGTCCTTAATAGATGTGACATAAAAAACGTAAAAATTAAAATGAAAATTAATGATTTTAAATCTGTTTATTTATTTCAGACTTCTGCCATGGAAGGAGTTGTCATCATAGGAGTTTATTTATTGACGTTTGTAAAAATGTGATAGAATTATATTCAAAAACTTTTTTTAAGGAATATTTTTATGAATATGTGTTAGAACTTCAATCAGATAGTGTGCCAAACGTTCGGTTACGGTTGTGTTCAATACTTCCACAGTTAAAAAAGATTATCAAATTACCTACAGACAGAAATTTACTACAGCAGTTAGAAACTTGTGTAAGAAGATTATTATTAAGTGAAAAAGATAGGGATGTTTTAGCAGCAATTAAAATTGTAAGTATTCATAACTGGCTAACATATGTGGAAAAAGGGGGTAGGTTTTGTCTTCAGGCTAATGAATGCATTGTTTTGTATAATATCTATGAGGTAGCTGAAAAAAAGGGGTAAAGCCCAAACCGCTCTAGTTGTATCGGATACTACATAAGTCTAATCTATCTTAATAGTAATAACATAGGAAGCCATTGTTTGATTTGACAATCCATAAATTAGGATGAAATTGAAATTCCTTGTTAAAATACAGATTATCCTTTACAAGTTGTCATTATTTGTTTTGAGTTAAAAAAAAAAAGATTTTTGAAGAGAGTTTGTCTGTTAACTGCAGTATGAATCTTAATTCATATACATTTTACAAAAACAGACAGTTTGAAGGAACTTTTTGACTGAAACAATGAACAAATGCCTTCACCATATGCTGAACTTAAAATGCTTCAGCCCCTTGTCTACAATCATGAATTCAACAGAGTTGAAAGGATCTTACTCTGATTACGTACAAACACTGATAGGATATGTTTATATAGAAATAAGGAGTTGTGGTGTGATTTCCAATGAGACAACTAACCACCAGATACTGAACGAAGAAGATGGTAGCAACTATTGTTTTATATAAAGGCTATCACAAATACATTGTCAATTATGCAGTCAGGTATAGCCATTCTGTATTACAATTAAAAATTGAACCATTCAGAATGAACAGAAGTGTGTATGACAATACTGTTTTTCCGTGATACTTCATCAAAGAGATCTGTGTCTTACAAATTCTTGTCAGTTCACTCAGGATAAATTTGATTTCAACAAAATCAGCTGTGCAGCGTGATGTTTAAAAAAAACCAACAAATTTGGTTCATAATCATGTAAAATTCAAATGAAACAATATAGAAATACATCATAAATCTTACAACAGGTCTGTTTAATTTGAAGTTATCAAAAGTTTATTAAACAGTTAGAAATTGTATTCTGCATTGTTCATTTACACCCTAAAAATCCCTACAGAGTTTTAACGGTGAGAAAAGTTGTTTACCTTTTAAATTAGAAAAAAGATTGAGCAGTATTTATCTGCCTTTGATAAATCTTACTTAGTGCATTTGTTATTGTGGCTTTCAGTTTTGGAATCCATCTTATAAATTTATGGTACCTTAAATTTTGGTAAAATTTATGCTACAACTTCACTATTGTTTGAAGAGATTTTAATATTTTTTGTATTTTCTTAACAGGCTGTTGATGACCTAGATAAAATACATGTACAGATGGAGCCTGTAAGTAATAACATTGTGAGAAATGTATTTATTGTAGTCAAGGGGAGATAATTTCATTTTTTTTTAGACCAATTTGAAGATATTATCTCCCTTTTATTTTGCATGATTTCCAGATTGTGCTTTTTAAATAGCTAAACATATCTAATGTTTAATATCTAAGATTTCAAACATTGCATTCAGCAAAAAGGTTTCAATAAAAAGTATTGAATAAAATTTTAAAGTAGTTTATATGAAATCATTTTATGATATACATATAAGATGTTATTGAAAATATTTAGTTGCACATTGAAGCCCAAAAGATGAACCTTTAATCATTAATTAATAATTACAGGTGATAATATCATGATTTTACAGTCCTATAAGGCATTTTTTATACCTTTACATATGACTTTTCAGTGTTTGAATAAAACAGGAGAACAAATTATGGTAGATCACTCTTGTTTTATTTTAGCTTATTTTATCTATTCAATATACTCTTATTTAGTTTTATTGGTAAAGACTTATTAGAAAGGTGGTCATGGGTTCACAGTACCTGTAAATGAAATATTTAGAAAACAATCTTCAAATTTAAAAAGAGCACCACATAAAATAATATATCCTAAAAGTCACTTTGAGATATTTTTTAAGGTCAAAATAGTCTCATTGAAAGTGTTACCATAAGGACAGGACAGCTTATATGTTCTAAAATAAGCCAGTATAAGAAAATGGTTAGAAATAATTGAAAATGTTACTAAAAAAAATATTTTTTTTTTATAATTCTTATAATTTTTATTGTAGTTAACAAAAAGATCCTTTTTTGAACATGATCTTGTGGACCAAGCAAAGGAAGAAGAGGAAAAGTTGTTGATAACAAATGTTAGTTTTCAGAGTATATAGAATCACTTTGAAAATCCAGAACCAGTTTATTAGGATGAATCAATATAAAAAAAAAGAAGTTGTGGTAGAATAGCCAATTATACAATTGTCCACCAGAGACAAAATTATGTAGATGTTAGCAAGCTTACTGACTTACATTCTATGTTTATGTTACATTGACTATTTGTATGTTTTATAATTAAGATATGAGACTTAACTCAAATCTTGTCTTGACATCATTGATTACAAAAGCTGAAACTATCAACATGCCTTGTTCGTTAGTTAGGCTTAATCTATGAACTTCATCATCAATTGTAGATATTACAGCATAAACCTGTTATCAAGTTTTCATGCAAGAAATCAACAAAAGAATGAATCATTTTATATTTCAGAAGATGATATTTTGAAAAAATGAGGGTAAATAACACATTGTTTTTTTTAAATTCTGTTCAAATTAAATGTGTGCTAGTTGTGTGCAAACTCATCTAATCTGTAAAACTCCCTAATTTTATTTGACTTTTTTCTTTTCTTTTACGATAGGCTGACCTTTGTTATGATATTTTTTTTGAAGGCTAAATTTAGTTTTTGTATGTCCTTGTAGGAAGAGAAAGAAATAAAGAAAGAGGAAGAGGCAGCAGAAAAACAAAAATCAAAGGGAGATAAAAAGGGTACGCCTTCTGCAAAGAAATCCGAAAATGGAGGAAGCAAAATACCAGCTCCTAAAAAGGGTAAAGTTTTACTATAATGCTATAGATTTGAGTAATGACTAATAAATGGGATATAGGTGTTTAGTGTTTTGAATTTTATTAAGCTATTTTTAACTTATATGGATTTTGGTTCTCAGGCACAAGAAAGACAACTCTGTATTCCGCCTACCTGAGAATTTTATTTTTATGGAATGTAAATTTAACTATGGTACGCTCAAGTTCAGAAATTTAATTTGCAATTAATACCTGAGAACTAGTTTCTGATAGGCATGTAAAATGTTTATTGGAAAGGCAGATAATTTGAGTTCTTTCTTACTGTCTATGTTGATCATTTCTTAATATGATGATATAGACATATAGTGATATATGATAAAACATTTTTATCGTCTGATTAACATATTGCTTTATTTACATCATAAACCATAAACCATTCATTTGTTAACCTATTTTCCTGCAAGGTGACAATTTTAGATAGATTGTAAGAGAATATTTTTAAACATTTTTGTTAAAATAAAAAAAGTTTAAGCAAAGCGTCCCTGATTTAAGGTAACTTTATGTGGTTACTTTAACATAAAGTTATGACTGAGAAGCTTTGGCAATGGTTAACTATAAAAGGCTTTTGTTTTAATCTGAATAGAAATTATGCTTTTTTGAAAATTAGTTAATACATGAATGGACTATTCTGTAGGAAGCAAATATAATAATTTTGTCTAATACTTGTGTTAAATGTTTATAGTACTGAAGATATGTTATACTAATACAGTGAGGGTCAAGATAATTTTACAGACATTGATAATCGTTAGATAGTTTATGAAGAAGCATATTTTGAAAACAAAAAAGTATTTAAATTTTCATGAAGTTTTGATCATTACAAGAATTTTTTTTTTTTTTATTTGAATATGAATATTTTTCCTGAACTATTATATTTCAATTAAATTGTAGACAAAATTAAAACCTATAATTTAGCTATGAGGTACTGGAATGAATTATCAACAAAATTATTACACCCAACTATTTTTTTATGTTTAACCAAAGAGTACTTTTCAAAATGAAATTATAAAAATCGTAAAAACTATAATTATGACTTTTAATGTTTATGAAATATTTCTAACTACTCACAATATATATTATTCAGTATATTCTGAAATTTTTTTAGGACTGTTCCATTAAAATATACATGGTATCCTGGAAAAACATTTTGAAAATGGGGTAACTATCTATAGAGGCAATTTAAGAATTTAGTTTCACGTTTATTGTACTAAAACACCCACCCATAGATGAGAAGTGCCTTCCCTGGGTTACATGTTAGTTTTTATGGAACAACCCTCATATTAGAATACTAAGAATGTTTGTTATCAAGATAATTGTCAAACTATGACGAGGCCTGGCATATTGGTGAGTATGGTCAAGATATGAAAGTATCACACAATTGCTGATGACGAAATATCATATTTTAGGAACGAAAGCAACCAGTACAGCATCAGGTTCCAGTGGTTCATCAACTCAAGTTTCTTCAAAAGGTCAGAATGATAATTATTATTCACAATGCACTTGTAGGCACATTTAGTACCGGTAGTCTTTGGAATTCAATTTTCCCCTTTTTTAACAGATATATTCTAAGGAAATAAAATAAACATATATAACTTTTTACCAGTTATTTACTTTCTAATTTACTTACAGTTATACGATTTGTATTTAATTTTTGTTCACTGGTGCAGTTTTAAAACTGTGCTAAATAAATTAACATTCATATTTCTTTCCCTGTCTTTGCTAAAAATTTTGTAAAGCAGTTACATCAGAAGCCACACAACTGTTCACCTGTTTTCTTCAAGTTGTTAATTCTGTTTTAATTCTTACAATTGCTGAAAAGTTTGAATAACTGTTGAATTCAAAACCTTTAATTTACATGAAAACTTAGTAAATCTCAGGTAAAACCTACAGAGTAATTTTGGCGAAAGAGATTTATTATTTTTTTAAACAAATTATATGTAGAATTGAAGACTTGTAACAAATATGTTAGCATACTAGTTGCCTCAACTTTTAAATTTCCTAAATAAAGATAAACACCAAAGTTTTAATTTCTTTTTAACAGATCGTGCATGTGTGACTTCTAAGTTTTTGTATCCAACCTATTTACTAGGAGGTAACCCTTCTATGATTATAAACGTAATACAAGGCAAATAAACAAAACGGCTTTATAGTGATTAGATTTTCAGATAACATTGTTACACCCAAAACTTATACAGGTGTTATCAAGTTTCCTTGCAACTGATCAGGACTTTAACTGGTGATTTCAATTTTAAGTTTTGTCAAGAGCTATACAAACATTTGTTAGGAATTGATATCAATATTGCTCATGTGAAACAGCTTACTTCAGACATTAGGCTTAGACATTAAGATGTTCTACCTGAGCATTTTTGGTTTCAACACCTGATTCTTAAAGTTAAACAGCTTCTTATAAAATAAAATAAAATTGGCCAGTTGCAAGAAAAATAGTGAACAGCTGTACCAGTTTGGTTATAAAACTTATTATTTAGTGTGTACTCTTTTAGAATACTAATTAATAATACAAAACCTATTTTCTTTAGATACTTCAAAAACCCATTTATCAAAATCAAAATCCAGTAATTCTTTGTCACAAATACCCAGACTAGGTAAGGTGAAGCATGGTACATAAATCCCAGAGAAAGTGTTTTTAATTTGCATGGTCAATATCTCTTTTTAATCAATTTTCTCATGAATTGACTCAAAAATTATATTTAAACAAGAGTTACTTCCCTTTCGGTGGAGTAAGTACTTGTTCCTTACAGTTATGAGCTACTGTTAGAAAAGTTAATAAAAATATATTCTTTTTCAAAGCATAGTCATTTTTAGTTACATACTGAAGTTAGATAACAAGTTCATCAGAAACAAAAAGTCTTCACAATTAACCATGACCCAGGTCAGTAAAATTGAATTTTTACTAGGAAAATTTTCTTGGAAAGAGGCCTCACAAGCTAAATTTTTTTTTATAGAAATCATATGAAAAACTGATTTTCTGGCTTGTAAGTAAAAAAAAAAGAAAATTCTTGTGAAGACTGCAAAAATATACAAAAAAATATTTTATGCCAATTAGTAGAATATAAGCCATGAACATTTTTTTTCACTTTAGCTCAGCATTGTAGTGAACCAGTAATACTTGTTCGGGAAAGGAAATATCTTGTCTCAAAATTTAATTTTAGAGTATATTCAGGATTCAGAAAAATCGATTATTAAAAAGAGATGTAAATCCATTGATGTTGTCCAGTGTAAAGTATGAATGAAACCTGAACATAACAATAGTTTGTTATCTGTTGTACACTTTGCCTACCAGTTACATGTCTATTATTGCAAATTAGTGTCATATTTTACTATACACCTTTACATATATTTTTCTGTGTTCTAATTTGATGTACCAAAATATCAATAAGGATATTTTCTGCATGCAGTATTTGCAATACCATAGTTTTTGATATAATTCCTACGGAATTGTAAACTAAAGGACCAATTCCCAATGAGAATTATTTGAAAAATCATTTAAGATTGTTAAAATTGGCAAATTCCTAAAATATTCATATGCTAGACTTAGGTAAAGCAATACAAATTTGGTATTTCTCAAATTACTTGCATTCATGGTTTGTCTGTGCATATTAAGTTCTCAAAAGGACTTAAGTAACCCATAGTTTAATATAAAAACACAGTATCTTAAATTAGTGCTGCTTTGTTTGGACACATAGAAAAAAAATTCCAGCTCAGACTTGCAATCAAATTGTTTAGCAATCAATTTTTTTTCGAGAATTAGGTAATCAAATAATTACAAATATCCCTACCAACATCTACCATCAGAATAAGGATAATAATCAAGGGAAATAACTTTTATCTAAGCTACTGCAATCATAATACTTAACCTTTATTTTATTGTCCATGGTATTACATAAATATTTCAAAAGGTTTGTTGGTGGCTTTGATGGCAGAGTGGTCTAAGTAGTTCAACTGCAGTGATCACTAGCTGGTAAACACTGAGTTTGTGAGGGTCACATTGTTGAAGGTAATTTTGACACTTATCTTAATTGACTAGGGAAGCCAGGTCTCCTTTCAAAGATTGGTGGCTCTTTTCATTTACTTCCAACTTCCTCAACCATTAAAAACTTGATGCCATGATTTAACCAACTATGCTAAAAGTGGCGTTAAACACCAACAATCAGTCAATCAATTAAAAGGTTTGCTCCATGGTATTTTGAATTTAATCTAGAAACCAAAAGTACAGACAGACAAACAATTAGTATCCTTACTACTCCTGTCCTTGTTAAGCAGGACTTACAAAAATGAGAGGACCCTTTGGGAATATTTTTTGTTCTGGTACAGTTCAAAATGAAGTAATTTCATGATAAAAAAATTTTTTTGAACTAGAGTTCAGATTAAGGCATGATATTTTTTTTATGTTTGTGTATTCAGAGATGATTTTAATAATATTTATTTCTGTGTCAGTTTTAACATTTGGAGTGTAAATTATCCTTTTTATTTTTTGAGTAATACTAGCTCTGCATGATTTGTTTAAGTTTGAAATTTTAGATATGTAATTTTTTCATAAGGTTGTTGATTTTTCTATGGATTTATTTATTTTGGATAATGATTGAAATAATATACTTTGGATTCATTATTATTCGTCGGATACCAATTTCGTGGTTTTCGTGGGTACAGGTGAACCACGAATTTAAATGTTCAATGCATTTCATATTTTCTATTGGGTTGTATGCAGACTTTGGCAAAACCATGAAATCATATATCCACGAAAAGGCAAGTTTTCCCCAATCCATGAAAATTAGTACCCACGAAAATAAATGAATCCATAGTAGATATGAAATATGGCTTCATATGCCAATATTTAAGTTCTGTTTTATACAGGTTGAAAGGGAAATACAACTTTAAGAACATTTATATGAATTTTTTTTTGAATTTTTTCCATGCCAAACACTTCTTTCTTATACTTTTGTTGAATTGCAAACTGCTGGAAAAAGAAAGAAGATCAAATGTAACTTACATAGAAAAATTATAATGTATGCAAAAATCCTATGGTATTCTATTAGTTTATTTAATAGTGCCTTCAAAATTTATACAAGTTCATGTATGATTATTGATTTTTTTGCAAGCATTAAATGTTTACCATTATTTATATTGTACATAACTATATTAAATGTTGTTGCATGTCATAACTATTTTAAATAATAAAAACAAATGATATTTTTTGTGTAAAATGATACCATAACATACAAAAACAGGTAACTTGTTCCTCTTATGGTTCTCATTTTAATTTTAAACACTTTTTTATTGGATAAATAGTCATGAAATTTCGGTTTCATTCCATAATGAGTCAGTGATGCAATTTTTGTGAAATAAAATCAAGCAGAGGACATTGTTGTTTTCATTTCTTTAAAATTAATTGATGAAAAGGTCTTCTTAATTTTCAATTTTGAATTATGAAACAACCTTCCTCAATTTACTTGGATCTATACATTTTTGAACATTCATGTTTTTTTTATTATTATTTAAAAATGCTGAGATGTGAAGAGTATCATTCTGCAGCATGAAATGTTCCGAGTTAAATATCAAATTAGCATATTTGTATTTCTGTTCCAAAGGAGTTAAAACAACTATGAACTTTACAAAAGAAGTAAATACAACCAGGAAGACTGTGGGCTCTCCTAAACTATCGAGACTACCAAGATATAGCTCTACTCCAGACCTCAACAATGGTTTAATAGGGAAGACATCACCAATTATACCCAAAAAGATGTATAATAAGAACAAACTGAATGAAGACAATGGTCTAAAAAAACTCAGGAGATATTCTAATATTGAAATAGACAATAAGAAAATAGAGAATAGTAAATCAGTAAACCGGTCTAAGCTACCTCATTTCTCATGGAATAAGTATGCTAGTGATGGAAGACAATCCCCACATCCTCAGAGGGCCTTTCTTGCCAGTGATGGACGATCGTCACCACACCCAGACATGATGAAGACTCGTGATCACAGTGGTGAGAAGTTTGAAGGAATGCTCGGTGTTTAGTGCTTCGCAAGCATGAAATAATGACATGGAAAAAGCTGAACATTTCTGATTTTCTTTTTTTCTGGAATGAAGAATGTATCAAGAAAGCTCTACATTTCTTTCTCTTTCGTTATGTTTTTTTAGAATGAATGATATATTGAGAAAGCTCAACATTTCTTTATCTTTTGTTATGTTTTTGAATGAATAAGTTATTGAGAAAGTTCTACATTTCTTTCTGTTTAGTTCTGTTTCTGCAATGAATAATGCATTATTTTAAATATAGATATTCAATAACAGTGCTTTATATCTTAATCATATTTATTTTATAGACATTTTGGATGGCATGAACCTTCAATTTTCTTCATAACTCGTGATAGAATATATTCTTTAACATGTCCTATGTATGAAAAGCTTCCATATAATTTTATTATCATTGTTTACCTTCATTGTAATAGTAAGAGATGGCTATGAATATAGTAACAGCATTGACCATTTTCCTTCTTTTTATGCCCCACCTACGATAGTAGAGGGGCATTATGTTTTTCGGTCTGTCCGTTCGTCCGTCTGTCCCGCTTCAGGTTAATACAACTGATTTAATATAACCAATAATTCTTCATAACCCTTCCATAATGAAGTGGGGATATATGATGACTGGATCATGAATCAATTGATGACTGGATCATGAAACTTTCAAGGAATCTACCAAAGAAAATTTTGCATCTAGTTTTTTTTTTTTATAAAGAGATTTCTAATAACAACACATTGGATTCCCATTTCTATCTATACAAATTGGGGAGTGGGTATGAATTTTGTTTTTGTAGTTAAAGATTGTATGCAGGTGTATTTTTGATACAATCTTTTCATAGAAATATCTTTTGTTTAGTTTATGTTTGTGTATTTTCTGCTAATAGTAATGAATATTTATTTGAAATACAGGTATCATGACATTTGCAATATTTCCTATACATATATCATATCTAATTTTCCTAGATGAGCATGTGTTTTGCTTTATGACTTAGTATATAGGACAGAGAGACTGGTTTGAATAAGTTACTGCACACTATTTACAGCTCTTCTATAAAAGCATGCAAAGCAAACCTTTGATCAGCTTGCTTGCTATGTTTGTTTGGATGTTTGTAAACAAAAGGTAGGTAGTCTGTTTCAGTCTGTTTACTATATACTGGAAATTGATTGGACAATAAACATTAACTTCATTGCATGTCAATTTTTATTGTCTAATCAAATTCCAGTATATACAAAACAGACTGAAACTCCGTCTACCTATTGTTTTCAAACATCCAAGCAAACATAGCAAGCAAGTTGATCAAAGGTTTGCTTTGCATGCTTTTATAGAAGAGCTGTAATTAAATACAATATTCATAGTATTGGTAAATTACATATGTTGTTTGAATATTGTTAATTTCCTTGCGATTGTTTATCGCTACAGATTATTTTTTTCTCTCACAGCAAACTTGTTTATATTTACTTTTTTATAGATCAAATAGCGAAATAATGTCCTATTGTAGCAAATATTACACATTGGAGACAATATTTTCAGGTTCAGCCAAACAATTTGAATATCTTTTTGATTGGCTTTATTTCATTTATTTTTTGCAGCCTCAGGAAGTAAAATAAGCAGTAATACAAAGACAAAACCTCCCAGCAGTGCTGGAACTACGTAAGTTTTAATCTTTTCTGTTTCTAATTTTTTTGTGTGTAAAAATATTGTCATTCCTTTTCTTTTTCCTTCAATGTATTAATCAGTCTAATTAAGATAAAGATCCTGTGTCCATGTTTTGCTTACGAAATTCTGACAACACGCCCTTTCTGCTTTCCGTTCTAGTAATTGTTACATCAGCCAATGAATTTTCTGCCTCCAAATTTTTGAAAAGATGTATTATTAGGACAAAACCTGAGGATCCTGAATGGTGTTTTTAAAACAGAAAGTAGAATGGAGCATTGTCAGATCCTTGTAAGCAAAGTGTGGACACAGAATCTGTATTTAATCAGATTGTATTCTTATAAAGTAAATATATATTTCCAATAATTATTTCACTCTTTTTTAGTCTTTTTAACTATTAATAAAATACTTAAATTTCAATTCATTTTATGTACTTTTCTGCATTTTACTCAAAATATAAATACTTTTTAAGTTTAGTTTTAACAATTTCTATATTATCTATATGTATTCTGTATTAATGTAACTTGATATACTTGCTGTTGTTTGATGGTGATGGATGTCAATATACTGTGGATTCGTTTAATTTGGTGGGTGTCAATTTTCGTGGATTATGGCTATCTTACATTTTCGTGACTATTTGATTTCGTGCTTTTGGCAAAGTCTGCATACAACTTTATATAAAATGTGTCTTTTGTTGAAGATTTAAATTTGAGGTTCACCAGTATCAATGAAATCCACGAAAATTGGTATCCAACGAATAATTATGAATCCACAGTATTTTGTGAATCTTTCCTTAGTTTCTGTCAGTGTTTGAAATAAATTTTAAAAGCAGCCAGTCCATCAGAAATTATCAAACAAATCCCTCCTTTCAATAAATGTGGGGGCCTTGTTGGCCAAAGTTGCTGAGGTGACTGATGTTGTGTATGGTTTTGACCTGTCTGTCAGTCCATCTGTCAGTCCTGTTCTTGTCATCACAATTGCTCTGAAACCACATGACAGAATTTTATCAGTTGACTTTTGTAGGAGTCATTAGTTTTTGAACTTTGGAAACTAATGAGATTTTCTTTGCCCAGTGACAGTGTGGGGGCATGGGGTATGTGAGCATGCTCACAAAGGTTCCTTAATTTTTGTTTGTTGCATTTGATATTCTTACAAATGAGATTATGACATGTCTACTGTTGATAAATTTATGAATTATTAGAAAAATATTATAAATTTTCTAATGCTCTCAGACAAAGTTGACCTAAGATGGATTTGACTCTACTTTTTAGGTTGCTTTTGGTCATTAAACTCCTCATGTATTCAAGCAGTTATACATTCATCTTTGTCATTCACATTTTTTGGTTTGAGATTTCCTGAAGAAGGTGCATCAAGGAAAGCATCTTGGACGCACCTAATTTATTAAATGTTATTTTTTCCAAATAATAACAGGCTGGTATTTCAAACACTGTTTACTGTATGCTAGTGTGTGTGTGTATTTTTGTAGTAGACGGGCTTCAGAAGGAGGTAATACAGTAACCCAGAGAAGAGGGTCTATGAGTAGTGCTAGTAGTACTGGCAGTACAGGTAGGTTTTATCTTACTCCTTTTTTAAATCAAGTCTTACTGCAGAGGCAGCAAAAAATCTGAAGCCCTGTGTTTGGAGAGGCTGAGCTGATTGTATGATATGAAACAATTACACAACAACTCAAGCTCATAGATGACGTGTTTCAAGGGAAAATTTTCGTAACTATTACTCTTTATCAAAGTTGACAGTCTTATCTATCAAACTGTTTAATGTGATTTGGTCCTCAATGATTTCATTGGGACTAATTTTTGCAGTGTCCAGTTTAAAAAAAAATAACATTCCTTATAGATTAATTTTTCGCTGGGGTGGTTTAAATTTCATTGATTATATTTATCCATGAAATGAATAAAGCTAAAACCTCAACAAAAACGTGTTCTTTTACAGTTATCCAGTGAGTTGACAGTTGATGGAAGACTGACTTTTAATTGCTTTTTTGACTTAGTTGCTTCTTTACTTTTTAGTATACATTAACATGAATAATCAATCGAACATTTACATAAATTGCAGTTAGTCATAAGATGGTGAAAACATCAAGATATTGTTGTTTTTGGCTACCCATATTTAGTTGCTTAAATACATTTAGATTTTCAAAATTTTCTGTAGCCAAAACAGATAATTACTATCAAAGTTAAGGAATTAATGAGGTTCAAATAAATAATTGAAATTCAAATGATATGTATAAATGAAAGCGTACAAAAAGTTCAAACATTCTTAATTTTGTTCATTTTATCTATAGAATGTCAGTTAAAGAACCTTAAACTCAACAAGTAAGATTTGCTGTTTCTTTTTCAGTGCTATAAAACACTGCTTTTGATTTGTTCATTTTGCACTTCTGAGAATATGATACATTTATCAAAAATCTTTGTGGGATTAGTTTTCAGTCACAGTTGCAGTCGTGTATGCACTATTTAGATAACAAAATGGTTGAAGATAGCATCAGTAATTTCACAATTAATAAATGTTACATCAAGTTTGAAAATACCATTAGTTGTTTGGTTTTTGATTTAAGAGCAACATAATAAGATTTTTTCCCAACCACTTCTCATGGTAAGAGTTAACAGGTTTCTTTTGTCTGTGTCTTTCTACCAGTAAAAGTCTGTTCCATACTTGGTCCTGGAAAACAGTGATTTCATTTCAAATTTTTACATTTGGGCAAGTTTTAGGGTAAGAGAATTACAAGACTGACGGATGTATGAATTTGTGGATATCTTAGGGTAAGATAAGAGACATAGAATATTTCAGTATGAGGTTATTCCTAATCACTAGGTATGACTTATGAAATATTTTAATATGAATATGCAGTAAAGCTTAATAGAGCAAGAACTGTTAACCATTTTGAAGCACCTCAGTTAAAAAAAAATATGTTGAATGAATTTTAAATTTTTCATGACTTTCTCAGAAACTACTGAACAGAATGATTTCATATTTTGTCAGCAGCCCAACAATGATGAGTTATAACATGTGCTTTTCAGATCTGTCAAACACCTTCTTTCTGTTTCTGATACTTTGAGTTAAAGAGTGGGGTATGCTTAGCACGACATCATATGCATTCTTTTTATGTTTAACCTGAAACAGTCATTAATCAGCCAGCCAATGGATCTTAAGAAAAATAAAGTGATCATTTGCTTAGATTATTCAGTCACTAAGGCCAATTTGAAATTATTGTATTTTTTTCTTGAATTAACAAATGTTAACTTCAATTTGTTCTTTTTTGTTCTATGATTTTTTTCAGTATTTTTATTGTAATTTGAAATGCTTTGACTAATAATACTATTTTTCAATGGGTTGACAATCTTTTTGAATCAGAAGTACTTTTTTCTTTTTTAGAAAATCTTTAAAACAATTTTTTATTTTTTCAGAATCAGCAACAGTCAAGTCAAAAGGAAGTAATGGTCTACTCACAGTTCCTAGTACAAAACCGTATGTATTCTTGTCATATGGTATTGTGCTGTCATAATTAGTCAAACATTTGCTTCTATTGACGTAAGCTCCCTTTCGATTTTTATAAATTTTAGATTTTACTTTTCCAAGTTATGGGATTTTATTCATAAAAAAGGGGTGATTTTCCAGTTTTCGGACAATATCTTTAAAGTGCTTTGAGCAGTTTTTATGAAACTTTGGTGACTAGTTTATATCTATTAAGATAACCTCCCTTTAGTTTTTCATAAATTTCTGATATGACATGAGAAGTTATTGAACTTTATTCTTTGAAAACGCGACGGGCGTATCATGCCCTCATGGCGCAGCTGTTTATTCGCTGATTTCAAGATTTTGTCATGTTCTGAACTTACCGTTTTTCTGGATTTACTTTCATCAGGAATGCTCAAAGCCAAAAATTTGAAAGTCGAGCCTGCAATAGTGATGTGCTATTTGATCAAAAAGGAATGTAAGAATACTAGCCAAATCCATATAAGGTCAACTCAGTTAAGCTCTAGTTTAGAAAAGTAATGAATGAATTTAATAGAGACCATAAGCAATCAACACTATGTTCTCCAATAATTAAGTCAATTAATGACAACCTTCCCTACTTGGGACAGGCAAATAATAATTTGTCTGAGCTTAATATAGTTTCAAACAGTTTCCTTTCTTTTTATTTTTCAGAACTAGAAAGAAGTCAAAGTAACCATGGATGCAAAAGATTGAGTTTGTCGTCTGCTTGAGGTTTTGAGTATTCATGACACTGTTTCTGTGCAATATTTCTACGAGGCAATAACTATGCATTATAATATGCTGCTGAACATCTTTTGTAACTGCCTTTTAAACTTAAACTTTTGTTGTAAATTATACTTTTTTATGTTGTGTAACAAGGAAATCTGAAGCAATAAGGACCTTGTTAGATTTCTAATGAGTATGATTTATGTTGCATACCATAATATATTTACTCTTTGTTCTATGATGTGTTCTGAACTCTTTTACAAAGATTGTCATGTGTTACTCACAAACCAAGTTTGTAGTCTTATTATTGTTATGGGTCAAACACAAGGCCAAAAAGCAAAGGATTGTTTTTTTCTTTTATGATTCAATTTATGAAAATGTAAGAATTTATTGGACAGGATAAGATGGGGTATTGTTATTTACTTTTGTAATTAAAGCTTAAAATTGTTATTTAATCTGAATAAGCACTATTAAATATGATCTTTTTGGTACAAACCAGTACCAACCAGCTAAAGTTGGAAATTTGGTACAAACCAGTACCAACCAGCTAAAGTTGGAAATTTGGTACAAACCAGTACCAACCAGCTAAAGTTGGAAATTTGGTACAAACCAGTACCAACCAGCTAAAGTTGGAAATTTTTTACAGACCAGCTAAGGGTGGAAATTATTTAAACTTGTTGCAGCTATTTTTTCCCATGTATGGCTGAGACAGGAACATTTGAGATGTCCAAAAAAACTGTGCTGATATACACTCAGGTTATCATTTGCAATCATGATTTTTTATATCACTATGGCATTACCAAAGGAAGAAACATTGCAAAAAATATTTGATTTGTTCGAGGATCGTAAAGGGAGGAAGGGGAGGGGAGTATAAGCACAGGAAAACATAAAAAAAAAAAAATTTCTTAATTAAAAAAATTTCAAGCTTTTAACTGTGATTTTTTACCAATTTGAATAAATTATGGCAAACAACAGCCATTTAGCACAAAATCATGTCAAAGTAAAAGCTTGCAAACACATTGCACTAAAATCCCCCTTTTACGACCCTCTTAAGCTACTGGTGATTTTGTGAAATGATCATGAAGTGTACTAGGAACATTAGAATAATATCTACTCAAGTAATGAGTTGAATTAAAATGGTCATGTAAAAATTTGAAGTATAATATGTCTATATACACAAAAAATTTAATCTCTGAACTTTTTAAATTTGAAATCTCATTTGTGATCATTCATGATTTTTGAATACTGGAAAAAGCAATATTTATTAACAGGACTTTATATATGATATGAAAGTGCTATTTGAAATTTTCCCCATATATATATAGTGCTAATATGAAATGGATGATAAAAAGGTATATGACAATTGAGCAATCAAATTAATCTATTGACAGTGGATCATAGGCACTCCAGATTTCTTTTAAGAAATTAGAAACTTATACTTAAAACACATATTAAATGGCTTGTCTTTAAATGATTCACAGTATAAATTATTCCTGTGTGAACCAATTTTCTTGCAAGAAGTTAATTCAATTTTAATTTTATCAATAGCTATTTAAAGAAGTGTTTGGTGTTTTTTTACAAAAAAAAAGCTCACAGAAAACCCAGGTAAATAAAAAATATTGTAAGTCATCTGAATTAAGGTGTTTCAATTTCTACACCTGTCAATATATTTTGCTCTTGAAAAAAATTAAATTGCAAATAAACTCATCATAGATACCAGGATTGAAAATTTGTATGCCACAAGACTCATCTGACGCTCGAATAAAAAAAGTTAAAAAACCAAAGAAAGTACAAAGTTGAAGAGCATTGAGGACCCAAATTTCCTAATAATAATCAGTTGCAAGACCTTTGGTTAACACATGTACGATTTTAGCTGTGATTCTGTTGTATCATTTATTAGTAAAGAAATATTTTTTGAGAAATGTCACTACTGTAAATTCCAAATAATTTGTGTGTATTTATCATTGTGATTGTTGACAAATTGACAAGAATACATGATTAATTACTATTATTTTAGGAAATGCTGCACACAAATAATGCAGTCACATTTGAAATTCAAGTTTTTATTATTGAGAAAACCTAGACTGTTGCAAATTTTGCAATTATTTAAACATCACAAAAATTTCTAAATTTATTTCAAAATGATTTTTAATCAGTTATGTTGTATTTGTTTGAAATCTGATAACTATTGTTGTGTTGTAGTTTTCAACTGTTTATATATCTAAGAATTTAAATGATTCCAAAGAAATAGTATTATGTGCCTTTAATAGTTGATCAAGGTCAAATTGTTAAGTTCATTGCACAATCACTGTTTCATAAATAGAAAAAAAGGATAAGACTTGAAGTAGGCATATTTCATTTTATTTTTATTTGTTAATTTGGGGGGAGGCATGTAAAAGAGTTTTATTGATGTCTCACTCATATACACTCCCCTTTCTATTTTGGGGAGGAGGATGGAATATATAGCACATCTTTGTATCCAACCATTTTGCCCTTCCTGACCTTCTTCTGGATTTAATAGAGAAATTTTATCTATGTGGCAATGTAGGTACTTACTATGATCCATATAACAAACTGATCACTTTGACCTACATTTTAAACACAACTTCCTGTCAATTTGACCTAAAGATCTAGATTTAATCATAATATTGTAATGGAGTTAAGATACATAACTAGTGGTCACATTGAATATCTTTCATTTATTCTGTTGCTTTTTTTTTAATTGATAAAAACATCACAAAATTTTTCTGAATCTACAGCATACAGCAGAATAGCAGAATGTATGTCAGAGATTAGCTGTCATTTATGACTGGATATATCTTATTTATATTCTGTTGAACACAAAAGGACTTGCAAATTGTTAACTTTGTTATGAAGTTACACATAAAAATGATATTATGACATTTTGTTTTGATTTGGGTTTTTTCCAATTGGGGGATTTAGGTATTTAGTACAAAATGTAGTTCACACAATTATTTTTTTTCCTGTAGTTTCTGGGGTAGAATTTTGTAGATTTTTTTTTTTATTTTCCTATCACAGATACTACATTCCAAAAGTTGGAGAAAAATGGCACACATTTTCATTTTGTATATTTATGAAAATCAAGAAGTCATTTTCACCAATATTTATGTAAAATAATATTTTGATCAGATATTTTTAATATTCACATTGTAATCAAATTCATTAAATATAACAGAATTGGATGAAATGTTTTACTTTATATTAAAAATACACTTTCTGTTTTTGACATTTTTTTTAAGAGGAAGATTGTGTTATATAATGTCAAACGATTTATAATTATAATCATCTTTGTAAAACAAAACATTAAGACTTTTTTTTTTTTTTAAAGTTTGCAGAATTTGTCCTTAAAGAGATATCTTCTATTAAATACAATTTTCAAAATTATCCATCTTTTCTTAAAATGAAAAATCATTAAAACACATACATTAATATACTATGGTCATGTAATATACAGCCTTTGGATGTATCCTACATTTCATAATTTGTATAAATGTCTTGAAAACTAGCATTACGTTTAATTTTTGTATAATGAAAGTTTGTATATGCAATAATATTAGTATGTAAGATGAAATAGATGTAATCCGTCCAATAAATGTTCATTTCCATGACACTTGAAATCCATTTGTAAATTTTTCTATATTTAATATTGTAGTTGTTGAAAACATGAATTGGTTGAGCATGTCGCCATAGAGAGTTGAGATAGAAATACCTATTTAGTCCTCAATTTAAAAAAAATTAAGTTTGTTTTTTTGAATTTACTTTTTTGTAATAGTTGAGAAAAGGATGAAACTGTCAATCTTTTATTTTTGCTGTATCAGAATAACTTATGTTGATTTATCAAGAGCCATAGCTTATAAATGGTTGGAAAATTTGTCTCTGAATTTTACATAAGAATTAAAAAATTAAAAAAAAAATTGTTAAACTTTGAAAAATGTCCTAAAGTAAAAAAAAAAACAATATTTAGAATGTTTCACCAGAATTATATTTAAAAATGTAAATTTTCAAATCATATTAATTTACATAGAGGTTTCTTGACAAAAATTTTAAATGGTAAAACCAGAGGATTTACAAAATATGTGGAAAAGTTGGAAAAAGAATAAGGAGACGTAAATTGCTAAAATAAAATTGCTCTTATTTGCTTTGTGTACCTTTGATTACAAGAAAAATGCTTATAGAAGCAAGAAAATTGAAGTAATTGGAGTTAATTGCCAATACTAGGTTTGTTTGTTGACAGAATTCCATATAATGTGTATGCACATGCCGCCAAGAAAACCAATGCAATGTTCATGTATTGTTATTGATATTCATCATGATTATATATTTTTAACTATATCATTCTTCCAAGAAAGTGTTCTCTACTTTTGTGCTATCATCTCATTTGCATAATAAATTACTCCTGCTGTGTAGTATTTAGTCTGAGATTGCTCTGACGTCTGACAGCCTTTTACAGGCTAGCTGAGGACGTCAGACTTCCCTAGAAAGTTCCAAAGGTTATCAGATGTCAAAGTAATCTTGGACTATGTAGTATTAGTTATTCGGTCATTTGAATGAAACCAGATTAATGTTTTGTTTTTTACTTGAATAGCGTTAATAACAGAGAACAATAGATTTTGGATTGATGAATTGTGAAGATTTTTTAAATACAAATATAAAAAAAATATGGTACAAGTTTGGTTTGCATCTCTTAGAATTAGACACAATTATCATTTAATGGTATGCCTGTCTTTAATTGTAGGACTGAACTAGGGTACAGAACAGTCATATTTTACCTCAGTTTACTAGTACTGGAAATTGATCAATCTTGTATTAAAGTTGCTTCCCCTGTTTGATTGCTTTAGTATAAAAAATATGCTTAAATTTAAAAGTTTTATTTTTCAAAAATCAACAGAATTGCATTAACATGATCACAGGTTTGAAACTTGAGCTATGCATTCAAAAAATATCAAGATAAATAAGTTATATCCTTTATCTTTTTTTTTTGTTTCATGTTTTTGATACATAAAGATGGAACCTGGAAAGAACTAATAAAAGATGCCTGACAAAAACAAAAATTCTTTTCACATATTCTGTCACCATTTGGAGTTTATCCACAGTATTTATCCAAAGTGGTGCTCCTAATAAAGGAGGAAGAAACAGAACATACATACATACATCAGAAAATACTTTTTTTGTAATCAGATGTAATTGGTAAACTTTCTAAGGATTCAGTTTTTTCTGCTATAATTGTAATGCAACTGTTTCAGGATTCAGTTGTACCTGCTATAATTGTAATGCAACTGTTTCAGGATTCAGTTTTATCTGCTATAATTGTAATGCAAATGTTTAAGGATTCAGTTTTACCTGCTGTATTTGTAATGCAACTGTTTAAGGATTCAGTTTTATCTGCTATAATTGTAATGCAACTGTTTAAGGATTCAGTTTTTTCTGCTATAATTGTAATGCAACTGTTTAAGGATTCAGTTTTATCTACTATAATTGTAATGCAACTGTTTCATGATTCAGTTTTATCTACTATAATTGTAATGCAACTGTTTCATGATTCAGTTTTATCTGCTATAATTGTAATGCAAAAGTTTAAGGATTCAGTTTTATCTGCTATAATTGTAATGCAACTGTTTAAGGATTCAGTTTTAATTGTAATACATATTGTTTATTTTGTTAAATAAAGCATTGTCATTTTACACTTCATCAATATTGAAAATATATTCCTCAGTAAACATGCTTTTGTTGATTGTTGTTTTCTTAGAACTGTGTTCAAAATGCAAATGACGATTTAAGCATTGCAAATTTTGTTCTGATTTTGCATTGAGAATGACAATATTAAAGAAACAGATGGTAACAATATCACTATGTCAGTATAAAATTAGCTTAGTGTTTTAATTATACCCATTAATTCTTTTGGTCAATAGACTATTTTCATATTACCGAATTTTGACTCTAGATTTTATAATTTTTCTACAGGTTACCGTTTCTGTGGTAGGACATTCTGGTACTGGGTCAAGTAAGAGCAACGTAAAGAAGTAAAATAAAGCTTTCAATTGGTACAATTTTGGGGGAAAATTAACTGTTTTACGTTTTCTATACACGACAAAATCATCAGAAAACAATAAACTTCCTACCACAAATTAGAAAAATTACCTAATCTGGAGTCAAAAGTCAGTAATATGAAAATTATCTGACCAGAACAATATTGATTACAATAGCTTTCAATAAGCTTTTGTTTAAATTCAAATAGAATTGACCACTTGGAAGTTAACTGGTGAGCATGGGATTGGTTTATTTTGGAAGTAGCAAACTATCAGGGAATTGAGTAAGAGATTTTACCTTTATTAGAGAACATTGATAATGGTTAAAGTAAAACTTTAATTCATATACATGTAGTTTTTCATTAGTTACCAATAATTTTACAACAGAAACCATTCATGTGTGAATTTATTTCCTTCAAAAACTGTTTCAATTTTTCTCAGCTTTTGAAGGCTAAGTTTATCTGATTAATCTAAATTGAAGTCACCGAAATAGAGTTGTTTTCATCTGAGAAATAGTGTTTTCTAAACATCACAATTGTTTATATAGCTCTTATTAAATCAAATTTAAATGATCATTTGGAAGAACACTGCTGAAAATACATAAATGGCTTCTGTTGTAATGAAGTTATCGATCATTTTTCAGGAACATTATACCGACTAACCTCAGCATCACCATATTAATTTAAATACAGAGCTTCATTCTTTAATAATGTTCATATGCATGTAGTAATTAGTAAGGGGAAGTAACTGACTTTACAATGTTATTGTCATGTTGTAAGTTATATGAGAACTTATGTATAAATATTGTTATGATGTATATTTATAATGTCATTGCAATGAATAAAAAATGACAGTGATTTATTTAAGTTTTAGTTTTATTCACCATTGCTCAGTATGAAAATAAGATGTGGTATGATTTCAGATATGATTCACCGTATGGCTTCCAGTAATGAGCAAAACTCATACTGCATAGCAAGATTCAAAACGGCCAGAAATAACAAATGTAAAACAATTCAGACTAGAAAACTAATGGCCTGGATTATGTACAAAACAGTAAATGAAGTCACACTAAATAAGGTTGTGACCAAGTTTGATCCGATCTACTTAGATAACTTTAAAAACCAAAAAAAGAGCTGTTAAATTGACAGCAAACTGTGTTTTCTGTATTTTGAAGGCTATTTGAGGCTAGTTCCAGAACTCCTGAACAGTAAAAGTGAATATCGTCAATATCAAAACTTGTCCTCCATTTTGTCATCCGTAACAACATATTAAAATTTGAAAAGCATTGGTGGAAAGGTTCATCAGTTATTGCTTGTAAACTACATAAAGGGCCATTTTTATACCGCAAAAAAATTTTGAAGTCGTATATTGGTATGACGTTGGCGTCGTCGTCATCGTCGTCGTAGTCCGAAGACACATTGGTTTTCGCACTCTAACTTTAGTTTAAGTGAATGGATCTCTCTGACATTTTACCATAAGGGTCAATACCACAAAAGGAAGGTTGGGATTGATTTTGGGGGTTATGGTACCAACAGTTAAGGAATTAGGGGCCAAAAATAAGCATTTTTGTAACTTCCAGACATAACTTGTGTGTTAGTGTATGGATCTCTCTGACATTGTACCACAAGGTTCCATATCACAAAGGGAATGCTGGGATTGATTTTGGGGGTAATTGCCTCAAAATTTTAGGAATTAGGGGCCAAAAAGGGGCAAAAACAAGCATTTTTCTAGTTTCATGACAATAACTTGTGTGTAAGTGTATGGATCTTTCTGAAATTGTACTACAAGGTTCCATATCACAAAGGAAAAGCTGGAATTGAGTTTGGGGGTAATTGCCCAAAACATTTAGGAATAAGGGGCCAAAAATAAAAAAAATTCTAGTTTCCAGACAATAACTTGTGTTCAAGTGTATGGATCTCTCTGAAATTGTACTGCAAGGTACCATACCACAAAGGGAAGGCTGGGATTGATTTTGGGGGTAATTGCCTCAAAATTTTAGGAATTAGGGGCCAAAAAGGGGCAAAAAACAAGCATTTTTCTAGTTTCAGGACAATAACATGTGAGTAAGTGTATGGATCTTTATGAAATTGTACTACAAGGTTCCATACCACAAAGGGAAAGCCGGGTTTGAGTTTGGGGGTAATTGCCTTAAACGTTTAGGAATTTGGGGCCAAAAAGGGGCCAAAAAACACCTTGACTTAATTTTCATGGTTCATTGGACAATGTTAAGTTTTTGTGGTTTGGTCTATTTTTCGGATACTTTAAGCCAAAGGGCCACTATAATTGGTGTATGGAATGATGTTCGATGTACAGTTTATGTCTGTCTGACCGGGTTCATATGACCTTGACCTCATTTTCGGTGTTCATCGGTCAATATTAAGTTTTCATGGTTTTGTCAATTCATCAGGTACTATAAGCAAAAGTTCCAACTATATTTTTGTATGAAATGATTGTATGGTGAACATGTCTGTCTGCCAGGGTTAAAGCATTGCTTGAACTGTTCATGTAGAGTTTTTGAACCGAAACTAATGGCAACCGCCAAATGGTCCTACTTCACCATTTTAATAACCTTATTTATTCTTCAGAACACCACTGGACGTTAAGCAACCAACAATCAATCAATCTTCAGAACACCTGTTTAAAAAACAAGGAGTTGCACATGTTATTAGACATTGATGAAAAAAATCCATGCTAAGTGAGTATAAAACAAGAGGCTCTCAAGAGCCTGAATCGCTCACCTGTAATTTTTTGCTTAAATCTTTCATCAATGATTATTTTTGCTTTTTAATATTCATTAATAACTGGCTTAAAAATGCCATTTAAATGTTCTTTGTATCTGTCATATTTTCTTCAAAAGCAAAAAAATGCATTTTACCCCTATATCCATTATAGCCATAGTGGCTATGTTTCTTGACATACAAGGAAATAAAATACAAAATTTATAATTCAGCAGTTTCAAAGGAGAAGATTTTTTAAGTAAGGCAAGCAAACAAGATGAACAAATTGTCTTTTAAGGGCAATAACTCCTTAAGAGGTCAATTGACAATTTTGGTCATATAATCTTTTTTGTAGATCTTACTTCGCTGAACGTTTTTGCTGTTACAGTTTATCTTTATCTTCAATAATATTCAAGATAATAACCGCAAAATTTCCTTAAAATTACCAATTTAGTGGCAGCAACCCAACAATGGGTTGTTCAGTTCGTCGGAAAATTTCAGGGCTGATAGATCTTGACCTAATGAACATTTGAACCCCTGTCAGATTTGCTCTAAATGCTTTAGTTTTTGAGATATAAGCCAAAAACTGCAATTGACCCCTATGTTCTATTTTAGCCATGGTGGCCATGTTTGTCAATGGATCAAAACTTCGGATACAATTTATAAACTAGATACCCTAAGGAACATTCAGTTAAAGTTTGAAGGTATTTGGCCCAGTAGTTTCAGAGAAGATTTTTTAAATAGTTTACGACGACAGATGACGACGACGGACGCCGAGTGATGGCATAAGCTCACATGGGGCCCTTTGGGCCTAGTGAGCTAAAAAATTGAAGCATTGTCAAACAGAAGACTGACTGGCAGATCTGAAAATCACATACAGGGTACAACTAATAATTAAAGTGCAGACTAAAACCAAATCATTCCTCAATACAGAAACTGAAAAATAATTCACCAAAAATTCCATGCTCAGTAAGCTTCATAAAATTGAAAGTATTTTCAAACAAGAAGTGACTGCCCTGCATACCTGAAAATCTCTTATACAGTTCAGTTAATGACTTTTATGGCACCTGGCATCTGTAATTGTATCACGAAGCATTATACCAATTTTAGGAAGCTGTAATTTATACTGTAATTCATAGTTTCTGAGATATTTAATGAAAATTTCATACATGGACCTTATGTGTGAGAATATATGTCTTTGGTAACAGGAAGTTGTGGAAAGAAAAATACATAACATTGATATCAAATTTCAGAAAGCTGTGATATGTAGTTTCTTAGAAAAATGTGACAAGAATTTCATGGGACCAATGAATGGACAGGGGTAAACCAGTATAACCTCCCAAACCCCAATTTTGAGAGCAGGAATATTATTTCACACAGGAACCATTGTGACTACAGGTAGATGATATTAACATAGCAAACCATTACAAAACCACAAAAAATAAGTGATCTTATATAAGAAAGAGACAAAAACAGTTTGATGCTTGATTTTTTTAATAATGTTCTATTGAGATTTATACACTGTATATCAGTAAATGATTCCTACAACTTTCAAAAAAATATAATATAATATCTATTTACAATTTACATTTTTCACATATATGATGTAAACAAAAAAATCAACAATAAAGTGGCCAGCCAATAAAATAATAAACTGATTTTAAATTTGCTGACACTTTTATATAATCTTAAACTGTTATCAGTATATGAAATTTATTTTTACAAAGCTTTAAGAAACACTTAAATTGCATTTCAACTCTGTTTCATGCCAATTTCAAATAAACTTCATATCAGAGACAACATACAGTTATTCCTTCATACTGCACCATGTGACTTTAAATTATTCAGAATAAAATATTTCAGGTGATAATTGACTATTTCAGAATCTGAAACATTCTGGGTTTATATTTTTAAAAGTTTACACCAAAATTTTGTGATTTGGTAACAACTTAACTTAACAATGGAATTCAACCAATTTGATACAATGTTGTTATCATTTTGGGTAGTACCCAAATTCCTTGAGATTCTATAACTGCAAAACAATTGTGAATAATATACATTTATGGAAAGACACTAAAAATTGCACAAGATGAACTGTCATAAAAATTTTACAATAACATATTGTACTTGGTAATAAAGCTTTATAAATATTTATACAGTCCATCAACTTGACTGTAGACACATAATAATTGTAGTGCTATTTAATGTATCCAGTGTTCAAAATATGATTTTGTAGAAATCTGAATTTGAGATGTGCTCTCCATAACTGACTTCTAGATTAGTTTACATATGACATGACTTGCATATTTTATTTTCATAAGTATACCTGTTTCAAAGGGCAAGGACATTTTATAAAGGGCAAGTTGTTTTAGAAAGCTAGGAAGAAACAAACATCTTTTTCTATTCCCTAACAATAATCACAATAGCATACAAAGGCCAACAGAAATGGACTATTGAACAAGATGTACTGTGAGCAATAGATAATTCTGATATAAATATTTAATTAACAGGAAGTTGATTATCAATGGTTGTAAAAACATATCACAGGGTATAACATGCTCACATTAAGCTTAATTTCAAGAAGATCTAATTGGTAGTTTCTGAGAAAAACGCTCCAAAATTTCATACATGGCCATTATGTGTAAAAATATGTTAGTTTTCAGTAACCAGGAAGTTGATTAGGGAAGGATGTGAAAATGCATCACAAGTAAAGGATGCTCACATTACGCTTGATATCAGATGTAAGGAAGCTCTGATTTGTAGTTTCTTAGATGTATAGAAAAATTACATAGGACATTATGACTGACTGACTGATAGAGGTAAACTAGCAAACCCCCACTCCTTCAGAGCTAGGGTATAAAAAAAATCTTTTCTTTAAATGCTGAAAACAGAATATATAAATACATCAAAAGCATACAACACATTGGCAATAGTCTGTTAAGTATTGTATTGGTCAGCTATACAAGTATGAATCAATTAACAAATATAAAAACAATAGGAGAAAAAATAGATAATGACAATTTTCTATTATTTTACCCAAATATGAAAAATACTCTTGCAGTATTATCTTGCTGATTAAAACCTCAATTTTCCAAATAGAACCCATGACAAACTTTCTTAAGTAATAAAAAGTTATGGCAAAGTCTGGCAATTTCAGCATTACTTACATGTAAAATTATCATAAATCATATACAACCTTCAAATAAAAGCACAAAAAAATTATCATTAATATGTATTTACAAAGTTATCATATTATGACCAGCATGAAGGTAAACACACTTCAATAACGTGAAAATATCATGTTAAATATCACAGAATGTACAACATGGAACCTGGCTTAAAATGGCATATAATGAAGATTCATTATTGTTCGTGGGATATCAATTTTCATGCATTTCATGGATAAAGGTAAACCATGAATTTCAATTTGCAACGAAGTACAAAATTTCTATAGGCTTGTATGCAGACTTTGGTAAAACAATGAAATCACACATAAATGAAAAATACAATTTCTCCTCAATCCATGAAAATAAATAAATCCGAAGTAGTTGTTCAAATATAGAAGGTGTAATACCACCAAATCATAGTACTTCAAATCCGGTTTCATACGAAAAAGGGTCGAAAAAATATTCCCTTGAATTCGACAGTTGTAGGAAATTAATCCTACATTTCATCGCAGTAAAAAAATCTTGGGTGTTTCAAAGCACCATTCTTTTTTTATTTGGTGTTTCTATGAAATATTTTGGAAACTTGAGGTTACATGGTTACTAAAGCTTGAAAACAGGGGGGAAAAGGGGGTGAAATTTGATTGACTAACTTCCAGTGATGGTTATTGTCTTATATGCAATGAAATGTTATATGTGAAATTTTATCTGTAGTACTGGACAGGATAAAACTTTACTCATACTAAGTATTTCTTTATTTGAAACAAAGATAAATTTTGAACAATTTTTTGAAAAGTGCCAATTTAACAAAGACTAATAGGGGAAAAACAATGGTGGTATTACTCCTAGAATAAAACATTTCTTAAAGAAGCAAAAAAAAAAAACGTTTTGTGGCACATCAAGTTACTGAATTCAAGAAGAAATGTTTTTAAAATAAGACAGAAACAATGTAGAAACATGCAGTATGACAAATGATGCCTTAAGCAGAAGAGTCAAAGCTTAACAATGCACAAAACCAAATTGTATTCTCACTTGTAACTGTATAGGAAAAATAAATACAATGCATTATCAAGGGGAGACTACTCAATGCGAAAATGTCTATTAACTTGTATACAAGTGCTGGTCTAGTTCTATTGGGAACTACAGTGTGGCATTGACTATAATGGCATCCCATACCTTATACAAATGCGAAATTCTGCAAACTTGTAAAAATATATACAATATCAACATATGAATAAAAGTTCAAAAGTAATTTGTTATTGTCTTTTTAGAATGCTTATCAAAAAGAGCAATTTTCCTTCAAGCAAAGGCACATACAAAAGCAATCAATTCCTGCAAATCAATTATGTATAACATATAATATTTTATAACAAATATAAAAAAAAGATAAAAAAAAACAATTACATTTACAGGTCTTTTATGATCAATGAAAACAGTCGTCTTCCTTTACAAAATTATCTAATTCAATCAGTCCACCTCTTTACCCTGCAATCAGTATAGGGGATTGAACAACACTTTTTACATACCAAAACAACCTGTCCACTCCTACTATAGTAGTCTGGGCATAAAAAGTATTTCTTTTGCATGGCATGTACTTAGTAACATAGAATATGACTAATAAATAGTCTCTGTGAACAGCATTAATTAAGAATCCTATACCAATGATTAACTAAGTAAATTCCAATCTAATAATAAAACTAGTTTCAAATATCACTTTTAAGTAAACTAAATACAAAAATGTAACAACGCTGATATATTTTATTTAAATTAATATCATTATAAACGTTATTGATGAACACTTTTCAAATTTATAAACACAGTCCCTGCTGACTCTATCTTCCATTCAACTTCAACTCATCCTTTTTTTAAGCATTTTGACAGATCTTTAAGTATAAAAAAAAATCAAATCCATAACTTCAGATTACACAATAACATTAATAAGTATGATAGTTTGTCTTGAAAAAACATACTTAAAAATATATAAATCACATATCATTATGATCATAAGGGAATCGAGAACAATTCATTCTTGCCATTTGTTTTTTTAATCATACTAAATTTAATGCTGGCCTTCATGCAATTTTCACAGTACTTAAGACTTGCTCTTCTTGAAATAAAAATAACCTTCCATTACATGCAAGTAAAAGATAAGCTTTGTCAAACATATTGGTTTAAAGTAATAAAATTCCAACAGAATATTTCAATTTTGACTCACTTTACAGAGGGAATGATTCCTTCATAGTTTATTATCACCAAGACATACATGCAAATATTTCAATTAAATAAATAAATGTTGAAATTAAAATTGTGCCAAGTTAACAGTTGGTAGCTTTATACATAGTTCCTAACAATATGACAGGCAAAAAGCAAAAAAGACAGCTTAGCAAAACAGCACTAGATGTGAAACTAAGTAAGAGAGAAGCCAGTATGCAACTATTCAATTTATTAGACATAGATATTTCCAACCTTTTCCCCCTGAGAACATAGTTATTTACATATCAACCCTAGACTTCAGAAAATTAATTAGCTTTCATCAATTTTGAGGGGCAAAAAATAGACTTCTACTAATAAATGTTCTTAGTTGGCTCAACTGTTAATAAGATGTTTCTGTTTAGGGGTGACCCAGAAAATGTTTGACCCCTGTTAGATGTACGTTTTTACCATTCTTTATCTATTCTTCTGAAAATGATATTAACAAAATCCTAAAAATGCTGAATTTCAATAAGACTGTAATATAATGAAATATATGCATTGCAATTTGTGAACAATATTACATCTGTGTGAAGATTTGATTGTCCTAATTTGTGTAAACTGGATATTTTGTAGGACAAATACATGTATAATAGAAACATGATACACTAGAATTAATATTCTAACATAAATATTTATGATAATGCTATATACTTTCATTTTTCTGAATTTATAATTCGATTGAATTCATTCACCTACAGTCATGAAAACTGCTAGCACTTCATTGGTTATAAAAAAAAAAACTGTAGTACAAAAATCATACAAAACTTGTTTATAATTATCAACAATATATACATAATACAATGATGACAGGTTATAACAACTATGAATTGACAGAGATACCCAATGGAATAAACAATGTACTTCCATCTGCCAAAGTGCCCTCATTATTTGAACTTTCTTCCTCTTTGATGTTAATACTATTTTCCTGCATAGATGTATCATCATCGTCCTCATCTGTAATATCAACATCAGAATCATTGTCTACCATCTCAAGTTTACTTTTTATTTCTGACACCATCTTTCTTACTTCTTTATCTGGTGTTCGTCTGTATGGTTTTGTCCTAATTTTAGCAAATTCTTCGACAGTTAGAATTTTAATACCTGAAGCTGTCAAAAGCTTGCCATGTCTTGTTTTAAGATGTCTTTTGTATGTGTTTCTTGTTTTGAACTTTTGAGGACAATCTGCACATATGAATGGAGTTTCACCTGTGTGACGACGCAAGTGTTCCTGAAAAATTAACATCATGAAATGTATTACCATAAACAACAGTACCCATACAATAAATGTCATTAAAAATGAAAACCTTACAGTAACTGTCAAGATGAACATCAGCAATAAAAGAAATATTCTTCGGATATTTGCCTGGCATGCCTTGGGACTTCACTGCATCGTCTTATGGAAATTTTCCTCATATCTCTGTCTCCCCCAATAAATTGCTCGCCTTTTAGAGAGTGAAACAATTAATTTATTATGTCTCTTTCTGTGGTTTTACTTCAAAATGATCTATATTTGAATAGACTGATTGTAAGACATAAATTAAGAAATAATATGGTACCCATCTATTATTGCTCAATGGTGGATGGATAGTTGTTTAATGTTAAGTTGCAAGTTAAATAATACATATTCAGGACTAGAATATGTTGATGAAATATGAATATGAACCCTGCTTTGTATTTGACTGACACTCTGAGCTGGAATTTTAATATGGTACTTCACAAGGTAACAGTCCACTACTGCTTACTGAAATAGGGTTTAATTGAACACACTAGTTGACAAATATATTAAACATCATAATTTACAATCTCTTTAATTAATTATAGTACAGTTGTTCATCCAAGTACATATGAATACTCTAATATAGGCCAACTTACTTTAAAGTGACTTGGATGTCTAAACTTCCTACCACAATCCTTGCAAGTAAATCTACTTTGATTGTTGTGAATTAACATGTGGTAGTTCAAGCTATGCTGTCTCGTAAATGTGGTATTGCATATAAGGCACATGAAAGGCTTGATTCCTGAAATAAATATAGGTAAAAATGGTCAAACAGTCTTCAATTCAAAAATGTTCAGAAGTGAAATGGCACAATATATAATTAATATCATTGTTGTTAATAATCAGTGAATATGGAGAAATTCAATATATTAAAAAAACTGTGAGCAGATATATATATATAAATCAAAGAGCTTGATAACTCTGAGGGATACAATTGCCATTGTTTCCATTGATATTAGTATTCTGTCTAAAAAAAAATCAACTGAACATGTATTCCCTATTTGATTCAATCTAAATATAGTTTTTCACTTTAAAAAATAGCCAAAATAACTAAAAGTTAACAGTAAAAAAAACCCAACCAATTTCAATTACAAGTAATACATAGACAAAAGCAATTTTTTTCTTCAAAATTTTGCTTTGGTCTTTAGATTATCCATGACGTTTTAACAGATTTTAACCCCTGACTTGAATGGAATAGTCTAACAAGTATACCCCTGACTTGATTGGAATAGTCTATCCACAGGCAATCTATTGATGGCTGAGTTCATTATTGATCTACCAATATTTTTAACAAAACAGGAATAATAGAAAATAAAATGCTCGGCAGGGCGCAGCTTGATACGACCGCAGAGGTCGAACCCTGAACAGTTGGGGCAAGTATGGACACAACATTCAAGCTTGATACAGCTCTGAATTTGGATTGTGATTAAATATTTGACACAGCATAGGTTTCTGACACAGAATGAATGTGGTCTAAGAACTTAAAAATTTTAAATTGGACATTCACCTATTATGGTCCAATATCCAAAATCTAAATACATGGTTAGATTCAGCATATCAAAGAACCCCAAGAATTCAATTTTTGATGAAATCAAACAAAGTTTAATTTTGGACCCTTTTGACCTCAATGTGGACAAAGTTGATAACGGGGCCCAAAAATCTAAATACATGGTTAGATTCAGCATATCAAATAACCCCATATATTCAATTTTTGTTGAAATCAAACAAAGTTTAATTTTGGACCCCGATTTGGACCAACTTGAAAACTGGGCCCATAATCAAAAATCTAAATACATGTTTAGATTCAGCATACCAAAGAACACTAAAAATTCAATTTTTGTTAAAATCAAACTAAGTTTAATTTTGGACCCTTTGGACCTTAATGTAGACCAATTTGAAAACGGAACCAAAAATTAAGAATCTAAATACACGGTTAGATTCGGCATATCAAAGAACCCCAATAATTCAATTTTTGATGAAATCAAACAAAGTTAAATTTTGGACCCTTTGGACCTCAATGTGGACCAATTTAAAAACGGGGCCCAAAATCCAAAAACTTAATACACGGTTATATTCAGCAAATTAAAGAACCCCAAGAATTCAAGAATAAAACCCCATTGAAATTGATCAAGAAATAAGCAATTTATAAGAAGTATCTTCTTTTGCACAATACTGTGCAATTGAATATTTCTTGCTATTGCGCAATACTGTACAATTGACAATTTCTTGCTATTGCGCAATATTGTGCTATTGGATATTTCTTGCTATTGCGCAATACTGTGCAATTGAAGATTTCTTGCTATTGCGCAATACTGTGCAATTGAAGATTTCTTGCTATTGTGCAATACTGTGCAATTGAAAATTTCTTGCTATTGCACAATACTTATTATATAAAAATTTACACATCCTGTTTGGTGTGTATCTCCTACCATATCATTATTATTTGCTTTTAAATATAAATCAGAAATAACCAACTTAAAATGGAAAATTTTAAAAGAAAAAAAAAAGGAAAAAAAGAAAAAAAAGAAAAAAAAAAAATCCCCCCCCCCAAATTTTTTGAACCCCCTTATGATTCATCACCCCCAAACTCAATCCCAGCCTTCCCTTTGTGGTATGGTACCTTGCAGTACAACTTCAGAGAGATCCATACACTTGAACACAAGTTATTGTCTTGAAACTAGAAAAATGCTTATTTTCCCAATTCCTAAACATTTCAGGCAATTACCCCCAAACTCAATTCCAGCTTTCCCTTTGTGATATGAAACCTTGTAGTACAATTTCAGAAATATCCAAACACTTACACACAAGTTATTGTCATGAAACTAGAAAAATGCTTGTTTTTTGCCCCTTTTTTGGCCCCTAATTCCTAAAATTTTGAGGCAATTACCCCCAAAATCAATTACAGCCTTCCCTTTGTGATATGGAACCTTGTGGTACAATGTCAGAGGGATCCATACACTTACACACAAGTTATTGTCTGAAAGTTACAAAATGCTTATTTTTGGCCCCTTTTTGGCCCCTAATTCCTTAACTGTTGGTACCATAACCCCCAAAATCAATCCCAACCTTCCTTTCGTGGTATTGAACCTTATGGTAAAATTTCATGGAGATCCATTCACTTAAACTAAAGTTAGAGTGCGAAAACCAATGTGTCTTTCGGACGACGCCGGACGACGACGACGACGCCAACGTCATACCAATATACGACCAAAAATTTTTTAATTTTTGCGGTCGTATAAAAACCACATCTGATGAAAACTTACTTATTAAAACATGGTAAATGAATTTGACTTTTTTAAAAACATTTGATTAACAGTGAGCAACAAGTGGCATATAAGTTTCTTAATAGGGTTTATAATAAGGAAGACTCCATTTGGGCTGAGGGGGTGTTCTACTTCTACTTCTTCCATTACGCTGTTAATTACATTTTTCGAGTTAATAATGCAACAACAACCCTAAATAGCGGATAAAAATACAGAAAATCTCTTGAGTTGCAAATTGCAAATCAATCAATGAAGCGGGGAATCCAGAGCAAACATTTTGATGCCTCTCAAGGTCAAGAACTACACATGTGCTTAATTACATAAACAAACAGTTAGAATTATATTTAGATTGAGGACAATACATCAAATGTGGTTCTCCATTTCTTTATGGAAGTTCAATATCAAAGTTTCATAAAGGTAACATAATAGAAACAACACCACTTCAGTACTTATCTGACAGAAATAGTTTTATTTCGGAACCACTCTTGCATTTTAACAAAACAGCAGAATTCACACTTTGACATGATGCTAAATATATAAAACTCTAAATATAAATACTGCTTAATACTGATTTTCCGTATTGTAAAATAAACGCAAATAAAAAAGGGAGATATCAAAACATAAGGATTATGAGAAGAAAACTAACGGAAAGTTGTTTAAATTCAATCTGTTTGTTTGTTTTACTCTTTAAAACTGTTCAATCTTAAGAATCTGAGTTGTTCCTTAATATAAAGCACAAAACGGTTGACGTGAGAGCCTTGGAAAGGAGTCAATTGTAAAAGTCTACAGATTGCTTGACAGCAATCATATCCCAAAAACTGACACCTCTATCCCATTTGTAGATGTAGTAAAGTTAATTTACTAGCTATGGGAAAATTCTAGAAACATACGAATAAAATACATAAATAAGTACAAAATCAAATGTCAAAGTATTATCTGAATGTTTCAGTCAAGGTTTCAATGATTGTAAAATTTACACAATTTTCAGATAGTTACCATAGATATGTCTTACTTGTTAGATGTAAATTTATCATCCTTGTTTTTAAAACCATCACATGATTGCTTGGGATTATACTGTTCAAGCAATTCATTTTTTTTCTTTGTATATTTTTACATATTATTGAGTCATGGGTTATTACATGTAATAGAAAATGTACCTATTTAAGTCCATCTTGTCACAAATTATATTTTTAAAGTGTTGTTGTCACCATTTAGTACATAACAGATTAAAAAAATTGTTCAAATTTCCCAACATTTTTATAGGGAGACTCATTTAATTTATGCAGATCCCTCTGAGAATGATCTACCAAAGTTTAAAAAGTGGCTTCATGACTCACCAAATTAAATTGCTAATGACAAGAATTCATGTAATTGCATAAAATGATTACCTGCATGACTTCTGTAATGATACATTAGAGTTGCAGCTGCTGTGAACTGTTTATTTGTGCAGATCTTACAATATAATGGATACATAAGGTCTCTCTTCCTTGCTTTTAATTCTCGTATGCATTTTAAGGCAGCTTTCTGTAAAAAATAAAAGGGTCAGTTATCAGCTACAATATTATCCTTCTATCCAAAATATTTCTAATTTTTTGCACTAATGCCTTGCAAATTATGAAAGTATTTGTTAGAGTGCTTTGCTGTTATAGTTTTTAATATGTTGAAACTACCCCATAACTTGATTCTAATGCACAGATGTATGGAGACAGACATTTAGCAAAATATTTGTTAAAATAAAGACAATAAACTTGCATTTAATATGTAAATTACAATCACTATATATTTTGAAGTATCTGAACAGCCTACAATTTCTATTTAATAGAACTGACTACTGAGACAAAATTAGGAGAGGTCAGAATAGTTGCTGTTTCAATTTGGAGATGAAACAGTTTTTATGCACCAATACAGGAAAATAAAGCAAATGTAATGATTAAATAGATTTTCACGTAAAAAGTCGACCACACTGTTCTATTTGTCCTTCTCATCCTGATGAAAACCTACTGTAAGGTGACATGTCCCATATGTTAATAATTTCAGGCAGACAATCCCATAGATTTCATATATTCCTGACTTTTGAATGTATAATGCAATCGTAAAAACACCGCAAAACATACTATCTCGGAACTAATGAAATGATAAACACTTGTTTGGTTTGGGTTTAAAAATGGTTCAAACTATATAAAGGAAGAATTAGAACATACTCTCTCCCATTCTGTGGTTTCAAGTTCGTTTGGATTTTTCCTTTTTTTCTTCTGTGTATGAGGACCTATATTAATAATACATGTATTTGTTGGAGATTGTTGTCGATTTCTTCTTTCTTCCTCTGACAGAGATTCATATTCTTCAGGAATTGCAATTCTTCCATGCTTTGCTATTGGGCACTTAGGCATTGGTGGGTATGGTCCTATTAGAAAAATGTACAAAAAAAACCACATTACATCTGATCAATTGTTTGTATACAATTTACATGTAAATGTTTTATATTTGATCATATTTTATATATATCCTTAAAAAAATTAATATATATGGAAACATGGCAATCAGTCACCAATTGTTTAAATGTAATTCTTAAAACTATTTTTTCCCAAAATAAGCAAGTAAATATGGACTAATAATAATGCCATTAATCTGAACATAGCTGCAATTTTCAAAAATGCCACATAAATTTCTGAGTTTATAGTGTCTGTTTTCCCCTTTAATTACTTTCTGAATCCTAATGAAAGGATGAGAAACAATCAAATATCCTCAATTAAGATTTCTGGTTCTTTCTTACTGGGGGAGGGGAGCCTCATCAGACACTACACATTTGTCCTGGAGTATCCAAGATTTCCAAGGTTCGCATTATAAATGGCATTTCAAAAATTTATGTACTTTAACTAGTAAAAAATATAATAATGTTAAAGCAGTACAACTAATACATACTTTGACCACTGTGTCCTTTAGAGGTCACAGGATTTTCAAATAAGGAGGGGGATTCAGATCTGTCACCAACAATTTCTTCTGAACACACAATTATAGTTTTTGAGGCTTCATCATGACCATATCCAGACAATTCATCCATCACAGACACATTGCCCAGACATAATATAGGTTCTGCATTCCGTTTTGGTCTAATTATTTCTCTTCCACAGTAAAATTTCAAGTTGTCCTCATCTTCAACCTCAACTTCTTCATCTGCTTCACCTAGAAATTCACGCATGTAGAAACTTTTCTTCCTTCCAAATACTGTTGTATAGCTATGATCATGATGAGGCTGAGTTCTACTTAAGAGCTCTATAATTAATTGTTCATTTTCTTCCAGCCTCCTTTCCGTTTCTTCTCTGCAATACTTGTCTGTTTGTTCCACTGGTTGAACATCATTTTTTCCTTTGATTATCCTGTTCCCAGGTTTCAATTCCTTATTAGGCTGTTTAATTATAGTTTTTGTTCTGTCACTTCTCCGTAATGTAGAAGAATCATTTTCATCACCAGAAATTTGGTCCATGCTATCCCTACTGTCCTCTGTTACTTCACCACTCTTCAATTCTGCTGGGGTAGTTGTGTTTGGTATATTGTCATATTTACTTGTTTTTAATGCTGTAAATTTCATTTTCTTGGTTACTGTTTTCTTGCTAGCTGCCATTTCTATAATAGAGGAAAAAGCTTTATACACCTTATCAAACAAATTCAACAATTTTCAAATAAACAAATTCAACAATTTTCAAATCAGTTTGAATCTTCAAGTGGTTCGCAGGAAAAAAGAAAGACATTTTTTTTAAACCTGAAATTTCCAGTTCTACATACAATATGAGCTGAATTTATCCACATCCATAAAATCATAAAAATTGCAGATAATGTAAATATCAATGTCAAATCAGGAGTGTAACAATGAGAATAATTTAAAAGATGTATGTTTTTTCAATTTTGTTAAATGAACTCTCTGAAACATGTTCATATGAGTAAAATTATAGTGACAATAGCATGTTGTGAAGTGATTTTACATAAACATCAAGTGTAACCCTACCATAAAGGTTATGGGCCTGGACAATGCACAAAATCTAATGAGGGCTTGTTATTTTGTTTTTTTGGTAAACTTTTGTAGATTTTTATTGCGTGTTTAACTGTATTTTTCTTCCATTTTCATAATATTCAATCTTATAAGTTTTGGTGCTTGTCCTTTACTACAGGCTACTTTTATATGTCTGCTTTAAGTAAACTTACATTGTTGGGTTGCTGTATCACTGACATTTACCCCACACAATTTCTTTTATTACTTACCTGCTAGTCTTTTATTTTTCATATGAACAGGTTCAGCTTCAAAGTAAAAACGTTCTTTTCTATCAGGATCTGAAATAGTTGTAGATGTGTATGATTGCCAATCTAATTATTATTGTATCCAATAGAAAACAAGTGAATATGTGAGCTACTGCTCACTAATGATACCCCTGCCCTGCTAAAAGTATAAGGTAAACAGGAAGTTGTTGAGTGACGGTATAGCTGATTCATATAAATCCTGAAACAAAATTTCAGAAATCCTTGTAATGTAGTTCCTGAGAAAGATGCGAAGAAAAATATTCATGGGACGGACGGACTGACGGATGGACAGACAGAGGTAAAACAGTATATCCCCACTTTTTTAAAGTGGGGGTATAATAAATATATTTCAATGAAAGCACCAAAGCATTTATCGAAAGTTAAGTTCCAATGGTATCTCTAAGAACTTCTCAACCAATTTATTTTAAAAAGAATTAAAGAACCTTAGTGAGGGCGCTCACATACCCCACGTCCCCACATTGTCATTGGAGAAATAAAATATGTGTAAGAAAAAAAAATTGTATAAGAAAAAAAAATTGAATCATAATTTCCTGTCAATATGTGTACATAGTATGTCCTTATTATCTACAAAGTTTCATGAAATTATGTTGTGTGGTTTCAGAGGAGTTGCGATGACAAACTGTTGCAGAAGTACATTGAAGCAAATAAGTTCAAAGGGGCGTAACGCCTAGAAAAAAAATTGAATTATAATTTCCTGTCGATATGCACATCTACATAGTATGTCCTTATTATCTACAAAGTTTCATGAAATTCTGTTGTGTGGTTTCAGAGGAGTTGCGATGACAAACTGTTGCAGTAGTACATTGAAGCAAATAAGTTCAAAGGGGCGTAACTCCTAGAAAAAAAATTGAACCGTAATTTCCTGTCGATATGCACATCTACATAGTATGTCCTTATTATCTAAAAAGGTTTCATGAAATTCTGTTATGTGGTATCAGAGGAGTTGCGATGACAAACTGTTGCAGTAGTACATTGAAGCAAATAAGTTCAAAGGGGCGTAACTCCTAGAAAAAAAATTGAACCGTAATTTCCTGTCGATATGCACATCTACATAGTATGTCCTTATTATCTAAAAAGGTTTCATGAAATTCTGTTGTGTGGTATCAGAGGAGTTGCGATGACAAACTGTTGCAGTAGTACATTGAAGCAAATTAGTTCAAAGGGGCGTAACTCCTAGAAAAAAAATTGAATCGCAATTTCCTGTCGATATGCACAACTACATAGTATGTCCTTATTATCTAAAAAGGTGTCGTGAAATTCTGTTGTGTGGTTTGAGAGGAGTTGCGATGACAAGAAACAGGACTGATCGACTGACGGACAGACGGACGGGTCAAAAACATTATACCCTCTGCAACTCGTTGCGTGGGGTATAATAACAGCCTAGCTTTTACAATTGGATGAATTTTACTTATTTGACCAATTTATTTGAGTGAAAATCCTGTCAGTGGGTGAATCTTTTTCAGCACTTAACAGGTTGGAATCAATTCCCAAAAAGGGATATAACACATTTTTGCAAACAATATCCCAAATAGGATATAAATTAACTGTGCAAAAATGTTCTTTTTTTTCTATTTTGGGGGAAATATTACAAGTAGTACATGTACTTATAAATTTTATTACATGAATATACATTGTAACTTATGGTTCATGACTTTTCAAAAATCAGAAGGGATTGCTAGATTTCTCCTACATGTATATCCTATGTATTTCCAGAAGAATATTCAATATTTTTATTCTCTAATATCTCCCTTTTCAAATTACTCAATATCATACATAATTACATGGAGTTCTAATATAATAATAATTATCTTACCATTCTCTTCATCAACTAATTGCTCAAGATGTTTATGTAAATGATTCCTCATCTTCATTCTTGCACCAGATTCATTTCCAAAACTTCTGAACTGAGTCTGGCATTTCCTTGGCATTAAGTAACATGTATATATGAAGTTTCTTGTCATTTCATTAGATGACATTTCAGCATAAAAGTTGACTAAAAACTTGTCTGAAAGTGTTTTTATCTGTTTTAGGTTTAAAATCTCCAAAGATGATAACAATCTCATAGTCTGAAAAAAAATAAATATCATTGGATCAATCATAATAAGATACATCACTAGACCAATGACAATAAAAGAACAGACTTCCAATGCACATATTTTATCTATCCAAGGTACAAGGGCAATAACTAAATAAAACACTTTTATTTTGTAGCGCTAACGAGGCCATTTTCCATAAATTTAATATTTCCAAGGGGCATAACTCTTTAACAAAAGTTGATCATCCACCATTATAAAAGTTGTCCAAGATATTGCTGATATTAACCTATAGTATAAGTTTTATAAAAATCTGGCAAGAATTATACCCGAGAGAGCGCTAACGAGGCAGTTTTCCTTAAATTTAATATTTCCAAGGGGCATAACTCTTTTTTTAAAAAGTCGATCGCCCACCATTATAAAACTTGTCTGAGACATTGCTGATATTAACCTATAGTATGAGTTTTATCAAAAAATCGGGCAAGAATTGTACCCGTGAGAGCACTGACGAGGCCATTTTCCATGAATTTAATATTTCCAAGAGGCATAACTCTTTTAAAAAAAGTGGATCAGCCACCATAATAAAAGTTGTCAGAGATATTGCTGATATTAACCTATAGTATAAGTTTTATAAAAATCTGGCGGACACACGGACGGAAACCCTGTATTTCCATGTCCCCCGCAACGCGTTATGCGGGGGACAACAATATTGCTAAATTGCCAAATGGCCCCAACCACTGTGTATTTAGAATACAGTCACTACTTATTATCAAAACTTTCTGACAAACAGTTTTAGAGGAGTTGCAGGGGGAGCGAAGTGGAAGTCAGGGATGGGAACTGGGGATAGAGGGGGAGTAAAATTGAGACATTCTGGGAAATTGTTTTGACTGATTTTCGTCTGGGAGTAAGGAGGAAGTGGGAGTTGGGGGTAGGGAAGTGGGAACAGTCTTGGGAGTATTTTTGTGTTTCTGACAGACGAAAAAAAATAACTTTATCCTAAGATCTTTAGTGGCAGAAGATAATAATTCAAAATTAGAAATATCAAGGTGTTGGAAGAAAAGGAACATGAACAACTTTTGGTTACATGAATCATTCCAATAAAATAATGTTCTACAACTTGATTTTAATTTGATAGAATGCTAGACAGTGTCAAACACTCAGAAAAAATGAAAACAACTTCAATGCGTACTTCAAATGCTGAACAGTTTACTCTGATGGAATACTAACCGTCTTACCTGGACCTAAATTTTCAGTGTAATTGAAACTTAAATACTATTGTTTGTAAATATAAACTGTTGACACAGAGATATGTCTTGTCTTAATGTCATTTTGATAGTATAATGCAAATGTTGAATTTAAAGGCTATACTTTGACATGTCAAGCATGTAAAGCATGCAAAATATTCAAAGTCAATGACTAATGACAGAAAGTGCAGGGCCAAATAACCTCTTTGGAAAAGGGTAAAACTCTTACTTAACAAATTCTGCTACTTCCTACTGCAATTAGAGAAATAAATTGACAAGGACCAGGGCCCCATTGGTATACCAATTATGTGTTGTTAAACATGAGGAATGATTAAGGGTATAACCCTAACAATAAGCCCAATTATTATAACAATAACTACTATTTATGATAGCACACATATATCCAATACATTTTTATTTACAGCACACTGACACATATATCCAATACATTTCTATTATTCAGCACACTGACACATATATCCAATACATTTTTATTATTCAGCACACTGACACATATATCCAATACATTTTTATTGTTCAGCACACTGACACATATATCCAATACCTTTTTATTATTCCTTTTAGGTTCACTTTCAAGTGTTTCTGTAGCAACTTGTGCTAGTACATCTAACGACATGTAATTTGATTGGTCTTCTTCATTTTCTTCAACCTTTACTGACCTTTTCCTTGTTCTAGATTCTACAAAACATTAGTATCATTTTTTTAGATTAATCAAGTCCATTACACTTTAATGTAAAGTCTTGTGGTAAATAATTAGTATGCAACAATCAGCAGGGCTCACACTACTTCAGAATCATAGGGAGAAGTGACTTCTCTTTTTGAAACTGAGAGGGAGAAGTGGTGACATTTGAAAGAGAAGTGCTTGTTCGCTTGCGGCGCTACACTGTTTGGTTTTTACTATAATACAAAGGGCCATATGTATCTTATTTTTTCATATTGTTCCATTTATACCTGGGAATACAATAAAGGTAACAGTTCAAATTCAAAGTTGTTTAATTTTATCATATCTAGTTGCACAATCATATTAGTCCTCTTGTTAGAAAAAAAGTTAAATATCTAGCAATAATAAAAAAGATTTTTTTATATCAAAAAGGAAAAAAAGTTGTTATATCAATTAGAATTCAATTTAAAATGTACTCTGTTATCTTGTTTATGAAATTCAGTGTTTCTCATTAAAAAATATATAAATTTAACACAGTTAAGCTTGGACCTAGTATTCCCAGAGTTGATCAATTTTAATTACTAAATTGAAACAATGCATATACATACCATGGAAATATATACATTAATCAAGAAGATCTAACCAAAAGTATGTTAATGCGCGTGGAATGGGTATTTTTTTCCTTTTGAGGTCAATATTCCTCTGTCAGCTGTGCCATTCATGTGTCCGTAATCATTATCGTAAGAATCCGGATTTCGGTCATAGCTGGTCCGGTTCCGATCAGTCATTGTCAGTAGTTTATACAAATATTTCAATAGAGGACGAAGAAAAATTTACAAAAATTAACGATGTTTGACACGCTATTTGGAAAGAAATATGACATTTTTAATGCAATACATGGATAACAAATTTACTTCAGGCAAATTTCATCACGTTCTAATGAAGTAACAAACTTATTTTGCCGAAAGTTAGAATGATTTGATGTACGCCTTGAGTAACAAGTACCGGAAGTGATAAACAATTGTTTTTTATGAAATAACATGCAACCAACTTTAAAATCAATGCTTTAATCACTTTTCTGAAGAAAATAAATCGTTTATGTCCTTGAATTTCTTTACTTTTAAATGAAAAATTGCTGTTCATCGATTTGGTAAAAATTGAATATTGCCGATGACAAAAGTAACTGAAAGCGAGTATCCTAAACAACAGGGCGACTAGATTTCGCTTTTGACAGTCGGGCAAAGCGAAGTGACGACTGGGAAAGCGACTTTGTCACCCCAGTCGCATGGTAGCGTGAGCCCTGAATCAGGTACTGTTAAATGAGATCCTATTCATGATGAACTGTTTTAGTTAACTTTCATTCTTCAAAGGTCAAAAAGTAATATTATACATTATAAAGTTTATTTTACAATACAGGCCCTCCAGCCCAATGTCATGACTGTACATTTATAAATGTTACAATTGATAACAGTAATTTATAATGCCAACTGCAGTTAAATAGTAACATCCTAACAATAAACAGACTTACATCATTTCTAAAGCAATTAGGTCACACTGGCCAACTTGCACATATTTTATCTTTCCAAGGGCAATATCTTAACATTTTTTTTTTTAAACTTTTTAATAAATATCTTACAAGAAATGAAGGCATGATATGATTATCACTGACAATGTTATTTTCCATATATTTCTATTTCCAAGGGGAATAACTGCTGCAAAATAGTTGGTAGTCACTCTTCCAAGACATTATTGATATATAAACTTGATAAAAATTTGACAAGAAATGTAGATGTGAGTGTGCTTACAACAAATGAATTTCTATATAAAAAAAAAATTCCAAATGACACAACTCTTAAAAAATAGTAGTTTGGCACAGATTCAAACTTGTCCAAAACATTACTAATAAAAAATTTTAATATAAATTTCACAAATATCCGACTATTGTCCGTTTGACTTCTATAAATCTTCAGAAAATAATTCTAAAAAATTCATTTTTACAAAAAAAATATTTTTTTTCTTGATGTATGTTAATGTATGATATATACGAACTCTGACTATGAATATCATAATTTTAGGCCAATAATCAAAAAAGTTACCCATTAGGTCTCTATGTTACTCCTATTTTTTTTATATAAAATACTTGATGGAGTAAGTAAGAATAGTGTAACAGCCTTCCATTCAAAACTAAAAACATAAGACATGTGCTTTAAACCTGTTTCATTATACCATGTGACTTTTCTCATTTAAATAATGCTGACCAGCAAATAAACTAGGACTTCATTTAAGTTTTATGTCATCATTGTCATGTGATTACAGAACTTATTGTATACATGATTTTGTATTTTTCATTGTTCAATTTCTATGAGTAACCTTAGTAATATTTTCCATTGGACATTACTAGTATAACATTTTTATAAACTACAAAGTAGTTTTATGCAAAATTCAGTTTAGAAATTTTATTAAAAAGTTCCCCTTTTCATCAGTAAAGGTCTTTATGGTTATATTTTATCTAATTTTATTTTCATATTTTGAAAGTCATAAGCTGTGTTTTTTCAAGAAAAAAGTAAATATTAAATGTATTCTGTAAATACTTATTGGTGAAACTTTTTAGAGGCTCTCCATTTTGTTAATACTGTCATCGTGCTTTAAGCATGAAAAGCTTGCTTATATTCTTTTATAAGATATATATAAATATATAATCAAATTAAGGTAACAAAAATTAAGATTTGGTTGGGAATAAAAACAAAATAAAACACCTGATTATAATATTTTTTCCCACAAATAACATCTTTGTAGATACATGCAAATTCATTTATAAAATCATATAAAACCAGTAATAAAAAAACTTAGATGATGGTCATTTTTCATGACATGTATAGTGTCCTTTGATATTTAAATGAGTTAAGTCACATGGTACAATGAAACAGGTTTAAAACACATGTCTAATGTTTTTGTTTTGAATGGAAGGCTGTTACACTATTCATACTTACTCCATCAAGTATTTTATATAAAAAAAAAATAGAAGTAACATAGAGACCTAATGGGCAACTTTTTTGATTATTGGCTCAAAATTATGATATTCATAGTCAGAGTTCGTATATATCATACATTAACATACATCAAGAAAAAAAATGTTTATTTGCAGAAATGAATTTTTAAGAATTATTTTCTGAAGATTTATAGAAGTCAAACGGACCATACAATTGTAGACTTGAGAGTGCTTACAACATGTACAATGCAATTTTCTATAGAATTTATATTTCCAAGAGGAATAACTCTTTAAAAATAGTTGTTTGTCACTGATTAAGAACTCCTCCAAGACATTGGTAATATCAACCCGAAATATAAATTTCATAAAAATCTGTCAAAGAATTGTACATGTGATAGCGCTTACAAGAACAGAGGGGTACTCGGTAGTTCTATGTCCCTTGCAAAGCTTCAGGTAGGGGACAAAAAAAAGGCATATCAGCTCATCATCAGTATGTCACTAAGAGGAGAGATATTACACTATTTCCTAACTAATTTAACCTACTCCTAAAGACACAGCAAAAATTTTAACCCTTAATAATGAAAAAAATGCACACTAAAAAAACCTGGGGATTCTCAAAAGTTTGCATATATGTTAGCTTTCTTTGTATTTTAGCAAAATTTCATAGACCATTGAATAATCCATGTGAAACTAGTGTCTCCAGAAACCTTGTTATTGACAGTTCATGATGCAAAGTGATCTAAATAATAAACAAGATTATATATTTTTAAGTACTTAATTACTTACCTTGCCTAGGTTTGCAAAGTAAATTAGAGATGTGCAGGTGACTAGCAGCTATTGATGATGTATGTAATTTGGCTGCCCTTGACCTTGGAGATCTTGAGAGTGAGACATGTGTCGACTCTTCCTCTTCACTGCTTTCTACAAAATAGAATAGAATAATGTTAACTGCTTATCACAGCACATGAAAAAAGAGCTGAATATTTGCATCAATTAGATATAAGGTGTGGTATGAGTGCCAATGAGACAAACCTCCATCATGTTAGACACATGATAATCCCCCTTTAATGGAATATCTTTAATAGAATGTTTAATTTGTTCATATCTTGATTAAACATGATTAAAAGCTTGGCATTTTATACAGACACTGGTCTTTACTTGAAGACTATATGTTGACTGCTAAAAACCTTTTTTTTTTGTGTTGCTGTGGCATTGAAATCTTCATAGCAGGTCCAGTATAACTATAATTCAAGCTTATTTATCTAGATCAGGCTACTGTAAATTCAGAAATTATTGCGTGCATATGTTATTGCGATTTTTGAAGAATTAACAAAAATGCATGTTTAAATATTGCGATTATAGGAAAAGCTTCATACATATATATGTCAGAATACAAGTTCTTATTATTGCGATACACAAGAAGTCACATTATTCGCATTGATTAAAACCTTGTCTTAATTTCTGAATTTACAGTATATTAAGTCAATCAAGCATAGAAAAATTATCTCCCTTTGACATTTTTCAAATGAAATTAAAGTTTCTTCATTAAAACTTGATAGTGCAGTCTTACACTTTGCAGGTTAAATAAAGAGACATTGTTCAGTATTTCTGTATATTTTTCTTAAAACTTTTCTCATGAGTTTTAGGGGGATATTTTTTCCTGGTAAAAGTAAAAAAAATATTGCAGAACTACATGTATGTTCAGCAGTACTAGTACTTCCTGTATTAAGTCCACAAAGATTCAGATTGCAATTTCAAAAAATAGCTAACTGAAAGGAGTAGAGCCATGATAGTTTAATCAGAAAAATTGTTCAGTATTTTGTATATTTTTTTTTTAAACTTTTCTCGCAAGTTTTTTGGGGGATGTTTTTTTTCACAGTAAAAGTTAAAAAAAAATATTGAAAAACTATATTCAGTTGTACTTTCTATATTATTTCTGCAAAGATTTAGATTGCATTTTCAAAAGGTAATAACTGATAGTAGGACCATGAAGGCCTTCATTTGGCCCTAAAAATGATCTTTGTAACATCATATGCAAAAACTTATAATTATGATCTTAAATAAGATAAAATGCTCCGCTGGGTGCAGCTTGATACGACCGCAGAGGTCGAAACCCTGAACAGTTGGGGCAAGTATGGACACAACATTCAAGCTTGATGCAGCTCTGAATTTGGATTGTGATTAAATATTTGACACAGCATAGGTTTCTGACACAGAATGAATGTGGTCTAAGAACTTTAAAAATTTAATTTACCTATTCAAACCATATCATTATCATTTGCTTTTATATATAAATCAGAAATAACCAATTTAAAATGGAAAAATTTTAAAGAAAAAAAAAATCCCCCCCCCACAAATTTTTTGAACCCCCTTATGATTCATCATCCCCAAACTCAATCCCAGCCTTCCCTTTGTGGTATGGTACCTTGCAGTACAATTTCAGAGAGATCCATACACTTGAACACAAGTTATTGTCTGGAAACTAGAAAAATGCTTGTTTTTTGGCCCCAAATTCCTAAACTTTAGGGCATTTACCCCCAAACTCAAACCCAGCTTTCCCTTTGTGATATGGAACCTTGTAGTACAATTTCATAAAGATCCATACACTAACACACAAGTTATTGTCCTGAAACTAGAAAAATGCTTGGTTTTTGGCCCTTTTTGGCCCCTAATTCCTAAAATTTTGAGGCAATTACCCCAAAATTAATCCCAGCTTTCCCTTTGTGGTATGGTACCTTGCAGTATAATTTCAGAGAGATCCATACCAAGGATCCGGAAATTTTTCCAGACAATTTCAGTCATTTTGAGATGTTTGAAAAGTTGGTGCCCCTTTTCAAATTGTCGATGTCAACTTGACTATATTCATAGGATCAACGAACATGACGAACTTGTATTGCTGTTTCATCGCATTTACTAAGTAAATGTCTTACCATTACTATGAAGGACAGTTTAGGGAAGGCAACAGTCTAAAATTGAAATGATTTTAATGACTCAAAATGGTTAATTTCTCAGACATTGCTTACGTTTCTTCCGATTTGACAAAAGTTAAAACCGGAAGTTTGCGATATTTTAAAGTACGAATAATTCCGGATTCATTTCCGGGATTTGTTTTGTTTATCAAATTGACAGGAAATCACCGGCTTTTTATGGCTTTTTTATTTTATTACCTTTAAAAGTGTTTGAATATAACAGATAATAGTTGCACTCTTTTAATTTAGCATGAAATCAATTTGCATTTTACGATTAAATATTAAATTTGCTGAAGACAATTTCACGCATGCGTATTACATAATAAATAAAGCACATGTGTTACTCATGAAAAAATACTTTTTTCTACGTAAATTTAGATTTAATTTTTAAATCAGAATTGATGACTGTCTTTGATGAAAAGTAAATAAATAATGAATACACTTGTCAGGGAACTTTAATGTTTTAAAGATATTATTCTGAGCTTGTGATCACTGTCAGGTGTGAATTAAAACCACAGGTAAAAAGTGATAAGCGATCATTAGCCAATGTTTCCCGGAGGCATTGATATAGATATTAGGAGGGCCCTCAGGATTATCAAACTACTGTAGTGGCAGTTTTATTACAGGAAAGGGATTATAAACAAAAACAAGTGATCACAAGTGCAAAATGGCGATTAAGAAATCCGATTTCAAACATTGAGTCAATGAAATGACCGAAATTACTTATGTAAAAAAATAAAATTTGTCCTAAATCCCAATTACTCGTTTAGGACAAATAGTTTCATCTTAGGACATGACTGGCAAATATGACCGTTTCCGGACCCTTGATCCATACACTTGAACACAAGTTATTGACTGGTAACTAGAAAAATGCTTGTTTTTTGGCCCCAAATTCCTTAACTTTAGGGCATTTACCCCCAAACTCAAACCCAGCTTTCCCTTTGTGATATGGAACCTTGTAGTACAATTTCATAAAGATCCATACACTAACACACAAGTTATTGTCCTGAAACTAGAAAAATGATTGGTTTTTGCCCCTTTTTGGCCCCTAATTCCTAAAATTTTGAGGAAATTACCCCCAAAATTAATCCCAGCCTTCCCTTTGTGGTATGGTACCTTGCAATACAATTTCAGAGAGATCCATACACTTGAACACAAGTTATTGTCTGAAAACTAGAAAAATGCTTATTTTTGGCCTCTTTTTGGCCCCTTATTCCTAAACGTTTTGGGCAATTACCCCCAAACTCAATTCAAGCTTTCCCTTTGTGATATGGAACCTTGTAGTACAATTTTAGAAAGATCCATACACTTACACACAAGTTATTGTCATGAAACTAGAAAAATGCTTGTTTTTTGCCCCCAATTCCTAAAATTTTGAGGTAATTACCCCCAAAATCAATCCCATCATTCCCTTTGTGATATGGAACCTTGTGGTACAATGTCAGAGAGATCCATATACTAACACACAAGTTATGTCTGGAAGTTACAAAAATGCTTATTTTTGGCCCCTAATTCCTTAACTATTGGTACAATAACCCCCAAAATCAATCCCAACCTTCCTTGTGTGGTATTGAAACTTATGGTAAAATTTCATAGAGATCCATTTGCTTAAACTAAAGTAAGAGTGCGAAAACCAATGTGTCTTCGGATGACGACGACGACGAAGCCAACGTTATACCAATATACAACTGCAAAAATTTTTTGCGGTCGTATAAAAATTTTGATAAACTAGACCCTTTTTCTGTCTGCTGTTTATTTAAACAATTTTGACAGCTTCAAAAGTATGATATTTAAGCCAGATTGCCTGTTTTTATGCATTTGTAAGGCCTATTTCATTCTGCAAAGTATTGATAACACCCTTCGACCAAATAAATTTGTTATACAAACATGACAAAGATGAATGTGGATCGGATTCACATCCTAGCAAAAAAATTGAGGAGGTCGTTGCATGTCGTTTCAAGCAAAAACTATTAAAATTTAGCCAACACATTTATATAATAATACTGCACAATTATGATGAAATAATGTCATCATAAGTGTCTAAATGTGTCAAAACTTGTTAGTTTGTATTTGTCAGGTATTTTTGTCATCAGATGTTTACTATTACTCAATTTAAGTTTCATAGAATTAAACGCCCAATATTGACTATTCATGAACCCACTCCTTTCAATAAAGAAAATTGTGAAGGGAGATAATTTATTAAAGCTGGATAGAGCTTACTGATTGATTGATTGGTGTTTAATGCCACTTTCAACACTATTGTGTTATTCCATGGCGGTCAATTTTTATTGGTGGAGGAAGCTGTAGTGCTCGGAAAGAACCACCAACTTTCTGTAGGAAAACTGAAATTCCTAGTCAATTAAGATTGAAGTTGAGTGCACCTGCCCCGTGCGGGATTTGAACTCACAACCTTAGTGTTGACTGGCTAGTGATACAGTAGTTGGACTACATTTTTGTACTTGGACTACTAAGACCACGGAGGCCCCTCATAGAGATTATAGAGCCACATCCAGTTATATTTGCTCAATCTGTACAGATATATATTAATGGGTGGAGGTGTTTGTATGAGCATCAAAGTTAGTAGCTGCATAATCAGTTTGTTGATTGTGGCCATTATCTGGTAGAAGATGTAGAAATATAACCCGAATAATTCAATCCCTCTCCTTAATCGACCCTGCCAATCTTGAGAGCCTGAACTCATTTCATGATAAAAAAGTGTCAAGAATCCTGGATTGACGCTCTCTGTACCAGCGAGCAAATCAATCCCGAGATCATTCCAAATGATTAATTGATAATTTTGAAATCACTAGGCTTTCAGGCATTTATACAGCCATTGTAGAGCAGCAGAATATAACGAATGAATTATTCCAGTTATTAGAAGTACAGAACCTGTCTAATATCTCTTTTGATTCACATAGGAAGTTCGGGAGTTTACTGTGGATATCAGATACAAATTAACTACTACATACAAACCATCTGAGTACACTCAGAGTTTAAAGTTAATATCATTTTTCTTCTATTCAAATTCATAAATTCTATCATCTAAATTTGTCATCTTCAAAATTGTTGTTATTTTTGCAATTTATAGCAGACTACATTTTTGTTTGCCGCCATCTTGAAAGCGTCTGTCAGCGCATGGTATATATTTTTACGATAAATGTGACATTTCTAAACGTTTTTCACTTTGAGAAAACTGTTAACTTATTGCAACATAGTCTCTCTTTAAGGATGACAACATACAATTACAATGTCATGTCAAAAAGTACACATTTCATGACAAAAATCGACAATGTGTACATTTTGTCATAGCAGCCGACATTGTCACATAAAAAGTAAATTATATCGTAGATATCGCAAATATGAAATTGATTTCATCGTCAATATGACAGACAACTTATTAATCTGTAACTACCCGACTCCAAATATTCATTCTGTCTCTTTTCGGGTGATTTTTCTGCTCTTTTTCGAGTCGCCATTGTCGGGCACCTGCAACTCGTCTGCTTTTACCTCATTCCTTGTGGAACATTTTGCTATTTTAAAAAAAATATTGCACTTATTTTAACAAACAATAAATTGATAATTTTCAAATGGTTTTATTTGAAATTATATGGGATTTTATGATTTTTTTAAACTTGCTGAAGAAATTCTATGCAAGAAAATTAGTCACGTGATTATCTGTCAAAATGGCGCAGAGAGATGGAGATACTCGATATCGTCTGAAGGAAACTATCAATAATTTAGATTGACTTACTGATACATTTTAGTGGCAAAAGTTAATTCAGTGATATAGGTATAACAAGACATATGTATCACCCGTGGCTTTACAATTTGAATGTCTTACTTCGGAAACAATGCTTTAATCTCCTGAAGTCGCCTTTCGCTGTCCTCAGCATCTCAATCCCTGATTATCAATTTCATCGTTGATTTCGGCAATTATAATTAATATAGCTGTTTATACCTTAGAATTGTATTATGAGTACAGACCAGTACAACTGAAAAAATTAAGGCATGGCCTAAAAAAGATCTATGATTTAAAAATGAATCTTGGTTTGTATCTCAGAAAACTAAAAATCTGTTTAACAGTTTCACTAAGTATAATCAGCCACAAGAAACTTCAAGAAGAAAAAAATAGTTTATATACTTTTAAAACAAATCATTTTATAGAAACAATTAAATGAATTACAGTTGATTTATACAATATGAACAATCGTGGGTATATAAGCAGTCAGGGGACTTACTTAAATGAGTGATTTTCTAAATCACTGATTCAAGTAACATTATGTCCATAAAGGTTGATAGGATGACCAGGTCATGTCAGGTGATGACCTTGTACTGAATCTAGGGTAATGACATAAAAATCACTTCTTTAAGAATCATTATTTTAATAACCCCCACTAATTTCAATCCCTCCCCCCAAACAGTGAAATTTTGATCGCGAACAGTAGAATTTTATTACATAATCTGTAAGATGAAACCTTGGATTTTACAGGAAAAATACTCCCACTGCTGGGAAAAATTTGTTAAGAAAGTATCAGTTCATTATGTAAAGCCATTATTATAACATTTTTTTCAACTAAAATAGAATTTGCAGGTAAATGATTGCATCAAAGGCATAAACCTTGCTACTTAAAAGAAGCAAAAAATTCATTTTTTTCAATTTTACTAATGAAAAGATATTATATATAAACCTGTGTTTAAAATTTTGGTAAAACTACAAAATCACAATTTGTGACAAAACTTCGAATTTGCTACTTAAATAAGTGATTTAAAAATCACTTATTTAAATAAGTCCCCTGACTGATGAGCTAAACTTTGACGAAAAATTTTATCAGATCCATCACAATCACGTCTCAGTCCTTACAGCTGAAAGGATGTGCTAGGTCAGCTCCACTTTACCCACTATCTACGATGTTGGTTTACTGATAGATGGATCAACGACACACTACTCTCGATGACAGAAACCAATCCAACGCTGTACAGTACGTTGTATAAACTTCAAGTTTTGCGTAAATACCAGCATTAGCATATGGTCTGTAACACCCATTATGGGGGACATATTATGCCGACTGACGTCTGAGGGTCTGTATCGTAGGTGTTGGATAATGGACCGCCATTTCACTGTCTTACGACTTTAGTCCTGATAAAGCTTCCTGTCATCGTTATTACTATATCCGAGACTCATCGACCAGTACTTCATCATGGTGGTTAGTGGGCTGCCAAGCTGACCAACCTGGCCCTGAAAGCAGCGGTTGTGAAGGCAGTAATCAACAACAAAATAGTTAACAAACCAAAAAGATCTTACCAAAACCAAAATGGCGGCTGTCCTTTCCAACTTTCCATCGTCACGCATGAAAATATTTAAACGTTCACCAAACGCCTTCGGGCACAAAGCCGACGGTGTGAGGGCTGTTAAGCCAGTCAAGGTCGTTAAACACTTCCATCATCAATATGAACAAAATAGTTAATGTATTATCTTATTAAAATTATCATTGATAATAAAAAAAAAAACCTCAACATTCCCTATTTTCTTGAACAAATGTGCATTTTCTGCTATAAGTTAAATTCACTTTAATGAGCATAAATTTTAAAAAAAAAGCAATTTATAATGCATGAATTTAATGCATGTTTCATTTGAAATAATTAATAATTTCTTGACACTAAGGCCAATAATAAAAAATATGTTTGTTTGCCCATCATCTTAGATGTGGGTAGGTAGGTAGGCAAATCGTTTTATTTTATTAAAATAAAAAGTAATTTGTAAAAAATTTATCAAGATGGAAGAAATGGTATACAGTTTACATGCTGGTACATTGTATATCACTAAAGATTGGAATTTTAATTTACTTGCCAAATTTTAGATTTTTTTACTAAAAATCAGACATTTTTGATTAGTGCTTTTCTAGAAAAAAAATTCTTAGGGGGTTGGAAATGGCAGATAAAAACTGGTGTACAACCAAGTTAATGCAAAGAAAGAAAAATCCATTATAAAAAATACATAATTCTGTGTACATTGGTGATTGCATTCAACTGAGAAACTGTGTAAATCTTTTAAATTATGTTTATAGAATATTTTGTCAGGAGTTTTTTTGTCTGAAAGTCATTTTTTTTTATATATTTAACATTAATCTTGTGGTACTTATTTTTGTAATTGTCAAATTGATACATGTAGCAAGGTAGCCGTCTGGCATTGAATGGAACTACTGCCAACGTTATTATGACCTATGAAAATCATTTATGACAATTTATATCAGTATGCATCTCGTAAAAGCAGACACTGAGTGCAAAGCAGGCTGCCTAAATCCTTTAAAATTGTGATACAAGTAAATTTCTGGACAGCCTGTTAAAAGAGACTTTTAGCTGGTTAGGTAATCCTTTCATTTAGGTTATCACCCTTTAAATATATTTCTATCTCCAAAGTGAGGTATTATTTTCAGGTCAATAAAATACAATAGGAAAAGGAACCCAAAGAAAGAATAATATTCAATTTTCAGGAATACAGAACTTCATAAATGCATGGTTGTGTTTTGTGTAATAAATTATAAAAATCAGTTGCATTTTGTACAACAATTGGGCATGAAATTAAAACTACAAGGCCATCAATTTAGGGACAATAAGCACTCAAAGGAATACTGGGATTAATTTCCCTAATCAATTCAGACAAAATCTTGAAATATCTTATATGTATACACAATCATAAAAGTCATCATGGTCATAATAAAACTAAAGCATCTGCTTATATGACTACTATCACTTGTATGTTATTGTACTTGAAAATTGACATCTATGGTCAGCGATTAGGTAAGAAAATTGATACTTAGTGAACTACAATGGAACAGCAAATATTGAGTCTTCAAAAGCATCACTTTCAAGAGACTATCTATCCATAGGCAGTGCACACATTGATATTAAAATTAATCTCTCAGTATATTCAATGTTGAACATCACCAATTTTTCAACATGACCCTCAGACCTTAAGAAAATCAATCAGAAAAACATCATGTTGGACAGCTGTTTGAGTTGTGTTTTAGACACAAGAATATTTTTATTACAATTTATTTCTGAAAACATTCTTTGAGAAGACATTCTTTACTGCTCGGTAGTGGGATACAAAAATATGACGAAAGTTCTAACTTGAAAAAAAATTGGGCAGCACTCCCCTAGGAAATATGCATTTACATCCCCTACCATATAAATCCAAGGCCAAACAGATAGGAATCGAGAAAGAAAATGATAGGTGTGGGGCAGGTTCATTTATAAAACATGAAACAATACACCTTATCATGCTTATCGTGCCTATAAAGAATATACAAAAAGTAGAATACAAACCTTCAATATTCTTGTCCTCATATATGTCATGTATGTTCCAATTTCCTAATGAACAAACTCCATAATACTCTTGAAACTATTCTGTTACGGGTTACAGGGGATGTGGTAAGAAACGCAGGCATTTTCAAGTCCAAGTTGCCTCACATTTGTGAAACCTCGTTTACACGAATCTATAACCTCTTAATGTGTCTTCATGCAAGCCAAAGTATTCAACTGTTGTGTTTATTTCAATCTTCATTTTCTGAGGAAAAGCCCTTAAATAAAATCGTTAAAAACAACACAGCTCGCAGCTTTCTCTCAGACAGAAAAAATATTTAACCTTCAGACTTTCGATGAAACAATGAACAGATAAAGCCTCCTCTCACCATTATTCATAGAAACTCATACATTTTTTATTTTTTTCTTGTTATTTATTTGTTTGTTTATTTTTTAAGGTGATTTTTTTTCGAAAATTAGTGCATTTTCATGGCTTGTTCCATGTTTTTAGAATACATCGGAACACAACAGACTTTTCTAACATCTCTACCTACTGACACAAAGCTTTCCGAATGACTGAACAATGCATCACTCAGAAGTTTGAAAACACGGATGATTAACATTCATCCAGGAAAATCATTTCTGGCATTGATCAAAATGGTTATTCTAATAGTAAGGTGCATGACAGACAAAATAAATAAAAAAAGATATTTTTTTAGATATTACAATTAAATTTTTGGGGTCAGGCCATTTTTTCCAGATCGGTCAGAGATAGGCAAACAAATTTATTTTTTTTAGGTATAATTTGTTTTCTGGAAGCTAAATTTGTCTTAAAAAGGTTCTTGTCTGTAATTAATGAGTCCCTTTTTAAATGGTCAATAAATGGTCATTCTTATTGACAAAGCAATGGCAAGATATTATGTATTTTGAATGGATAATAGACCAGCTTCGTTTAAAGATAAACAAATACATCTGAAAAAAAATGTTTTATAAATTGTAAGGAAAAATGGCTTCCCTAAGCCATTTCAATATTGTAATTAAATATTACTAGTATCATATTAATTATTATTTATTTCTTTTGTTAAACTGCATATAATTATCTCGTCGTAGATACCAGGCTTAAAATTTTGTATGCTATACGCTTGTTTTGTCTACAAAAGACTCATCAGTGACACTCGGATCAAAAAAGTTAAAAGGCCAAATAAAGTTAAGAAGTTGAAGAACATTGAGGACCCAAAATTATGGATTCCCAGGATAAAGTTGGGACGTCAGTATACTATTCCCAGGATAAAACTGGGACGTCAGTATACTATTCCCAGGATAAAGGTATACTTTCCAAGGAGATTTCAAATATGGGATGAAAAAACAGCTTAGAGATAAGTTAATCTATTCCCGGGTTGAAAATCCTTAGTATTTTGAAATATTCAATGTTTTGTTTACAGTTAATTTATAATTATGATCATATCATTGATAATTCATGTCAACACCGAAGTGCTTACTGCTGTGTTGGGGAGGAATCTTCCACAAGCAGTGGCTTCAATCCAGTGGTTGTAAATAAAATCATGAAAACCGCTCATGCTAAGGCACATGCTAGTCAAAGATGTGAATGAATGCAGAAATATGAAGATAGAAATGTTACTGTCAAATGTAGGTAGATTGATAACAACTGCATAACAGTGAACTTCCTCCCTTAAACATATTGAGGCTATTGGAAATAAATGGATGCAAAGTGGTTAAATAGTTGGCACCTCTGACAGGGCAAACAAAACAATACCTATACCTACTGGTAGCTGCCTAATAATTTCCACTATTATAAAATGGTGGAAAATTGTGCATAAATATTTTATGATGCCCCCGACGAGGGGGTATAAAGTTTTACCCTTGTCCATCTGTACGTCCGTCCATACGTCTGTACATCTGTACATCCCTATGTCCCAAAATTGGTTTTGTTCTCTATTTTTAGTTTGCCTCAACCATTTATGTTATGAAACTTATCCACAATGCTTATTACCACAAAACACAGATCAAATTTGAATTTTGGTAGCGTCACTTTTACCATTCTAGAGTTGTGCCCTTTACAAATGGAAAATTCCTTAAATTTTTTCGTTTCTGGTCTCTAACTTAAGTTTGCTGCAACCAAATGTTATGCAACTTATACACAATGCTTAATACCACAAAACTCAGATCAAGTATGAATTTGGGTTGTGTCACTTTTACCATTCTTGAGTTATGTCCCTTTATAATGTTATATGCAAGCGGGGGCATTGTCTGTCCCATGGACAAATTCCATATTTATTTTTTAAGTTTTTAACTTGTTTCAACCAGAGAAACAGTCTGACTTTAACAGTGCTTGTTTAAAAATGGCAAAACTTTTGTTATGGTATTCACTACAAAAAAGGGTCATTTGAGTTTGTGGAAACACATTTTTTTAAGGCCTGATATAAATTTTAGAAGCCTGTCTGTCCAACATATTATTGTATATTAGAATAGAAATCTAAAGATGAATTGTATTTGATAATTTTTTGTCATTTTGATAATTTTAACATGTTTAACGAAAAGTTTTAAAATTACATTCTTGAAAAGTATACTAACATGACTAATAACCCATTTCTTAGAATGCATCCAAGATATTATAAACAGTAATCATAATTAAGCAAAATTTGCATTTTCCAGTCTTTAGTTATAGCACTGCCTTAGAAAAACACTAACTGTTTGTCAAAAGTTAGGTGGATGAATATTTCACTGTACCTTAGTACGTTCTGAATATTATTCTTCCTGTTTACACTTTTATCAGGCAAGACAAAGAAATTATATGTATTATTATTATTTCCTTGGTCAGGATGTTATAATTAACTTCCTCCTTGCATTTTTAGAATGGGAAATAATTAACAATAATGAGTGTTTGGAAAAGACTCCAGAGAGTAGGGAAGTCTGCATCTAAGTTCCAGTTTACTGCATCATACCAGGAATTAGAAGTGGAATGTACAAAGAAATGGTAAGAATATTTAAATATCTTATATACATGACAATGATGTAGGTCATGTATGTTCATACATGTATTTGATTTATGTAAAAATATGTTTTTGAGTTTCATTGAAAACCAAAAGTAATACATGTATGAACAAATGTTGGGACTAACTTAAGATGTTTTACTGCAAGGTTATACTGTGTTGCTGCATTTCAAAGAATGAATGATTACATGTACTAATAAAAAGATATATTAAAGTTAAAAAAATACTGATATTTTTAGAAAAATTATGTGTCTTTGAATTATTTGCAGCTATAGTTGTTCTGGCTTCTGCTGAGACAATAAATTTAAAGTTATAAGTTATAAAATGTTTGTTGAAACTGGATGCATTTTTATCTGCCTTTAAAAATAATAGTATAGATTATTAGCACTTTATCTTCTTGAAATAATTATTCTTAAATCTCTAAGTGGAATTTACCTGAGACAAAATTGAATGTAAGTAAAATGTAAAAATTAAAACTTACATGACATATCAAACTTCTGATAAAAAATAATTTCTAATTTTGTGTATTTTTGATGATTTAGGCAACCAAACAAACTATGTATAGTATGGACAAGAAGAAGCAGAAGGAAATCAACCCAGGTATTTTCATTGACCATGTTTCATACATGATAGATTTTCATTGACCATGTTTCATATACATGTATGATAGATTTTCATTGACCATGTTTCATATATGATAGATTTTCATTGACCATGTTTCATAATCATATACATGTATGATAGATTTTCATTGACCATGTTTCATATATGATAGATTTTCATTGTAGTTGTTATTCTTTGTTTATTTTGTTGTAAAAGGATCACTCTAAAAGCTTTAACACTTCATTCTGTAAAAATCAATTTTTTCTGGTTCCTCATTTTAAGATGAATTGTATGTTGTGTGCGTAAACAAGAATATGATATGGGACATCTGCCCGTAAGACAAAATTTAAAGAACAAAGTGAAAAATGCAAATATTTAACTGTGTTCTAGCTAGAGTTTATAGTTGAGGGGCACAGTTTTTAAGATAAAAGGCAGTTTCTTATCTGAAAAGGGACAAACTTAATCATGTTAATAGGTGAAAAATTGAAATAATTGAATAAAATTGAGAATGGAAATGGGGAATGTGTCAAAGAGACAACAACCTGACCAAAGAGTAGAAAATAGCTGAAGGCCTGTATTTTTTTCAGAATTTATGATATTTTGGGGTTGTCCAAACTTTTCACAGGGGTTAAAATGATTATTAAGTCTCCCAAACGAAGTTTGGGAAGACTTATTGTTTTTGCTCAGTTCTTATTATTATTATTATTCTTCTTCTTCTTCCGCCGCTTTTAAATTTGAACTTGTCCGCACCCGTTCTCCAAAACCGCTTGTCAGATTAACTTAGGGTTTCACAATATGTTAGACTAACATGTCTAGTGGTGCAATCAGGGTTTTGTTTTTGCAATGGGGTTTATAAAGGGGTACTTTGAGGGGCAAAAAGAAAGGTGGGTTTTACTATAGAACCCTATGGGATTTTATTTTTTAAAATTTTCAAATGATTATTAATTGAAAACCGTTTGTGATAGACACAATCTTTTTAATTAATAATGTTCTAAATGATAAAGCACATTAAATGAAATACAGGGTTAGTCTTTAGGGGTCACCCCCACCCCCTGCCATTTAAGAAAGTTCTTATATCTTGTAAATGGTCGAGATCCCCACCCCTAAACCATATATATTCTGGTTTGTCATGCTAAGATGGTTTGAATGATATACAGGGTTAGTCCCCAGAGGTCATCCCGACCCCCTGCCATTTGAGAAAGTTCTAATATCTTGTAAATGGTCGAGATCCCAACCCCTAAACCATATATATTCTGGTTTGTCATGATAAAGCACATCAAATAATATACAGGGTTAGTCCCCAGGGGTCACCCCCACCCCCTCCCATTTAAGAAAGTGCTAATATCTTGTAAGTGGTCGAGATCCCCACCCCTAAACCATATATATTCTGGTTTGTCATGCTGAGATGGTTTGAATGATATACAGGGTCATCCCGACCCCCTGCCATTTGAGAAAGTTCTAATATCTTGTAAATGGTCGAGATCCCCACCCCTAAACCATATATGTTCTGGTTTGTCATGATAAAGCACATCAAATAAAATACAGGGTTAGTCCCCAGGGGTCACCCCCACCCCCTCCCATTTAAAAAAGATCTAATATCTTGTAAGTGGTCGAGATCCCCACCCCTAAACCATATATATTCTGGTTTGTCATGCTAAGATGGTTTGAATGATATACAGGGTTAGTCCCCAGGGGTCATCCTGACCCCCTGCCATTTGAGAAAGTTCTAATATCTTGTAAATGGTCGAGATCCCCACCCCTAAACCATGTATATTCTGGTTTGTCATGCTAAGATGGTTTGAATGATATACAGGGTTAGTCCCCAGGGGTCATCCCGACCCCCTGCCATTTGAGAAAGTTCTAATATCTTGTAAATGGTCGAGATCCCCACCCCTAAACCATGTATATTCTGGTTTGTTATGATAAAGCACATCAAATGAAATACCGGGTTAGTCCCCAGAGGTCACCCCCACCCCTTCCCATTTAAGAAAGATCTAATATCTTGTAAGTGGTCGAGATCCCCACCCCTAAACCATATATATTCCTGTTCGTCATGTCTCAAACATTTGAATGACGTATAGGGTCAGTCCCCAGGGGTTCCCCCAACCCCCAATGTTCAAGTATCTTGTAAATAGTCGAGATCCCCACCCCTAAACCATATATATTCTGGTTTGTCATGCCAAGATGATTTGATTGATATACAGGGTTAGTCCCCAGGCATCACTAATGCATATTACTTTACTGGACCAAACCAATTTTCACTGGACTTTGTCCAATGTCAGGCGACCCTGGGAATTACGAATTATGGGAGCTTCGTTTGGGAGACTTCGTAACAGCATCCTGTTACAATCATTTCTTGTTTCATATTGAAAAGTATCTTTTTTCTATTAGAAACAAAAATGCTTAGGGCAGGACTAAGGAGATGGGCTGCACAGAAAGGGCAGAGCGAAGCTGCACCCCTCTGTTTTGGGCTAGCTAAAACAATGTATTACTTAGTAATTAAGATAGTCATACAATTAGTCAAGAAGTTTCTAAGTAATGTACTTAAAAAATAAAAATATGGTATTTTTAAAAATTAATACAGTGTAGTAAACTTATGAAACATAAGTACTTAAGACAAGTCTATTCTTCCTGGTAAGATACAATTACTGTAAATTACATAAAGTGGAAATTACTTTGACTATTTATAGGTTATAAGATCATTTGACCTATTTGCATTATCATGCATCCCTTCTCTGTCCATGATTCTATATTTAAACTTCTTAAATATAATCATCTTCTTTTTAGCTCACCTGACCTGAAAGGTCAAGTGAGCTTTTCTCATCACTTTGCGTCCGTCGTCCGTCGTCCGTAAACTTTTACAAAAATCTTCTCCTCTGAAACTACTGGGCCAAATTTGACCAAACTTGGCCACAATCATCATTGGGGTATCTAGTTTAAAAAATGTGTCCGATGACCCCGCCAACCAACCAAGATGGCCGCCATGGCTAAAAATAGAACATAGGGGTAAAATGTAGATTTTGGCTTATATCTCTGAAACCAAAGCATTTAGAGCAAATCTGATATGGGGTAAAATTGTTTATCAGGTCAAGATCTATCTGCCCTGAAATTTTCAGACCAATCAGGCAACACATTGTTGGGTTGCTGCCCCTGAATTGGTAATTTTAAGAAAATTTTGCAGCTTTTGGTTATTATCTTGAATATTATTATAGATAGAGATAAACTGTAAACAGCAATAATGTTCAGCAAAGTAAGATCTACAAATAAGTCAACTTGACCAAAATGGTCAGTTGACCCCTTAAGGAGTTATTGCCCTTTATAGTCAATTTTTAACCATTTTTCGTAAATTTTTGTAATCTTTTACAAAAATCTTTTCCTCTGAAACTACTAAGACAAATTTAACCAAACTTGTCCACAATCATCATTAGGGAATCTTGTTTAAAAAATGTGTCCGATGACCCCGCCCGCGAACCAAGATGGCCGACATGGCTAAAAAATAGTACATAGGGTAAAATGCAGTTTTTGGCTCATATCTCTGAAACCAAAGCATTTAGAGCAAATCTGACATGGGGGTAAAATTGTTCATTAGGTCAAGATCTATCTGCCCTGAAATTTTCAGACCAATCAGGCAACACATTGTTGGGTTGCTGCCCCTGAATTGGTAATTTTAAGAAAATTTTGCGGCTTTTGGTTATTATCTTGAATATTATTATAGATAGAGATAAACTGTAAACAGCAATAATGTACAGCAAAGTTAGATCTACAAATAAGGCAACATGACCAAAATTGTCAATTGACCCCTTAAGGAGTTATTGCCCGTTATAGTCAATTTTTTACAATTTTCATAAATTTTGTAAATTTTTGTAAATTTTTACAAAGTATTTTCCACTGTAACTACCGGGCCAAGTTCATTATAGATAGAGATAATAGTAAGGAGCAAGAATGTTCAGTAAAGTAAGATCTACAAACACATCACCATCACCAAAACACATCACCATCACCAAAACACAATTTTGTCATGAATCCATCTGTGTCCTTTGTTTAATATGCACATAGACCAAGGTGAGCGACACAGGCTCTTTAGAGCCTCTAGTTTTAAAGAACTGGCTTATGCTATAGCGTTTTTTGCACAAATAATGTATGGAAGGTCCTTTGTAGAAAAATGAATTTGTTGTGATTAGATGAAAATGATAGCCACCAAATTCTGTCGGTAATTGTGGAGATACATATTATTACAAGAGCAACTCTTAGTACCTGAAATTTATGAGAATTTGAAAATGTTTAGATCTTTTAATGTTATGTTAGTTTTGTGGCAATTACAAAATCTGTCCATCTTAGGACAAAAATATGATGGACAGTAAATTGTTCAAGAAGTCACTATTGACATGAAATGAATATTTTTTTTCATGCATTTTACACACCCTATTACCAGCTACCATTATGGCAGATAAGATAGGACCTGTGTTCCAGGTTACCATTCAAAACTATGGTGAACAGCTGATTTTTCTGTCTGTGTTTTCGATTGCCATTACAATACAATGGATTTTGTAACCTTGTATAGCCAATTTTGATCTATGCTACCTGTTGGTAATAGCTGGTAATAGGGCATTTTATGTCTTTGGTAAAAAATAAATATGTGTAATATTTGAAACCAAAAAGATAATTAAATCACATCAAATTCCTTTGAAAAATATTATGCTAAACATCTATAAAGATAAGATGTGATAAAATCTAGTTTGGTTAGGCTGTTGTTCATTTCTAAATGTCAATTACAAGATTTCAAAATAGTCTTCTCATCTAATTTTAACTGAAACTTTATAGGAATAAAATTTTATAGCTTTTATTTCAAAGATACTGTTAACTTTTTGGTCACTGATTAGATGGCAAATATGATAGCTGTTGTTGCTCAAAGTTTTCAAGAGTGTCGTATGGAAAATTGTATTTTCATCTTTTACAAATATTTAATTTTTTCTGTACTCTAAGCACAACCAAGGATAAAGTGGCTTGACTGCCCTCAATGCTCATATTCATAAATGTTTTTTCTATGTTATAGAAAATGAAATGTATAATGGAAGAGGTGAATGTATAAATAGATATATTGTCATGACTTCTAAGTGTTACTAATTAAAGTATTTTTTTAATTATGATAAGTACCCATAAGTATATATCAGAAGATATGTAATTCAAGTTGACACTTTATATTTTATTTACTTTCTTAATTGCACACTGGAAGATCTTATTTTATTAGATTTTAAAATGTATTTGGTTATTTTATTTCTTCAAATTCTTGACATGCTCAGTAAAAAAAACTTCAATAATCACATTCTGTTAACATGTTACAATTTTTCTCAATAGTTGATTTATGTGGAAATAATACATGTAAAACACATGTGCATGATAATTTGCATTTAAATATCATATGGTAATGATGGTAATAAATTTCATAAAGAAGTACAAATTATGAAGTCTTTAATAAATCTGAGCATGAATGAAAGATGTTGGAAAAACATGAGCTAGACAACAACCAAAATTTGTTTTTTCTTTGAAGTTGGGAACCAGAAATTTTTTTAGTAGAAAAAGACCCATACCCAACCCTCCCAATTTAGAGTTAAGTGGTTGTTCCCTTACATTAAATAAACATCAGGAAGGCTTTTCTAGAATCAGGAATATTTCTAGCTTTGCTTTTGTTTAGACACTTGTGTATTTTTGAAGCCCATATATTGACCTCTACATGTCTATATTTGCTTGCTTTCTCTTTGATGTACACCCCCACACCTCATTTAATTCATACCATTAGATATACAGTGATTTGGGAGGGGGGTGTTCAAAACACTCTTGTGTGCTGTTTGTGATTTATAATTTACGTGGAGTAATTTAATCTATAATTCAGATTTCTTTAATGCTTTTTAACTTGTTTCAGCTTCATACCTGGGAACCAACCATACAGAATCCATACAATGGCATGGTTACATGGACAGTGCCAGAGAATGTAGAAACACAAGTGACATTGTTCAGAGATGGCAGACATGCAGAGTATGAGGACAAGGAATGGACCTTTCTTTTAGAAGATGTAAATTATTAAACTGAGCATTTTTATGCCCCACTTAGGGCATTATGTTTTTTGGTCTGTGTGTCCGTTCGTCCGTCCGTCTGTTCGTTCATCTGTCCCGCTTCAGGTTAAAGTTTTTGGTTAAATTTTTTGGTCAAGGTAGTTTTTGATGAAGTTGAAGCCCAATCAACTTGAAACTTAGTACACATATTCCCTATGCTATGATCTTTCTAATTTTAATGCCAAATTAGAGTTTTTACCCCAATTTCATGGTCCACTGAACATAGAAAATGATAGTGCGAGTGGGGCATCCATGTACTATGGACACATTCTTGTTTTTATATAGATTGAGGTTTGTTTCATAAACTTTGGATCAGGAGGTAGGCAGGCACCTTCCACACTATATAGTTTTCAATATATACAATATAGTACATACAATATTACGGGAGGGGGGGGGGAACAATATTCCAAATATTAATCTATTGTTTCCTAGCCCCTTTTTTAACCTGGCCCATATTCTAAAAGGCCCTTATTTCAATTAATGATAATATGGTCATACTTATATACATGTATAAACTATAGCTAACAAGGAGATAATATCGTGTAAAGACCATAAAACACAAAACATCAACAAAACAAGCATTGAAAATGAAGATAACTGATAAAAATAAGAATAGAAAAGAAAAAGAAGCATAATATACCAAAGGTAAAAATCATAAGCCAAAGAAAAACCAAAAATGCCAAAAACAAAAACAAACAAAAATAATGAAAAGACAACAGCCCACAAAACTTTTGAAAAAAATATGAAAAAAAAATCAATGAAAAGATAAACTCTCCACAAAACACTTCATAAAAAACAAAGACTGATCAACATGAAACCAGTAAAAAGGGGGGGGGGGCATCTCAGGTGCTCTGTATGAGTAAACAGATTTGCTCAACATTTCTCAACTGTGGGGCGAAATAGAAAATTTATAAGTGAAAGACGGACAAAACTCCACATCTAAAAGAAGAAAAAGAAAAAAGACAATATTCTACAAAGCATTACACAGGAAAGATGCCTCCCCTACCTTTTAAAGACATGTTCATGATACAACTTATATTTTGAAATGGTCCATAGACATGCATATATATTTATTTTGAATAGCAAGCTAGAGGTGGAAGAAGGAAGATAATTGCATCAGCACCAATCAATATGAAGGACTATGCTTCTGATGTACCAACACAACACACAATGACTATAAAGCTGAAACCAGCTTCAAAGAAAATTGTTAAAGCATCCATACAGCTGACATTGTCATGTGTCTTCCTGAGAGAGGGAAAAGCTACGTAAGTTATATAGATACAGAGTGGTAGTCCTTATGAATTTTAATCTGTCTCTTGGATACATTTTTTGTTGGCAAATTGAAAAGACTTCCATGCAGATGACTTTGTTATGAATCTTCCTTTTATAAAATCTGCTTCTCTGAAACTACTAATCCAAATTTAACCAAACTTGGCCACAATCATCATTAGGGTATCTAGTTTAACAAATGTGTCCAAAACCCCACCTGCCAAACAAGATGGCCATTATGAATTCTATTCTATTCAACAAAGATGATGGTGGATGGCTGCTTAACTTTAAGCAGCAAATTAATATGCATATTCAGGACGAGAACATGTTAATGTTATATGAATATTTACCCTGCTTTGTACTAGACTGACACGCTAAGCCTGATTTTTAAGTGCTAGTTCACAAGGTAACAGTCCACAGGAAGACATGTCACCTTACCCTGACTCATTATTCTGACTCCGAGCCAACCAGTCTTTGCTCTTACTCCTTAATGCGGGGTGGTTAGCGGAAAAGCAGCAAATATCAATTTTAAAGTCTTTGGTTTGACCCTGCTAAGGTTCGGACTCACGATCCCCCACACTTGAGGCGAACACGCTACCATGAGCACTGAAGCGATCTAGTCCACAAAGATGGAGAGTGTCCTTTGTTGAAGATGCACATATACAAAGGTGAGCGACACAGGCTCTTTAGAGCCTCTAGTTGTCTGGTGCCAGTGGTTACAAAAATTGGTGGAAGAATCCTTACAGATTATTAATATGCTGTATTTGTGTGAAAGAAAAAAAAACATTTATCCTCCACCAAAATAAACACACTGCTTGTTAATCAGTTTATATTCTATACATAAATAGTATTTTCATGTTAATATAAAAATAAGGAGATGAGGTATGATTGCCAATGAGACAACTATCCACCAAAGTTCAAATAAAGTGGATGTAAGCAATTATAGGCAACAGTACAGCCTTCAACAATGAGAAAAACCCATACAGTATAGTCGGCTATAAATATATTAAGGTAAGTATATTTAACCAAATTCATATTCAAAGGATATTTTGAAATCTAAAGAAGAGGAGATTTTATATGAATTTATAGGGTTAAATATACTAATCACAATCCCCCACCACCAGTTGAAAATGTTTATATTCAATTAATTAAACAACAATTTAAAACTGAATACAGGTACCTGTATTTACACAGGTAAGGTGAGTACATCTCCGGAATGGTTTAATTTTATTCACCTATATGATTGTGATGAGAACATGTTGTAAGCAAAACATATTCTATATATAAATATAGTTTATCTCTCTCTATTTTAAATAAATAAACACAGACAAAAAAATAAACACTTATGTCATATATTTATAAAACAGATAAAAAAAAAAAATTTCATTAAGTGATAACCAGGCGTTTTAATATAGGATTATTTAATCATTTCCTAAAATATAAAATGATTATTTAATTACAAAGTATCAACTCATTATAAAGAAACAAACATTTGATTTATTGCTGGTGTTTAGCACTTTCATCACTTTTGGCTATATCGTGGTTGTTAGTTTTTATTGGTGGAGGAAGCTGGTGTACTGGGAGCCAACTTTTGATACCCAAGATTTACCACATGTGGTACAATGGTACATTGGCATTCTGGTGATGTAATTACCATGGCATAAATATTATTCTTTTATAACCTTGTGGCTTCCATGAGAGTCTTTTACATGTCAGTATCATTGTTGATTTATTTTCAGAGATGAAGATATGCAGAGTGTAGCAAGTTTAATGAGTATAGGTAAAACAGATATTGGTAACCTTGACGAACTGGAGGAGGAAGGAGAAAATTTTGGGGATCACAGCGGGGATCACTCCTTCTGTTCTAGAATAGCAGAAATCACAACTCAGTTGTCTAATCTAGATGAAGAAGATGAAACTGCTGGTAATCCCTTTGGTAACCCCTTTGGAGACCCTGATCTGGAATGTGATGGCTTTGAATGTGGTATTTTGCTTTTGCTTATTTCTTTCTTTTATTTAATGATTTCTAATCATTTCTTGCATCTTACAATTTTAATGTGATACCATTTCAAAGACAGTGTAGTTTTGTTGTATGTGTTTGTGCATATCCTAGAATACATCGCAAAACAATTAGTTAAATATACTTGTAAAAATTGCTGCTTGACTTTTAGTAAGTCTTGTCCATTTAACTTTATGTCTTTGAATTAAACCAGGGATCTTAAACTGGTAGACATAGCCATGACTCTGTTAATATAAAAATGCACTTTTGTAAAAATCAGTTTTCGAGGGTTTCAAGCTTTCATTTACCAATGCCTCCAATAATTGTAAAATTATTCCTGTTGAAATAACTTCAGCCTGTGGTACATATATCTGTTAATACACATGAATTGTCTGCAATTTGCTTAAAAGCTGTGACTTTTAGATGGTATCTTCTTCATATTTTCTATTTGGAAATCATGTATTTTTGTTCTTAAATAAAAAAAATGGTACATTTTAGTTAAAAAAATTTAACACAGTGCAATAAAATGTCATCATGAAATAATGCTGGAATTTACCAAAGTAAAAGATAGTAAGTTATATAGAATTGTGAAGGATCAAAAATGATCGAAATTGCTGAATTAATTTTGCACATGGGAGATAACTCTTGCAAAGGTCTGTGCTTTAGGTGTAATACCACCATTGATTTTCCCCTATTAGTCTTTGTTAAATTTGCACTTTTCAAAACATTGTGCAGAATATATCTTTGTTTCAAATAAAGAAATACTTGGCATGAGTAAAGTTTTATCCTGTCCAGTACTATAGAAAAAATTTAACATAACATTTCATTGCATATAAGAAAATAATCATCACTGGAAGTTAACCAATCAAATTTTCCCCCTTTTTTAACCTGTGTACAAGCTTTAGTAACCATGTAACCTCAAGTTTCCAAAATATTTTATAGAAACCCCAAATAAAAAAATAATGGTGCTTTGAAATACCCAAGATATATGTTTATGACCCAGAAATGTTTTACTGCAATGAAATGTAGGATCAATTACCTACAACTGTCAAATTCAAGGGAATATTTTTTTAGACCTATTTTCGTATGCAACCGGATGTGACGTACTATGATTTGGTGGTATTACACCTAAAGAAGACTTTTTTGTTAAATAAACTGAATGTGACTTTTTTCCTTTGTAATACGGATTATTTCAAGCATTCCTGTCAAGTTTTGTCATAATCAGTTCAATAACTTGAGAAAAATCTAGTATAATGTTAGACGACATCTACAGCGATTCGAGCAAAATTTCTTCTAAAAATCCAAACCCAGCCGCATCATGATAGAATATAGTGTGGACCAATAAATGATCAAATATTTATCTCATCTGCCTACAAACAGTTGTATATGATACAAAAGATGACTTTAGGATGATAAATAGTACTAATGGACCTCTTTGTCTTCCTTATAAGGTCTCTTTTGGTCCATTTATACCTCTCATTTCCTCAAAATTTCTACTTTTTAGGCCAATAAATAAAAATTCTGGGGTAACTTTCACTCATTTATGATAGAAATGTTATAATAAATGATTAATTGAAGTATTCAAGCTGAATGAACTATCCGTATAAAAGTTTGCTGTCTCCAAGGAGGTTTCAATAAGTCCTTACGTAAAACTTAAATTTACACCGCGTCCCAGAGAGGGACATAAAAAGCTTCTCTTTTGGTGAATAATTTGTTGTTACTGCTTTAAAAATAATTTCATTTACTTAAAACTATATATTTATTTAAGTATTTCCTAGGAAAAAATTTCTAGTATAGCAGAATATAATAAATAAGGAGAAAAAGCTCACCCAAACTCTAAGTATGGCTTGTTCTGTCAACTAATATTCATGGTAAAGTCCTATTTCAAGGAAATTTTCTTATAAAATGTGTTTTGGAGACTCAATCCACTCAGAATATTTCATTATTTGTAATATTTCACTTAAATAGCAAGAAATTTTAACACATGAGAGTACTCACAAGGTCAAAAGTGCATGTACAGCTTCCCATATTAGGTGTAATACCACCATTGATTTTCCCCTATTAGTCTTTGTTAAATTTGCACTTTTCAAAACATTGTGCAGAATATATCTTTGTTTCAAATAAAGAAATACTTGGCATGAGTAAAGTTTTATCCTGTCCAGTACCATAGAAAAAATTTAACATAACATTTCATTGCATATAAGAAAATAATCATCACTGGAAGTTAACCAATCAAATTTTCCCCCTTTTTTAACCTGTGTACAAGCTTTAGTAACCATGTAACCTCAAGTTTCCAAAATATTTTATAGAAACCCCAAATAAAAAAATAATGGTGCTTTGAAATACCCAAGATATATGTTTATGACCCAGAAATGTTTTACTGCAATGAAATGTAGGATTAATTACCTACAACTGTCAAATTCAAGGGAATATTTTTTTAGACCTATTTTCGTATGCAACCGGATGTGACGTACTATGATTTGGTGGTATTACACCTTTACCAAGGATACTCCACTTACTACTACCAATAAAATATTCTTCCATGAAAATATACTTGTGAATAGACAATGGTATTAAACATCATAGTATTGACAATCTTTTACTAAATAAAGAAAATTATTCATAAAAAGGAAAATAGAAATTACTAAAATATTGGACCACACCAACACGGGAGTCCTCCAAGAGAATAGACAAATTTATTTTGTGATTTAAAATAATGTTATGAACATTCAAGTTTATCAGTTTAGTATGAAGTTGTTTGGTAAGATTATATTTTATCTTATCATTTCAAGAACTTATTATTTAGTTTAGTTCTTTAGCAGTCATTTTGTTTTTTGTAATTTTTGTTTTTTTTGCATGAAGCATATTTTTGCATCTTTTGTCAATGAAATAGCTTTTGGCACAATAAGATTTCTGCCTATGTTATTATTTAATTTATAAATTGCTTGATTGAGTGCGAGGTTCCCACAGAAAATGCTAATTTTTTCCTAACCTTTTGAAAATCTTTATTTCAAACTAAAGTATATTTATTTACCTGTCTAAGAATCTTTACATATAAATTGTATTTCTTTATTTTCTTTCCCTTTGTCACTATTGTTATTTTGAATAAATGTTGTACTAATAACACTGCAAAAAAAAAAGACTATTTAAAAACATTTGATTCTTTACTCTGGAGAGTTGCATGATATGAAATCTAATATGAATGGAAGTAAATACATATAATATAAGTTGATTTTGAAGTAACATTTAAGTTTGATTGTAAGCAAATTTGAAAATCCAGTACTATTTCAGATTAGTTAACACTTTATCATAAAAGTATGAAGTAGAGAAGATCTAATTTAGTGTTGTCCATGTTAAATTGACATTTCTTTATAATACCATGTAAAAATGTTACACTTACTTGATATGCATAAAGTATTTTCATTTGAAACTCTCAAGGACATCTCGCAATAACTCTATGGCAGGATTTTCAGATTGGCCTATTTATTCAAACGTGCTCATAGTAGACATTATGAATTTAGAATTGTATTAGAGTAATTAAAGCAAATTGAGGATATATACAGCTTAAGAACTATTTATATTTCCTGACTATAATGTTAAAGAAAGATCGCAATTAATAAATGCTATAGAAATAAAAAAATTGATAGATACAATGTATTTGTAATTGGATGTTTAAAGAACATTATCATGTTTTAAAAATTCTGTAAAATGTAAACTTCATTATGTGGGAATAACTCTGTAAACACTTTTTTATTTTAGCAGAACAGAGTGAAAATTCAGTTAACTTAACAGAAGCATTAGAATCCTCAAACCCATTTGGCGATGATGATGAGGAGGAGGAGGATGAAAACAATCCTTTTAAAGATCCAACTCCCCCAGACAGATATCTGACATCGGATGTCATTAAATCCTCAAAAGCTAAAAAAACAAAAAGAGCTCCAGCACCACCACAAGCAGGAGAATCATCTCCAAGTCCCAAAAAACCTGAATCAACACCAAGGGCCACACCAGAAAAGTCTTCAGCGGCAAAAGTGCTAAATCCACCTGGAGAACAATCACCAAGTCCAAAGAAGCGAGCTCCGGCACCACCACAATCAATAGAGACGGCTCTGAAAGAGATAGTATCATTGACAAAAAAACCTAAGTCACCGTCAAGTCCAGAGAGACCTGTCTATGAAGGTTCTCCACCATCTACTACTGTGGAAAAATGGAAAAGGCCTATAACTCCTCCACATCTACAGACTAAATCAGAATCTCCTAATGAAAGGTAGTTTATCACTTTAAAGAAAAAAAAACCTTTGAATTTCACATTCATAGAATATTTCTTAGCACTAAATCACTCACTGGATTCCTATTAAGTTAACACAGATTCTGGTGTACCTTATGAATATTTTGATTTAAGCACTTCAAGGGAAATATGGTACCTCAGTTAAATTCAAATGGCTTAAGACTTTAAAAAATCTGCATTCAATTCTTAAAGGAAATATATTCTTCTTTTAAAATAAGACAGATAGGCTAAGGTAGATTTTTAACATTCTAACTCACAGTGTCTCTAGGAAGACTTTTCATCCTACTTGGACACATTATTCTGAATTTGAGCAAAGCTATTTGTGATCTTACTCATAATGCTGTATGCTTTGCAGATCTGTTGTAAACTCTTATATTCGATAGCTAAGAATATCGAAAAAGCGGAAAGAGTGTAACTCATTAGTTAACCAGAAGTAAAAACTTTTCTCATTGTTGTATGATTTTTCTTGAGGTAAGAAATTAAAATTTTTTTTTCTTTCAGTATTACAGATGTGTCTATAGATGTGGTTTCACCAGACAGTAAAGGGGACAGAAAAGCTTTGGAAACATTAGATTTAAATAAGGTAAATGATCATGAAAGAAGGTCAGAATGGGGTTGCCGTTTCTATTCTGTAAACCTCATCCATACCCTCATGAAATCTGAACTGAAAAAACGACAGGGTTGCAAAAGTAACAAATGAATTACTGTAAATTCAGAAATTATTGCGTGCATTTATTATTGCGATTTGTGTAGAATGGACAACAATGCGAAATTAATAATTGCGATTTCAGAAAAATCTGCATTCATTTACATGTATCAATTACCACAATGCAAGTTCTTATTACTCATCTAATTGCATAATTCCCATTAATAAAAGCCTCACAATGATTTGTGAATTGAGAGTAGTGCTTTTGCTGCATTTGTCAGCTTTCATCATAGAAGTATCTTATTAGAATTACCTTTTGTAGGATTGATTGGTCTTTTGTCATTGTACCACAAGTGAGAGTCAAGCTAAAGTGATTCACCGCCATCTTATTTGCTTTATTGTATGATTACAGCATGTTTATGGCTCTAATCATGACTGAATCAGACGATTATAATTTTAAACATTTGTTTAGTTTTGTCTTGTCTCAACAAAGTCATGACAATTTTTACCAGGATTTACAAAATATCTTTAATTCAGAATTTAATTGATGCATTTATTATTTTAAGTCATTGACAACTAAGATTGATATGAGTATGATTAACCTGATTCTTGAACATGTTTTAGTAGATTATCACGAACCAAAAAATGTATGTGATATTAATTTTTTGAAGTGTTCTTCCTTATGTATTTTCATATTATGAAAACATTTCATTGGTTTCTGTATTTAATGAATTTATCTTCAAATTTATTGTAGCAGACAGGATCACCAGTATCCAAGTCTGGGGATTCCACTCAGACTTTATTAGAATGGTGTAAAGAAGTTACACAAGGCCATAAAGGTGTAAAAATTACAAATCTGACAACATCATGGAGAAATGGAATGGCATTCTGTGCAATTATTGCTCATTTTAGACCAGATCTGATGTAAGTTCATGTATGTTTGTGTCAAAGTTGCAATTTGAATTATGTTGCATTAATCTTTTTCGTGGATTCAAGTTTTCACCGTTTGTTTTTAAATTAATTATTTCAGACTTGAGTGTAACTATCAATAAAATATATTCATTTCTCTTGGGTTTGAATTATAGTTGATAAACAAGATAAAATCCTTTTGATGATTATCTCCCCTGGATAACTATTTTATGTCAATGGACAGTTTTTGACCCATGACATTAGTACTCTGTAAACAATCTTTTGGTTGCAGCATTGTTTTGCCTAGTACTCTAGTTAAAAGTATACAACAGTAGAATAGAAAATGGAAACAGAATATATCAAAGAGACAATAATCTGACCAAAGAGCAGAAAACAGCCCAAGGCCACCAATGGGTCTTCAGCTTTAAAGAATTATTATTATTATTATAATTATTATTAAAATGACTCATATTCTTAGCCCTCAGAGGAAATATTTAACCTCTGCACTTTAATGTAGTAATTTGTAAGTCTAGGAGGTGTGTGGTCACAGCCACTCCTTCTGCAGATTGTTACTGAAAGAATTCATCAATGCATATAATTTTGTATGATTTATTATTTTATGTAAATACCATGGAAGGCAATGTAATATTCTCTGTAGAATGTAATCAATATGAATTATATAACATATAAAAAGGATAAAGGTTGATCAAGATTAATCAAGGTGGTCAGTTTCTCCTTGCAATAAAAGTGTTATTGCATGAATACTTGTTGATATCATCCCTCTTAAAAATGACTTGCACTGACTAAAGTTTATGCAATATTATAGTATACCCATGGCAATATTTACTAATATGCATGCCAAAACCCAATATAGTCTTTTGATGATGATTTGTAAATCTTGTTATTTCAGTGATTTTCGATCTCTTAATCCACATGACATGAAAGCCAATAATAGAATAGTAAGTACTAACTTTGCATTATGGTGAATTATGAATTCTGATGCAAATATTGATAAAAAAAGTAAGGGTATCCTTATATGTTACAAATTATCTATAACAACATTTTAAACTGGGGTATAGAAATATAATTACCTGGACCTCTCCTTTTTGTCGAGCCTGCGACTTTTGTCGCAAAAGCGAGACATAGCGATCCTACATTCCATCAGCGTTGTCGGCGGCAGCGGCGTCCACAAATATTCACTCTGTGGTTCAAGTTTTTCAAATTTTAATAACTTTCTTAAAGTATCCTGGATTTCTACCAAACTTGGAGAGAAGCTAGTTTATGATCATAAGATAGTATCCAGAAGTAAATTTGTAAAAAAAAAAATCCTGTTTATCCGTATTATACTCATAAATGGACTTAGTTTTTCTGCCAGTTAACATTACATTCACTCTGTGGTTAAAGTTTTTATACGACCGCAAAAAATTTTGTGGTCGTATATTGGTATGACGTTGGCATCGTCGTCGTCGTCGTCCGACGGTTGGTTTTCGCACTCTAACTTTAGTTTAAGTGAATGGATCTCTATGAAATTTTACCATAAGGTTCAATACCACAAAAGGAAGGTTGGGATTGAATTTAGGGGGTTATGGTACCAACAGTTAAGGAATTAGGGGCCAAAAAGGGGCCAAAAATAAGCATTTTTGTAACTTCCAGACATAACTTGTGTGTTAGTGGATGGATCTCTCTGACATTGTAACACAAGATTCCATATCACAAAGGGAAAGCTGGGATTCATTTTGGGGGTATTTGCCTCAAAATTTAGGAATTAGGGGCAAAAAAAGGGGCAAAAAACAAGCATTTTTCTAGTTTCAGGACAATAACTTGTGTGTAAGTGTATGGATCTTTCTGAAATTGTACTACAAGGTTCCATATCACATAGGAAAAGCTGGAATTGAGTTTGGGGGTAATTGCCCAAAACGTTTAGGAATTAGGGGCCAAAAAGGGGCCAAAAATAAGCATTTATCTAGTTTCCAGACAATAACTTGTGTTCAAGTGTATGGATCTCTCTGAAATTGTACTGCAAGGTACCATACCACAAAGGAAAGGCTGGGATTGATTTTGGGGGTATTTGCCTCAAAATTTTAGGAATTAGGGGCAAAAAACAAGGGTTTTTCTAGTTTCAGGACAATAACTTGTGTGTAAGTGTATGGATCTTTATGAAATTGTACTACAAGGTTCCATGTCACAAAGGGAAAGCTAGGTTTGCGTTTGGGGGTAATCGCCCTACACGTTTAGGAATTTGGGGCCAAAAAGGGGCCAAAAAATAGGCATTTTTCTAGTTTCCAGACAATAACTGGTGTTCAAGTGTATGGATCTCACTGAAATTGTACTGCAAGGTACCATACCACAAAGGGAAGACTGGGATTGAGTTTGGGGTGATGAATCATAAGGGGTTCAAAAAATTGGGGGGGGGGGGGGGGGGGGATTTTTTTTCCCTGTTTTTTCCTTTTTTTCCTTTAAAATTTTCCATTTTAAATTGGTTATTTCTGATTTATATATTAAAGCAAATAATAATGATATGGTTTGAATAGGTAAATTAAAAATTTTTAAGATCTTAGACCACATTCATTCTGTGTCAGAAACCTATGCTGTGTCAAATATTTAATCACAATCCAAATTCAGTGCTGTATCAAGCTTGAATGTTGTGTCCATACTTGTCCCAACTGTTCAGGGTTCGACCTCTGCGGTCGTATCAAGCTGCGCCCAGCGGAGCATTTTATTCAAATTTTAATAACTTTCTTAAACTATCCTGGATTTGTACCATACTTGGACAGAAGCTTGTTTATGATCATAAGATTGTATTCAAAAGTAAATTTTGTTAAAAAAAATCCTGTTTATCCATATTTTACTTATAAATGGACTTAGTTTTTCTGCCAGTTAACATTACATTCACTCTGTGGTTAAAGTTTTCAAAATTTTAATAACTTTCTTAAACTATCCTGGATTTGTACCAAACTTGGACAGTAGCTTGTTTATGATCAAAAGCTAGTATCTAGAAGGAAATTTTGAAAAAAAAATTTCTTGTTTTTCTGTATATTACTTATAAATGGACTTAGTTTTTCTTCCAGTTAACATTACATACAGTCTGCAGTTAAAGTTTTTACAACATTTATAAGATTCATAAACCATCCAGGATTCTTACCAAACTTGAACAGAAGCTTTTTACATTCAAAAGATAGTATCTAGAGGAAAATTTTTAATAATTATTTCTCCATTTTTGTTGAGCCTGCAACTAACAGCAAAAGTAGACGAGACACTGGGTTCCGCGGAACTCTTACAAATTTTTGAAAATAAGACCCATGCTGAGGGACTATCTGTTTGCCTTTGCATGAAATATGAAAATGGTCATAATGTGGATGTTAGATATGATGCCCTATGTTAGAATTTTATGCTCTGTATGCATGTTATATATATAAAATACTAGTACACGATTTTTATGCCCCTGTGGTAGCAGAGGGGGCATTAAGTTTTACCCTTGTCCATCCTTACGTACGTACGAATGTATGACGTACATCCCAAAGTTGGTTTCCGTTCTCTAACTTTAGTTTGCCTCAACGAAATGTTATGAAACTTATACACAATACTTATTACCACAAAACACAGACCAAGTTTGAATTTTGGTGGCGTCACTCAAACCGTTCTAGAGTAATGCCCCTTTACAAATGGAAAAATTGCTGAATTTTTCGATTCTGTTCTCTAACTTTAGTTTGCCTCAACCAAATGTTATGAAACTTATACACAATGCTTATTACCACAAAATACAGATCAAATTTGAATTTTGGTGGTGTCACTTTTACTGTTCTAGAGTTAAGCCCCTTTACAAATGGAAAAATTGCTGAAATTTCGTTTCTGTTCTCTAACTTAAGTTTGCCTCAACCAAATTTTATGAAACTTATACACAATACTTATTATCACAAAACTCAGATCAAGTACAAATTTGGATAGCGTCACTTTTATCATTCTTCAGTTATGTCCCTTTATAACTTAATATGATATGCAAGCTGGGGCATCATCTGTCCCATGGACACATTCCCCATCCATTTTTTTAATCTGTTAGATGACCTGATACAGGGCATCATTTCTGTCATGAACAACAAACTATCTTTCCTTAGTTGCAGTCAACTTTTCCTTTCCTGCATCCCAATTGCCTCATATAATAGAGTTCAAAAGGGTGAAAAAATATACAGAGGACCAGTCCAGAATAAGAATTTCAAATTTAAAACTTCAATTTAAAACAACACATTAGAGCTGATTCCTCACTATTGTTCATTCACTCCTGTGGATCCTCAACTTGATACCCCTGCTCGACAGAGTTGATGGTATATAGGAATCCTTTTGTCATACTTTTGAATTCCAAATGATTAGAGGAGAACAACTTTTTGTAATTAATTGAAATTTAAATGGAATGTTTTGGACCACTTAATACAGATTTAGTTAATTTTCCCCATTTTCACTTCCACCGTTCCAAAGTTATGGTACTTGATTATTGAAAAATTCAAATCTTTTGGTTTTCTGAAAACAAATGGAGTATCCCTTTTTCAGATTGATTGAAATTTTTATGAAATATTTTGGACCATTAAAGACAGTCGTTAAGTGTCCATTTTTGTCATTTTCACTTTCACCATTCCACAGTTATGGTACTTGATTAATTAATTAGAAATTTCTTGTTTTGTAGGCTTTTGATGCAGCAGCTAAGCTGGGTATTCCAAGAGTTATAGAACCTTCTGATATGGTTTTATTAAAAGTTCCAGATAAATTATCTGTAATGACCTACTTGCATCAACTACGGGCATATTTTACTGGTCAGACATTAGAAATACAGCAGATAGGAACAAGTGCTCGTGAAAGTACATATACTCTTAGTGAAAAAGATCGTGAGTTAGAAATGCAGATTTCTAGAGAAATGTACGGTAAAGATGTGATGGACTCAGCACAGCCATCAAAGGAAAATGTTCCAAAACCTGAAGTTGATAATCATAAAAAATCCAAGAGTCGAGAGACGACTCCAGTGACGCCAGATTCATTGTCTTTTACTTCAAGTAGTCCCTCTAATTCATTAGACAAATTAAGTGAAATCTCTAGTCATTCGCCTGTTAAACAAAGTCCTGAACGAGAAGTGACTTTAACAAATGGTGATATTAAAAAATCTCCCAGTCCCGATAAAAATAATTCTTGTGATAATAATAAACTGGTGTCTCAAACCAAAGAGAAACCTTCTGTGTCTGTTGAGAAATTAAAAACCTCATTAATGACAAGAAATCAGTTGAATAATCCTTTTGATTCTGAGGAGGAGGATATTAGTCCAGCCTCAGGTCATGCAGAAGGGGAGGATGATAGTGAAGTGTGGGTATTACGTAGCGATTCACAGACAAGTAGTATAGCATCTGGGTCAATCAGTCCACAGTGGTCTTCCAAAGAAAGTACTCCATCCAGAGAGTAAGATATTATATAATTCTTGAAGTCATGCATTAAGTCCAGATGAAATAAATTTCTAGATTTTTGTGGACAACAATGTAATTATTGAATGGCTAGATTTTAAAAAGATACCAGAAAAAAAAGAAAACTTTTGATATTGATTTGTAAATTGTGTATTTTATTACAAATAAAGTTGTGAAAAATGGTAAAATTAACTTTTTTTAACTTAAGAAAGGGCTCACTTGAGAGGGTAATTTGTGTGAAGAAGTGTTCTCCCCTTTTGTTCTTTTGCTGTTCTTGATCATCAAAAGGGAAATCAAGTCACCCTAGATTTCAAACATTCACAGTTGCCATGGGCATGTAAAATTCTATTGCCTCATTGATGCCAATCAGTGGTTTATATTTTCAAATATGATTTAATTCTAGCAACTTGTTAAATGGATGATTTACTTTTTTATTTTTACAGAAAAAGTCCTGTTGTTGAAAAACATCAAAGGAGATACCAAAAACATACTGAAAAACAGGTGATTATTTCTTTTATTTTGATAACAAGTTATTTTGAAACTTTATGGCAAATGGGTGACATTCACATTTACAGATAAGTCATCCAGCCAACCCTCATTTAATTGAACAAAACAGACAAAGGGACCATTCAAAACTTAGTTCATGTAGTGTGAATGCTAAAAAGTGAAAAACAGTGATTGCTAGTGATATATTTAAATAAGTGAAACACAGTGATTAATAAAATATTTATCTTGCATTGATTACAGTGAATTATCTCGGGTCCCAGAAATCCAAGAAATCAAAAGCTTGTGTCAATCTGGAAAAAATTAACTTGAATTTTTTTTTTTTTTTTTTTTGTGTACCCACTGGTCATGAAAAGAAAGGTATCCTTTTCTGCAATGACATTTTAAAAAATGACAGAAAAATATGAGAGGTACCCAACTGATTGTGAGCACCTGTTGAAAAAAAAGTCAGTACTAACTTATGATCAGGTATACTACCACATGTTCCCAGAATGAGCATATGACAATTTTAAATAGCAGTCCTGGAGATTTCTGAATTTTTTGGAAAACATAGAGTTTACACCTATGTAATGTGATGTATACTGTAATTTCAAACGGTTGTATGAATATGATGCTACCAAAATGTTGACTATTGAAAAAAATTAATTGTCTAATTTTATGAAATTCATATGTCATTCATAATAACGAAGTGAGAAAAACTTGTTCAGAACCTCATACCAAGAATGGGATGGGGAGATGGGAAGGGAGTTTATTTCTTCACTTTCCCTTTGCTTTAAATTTAAGGATTTCCATGTTTTTATGAAACAGCCCTTAAAGAACACATTTAATTTTGATAGTGTTGATATTATTTTATAGCCAACCAATCACAAAGCCAGGCACGAAGAGCTAAAGGCAAAGGCTAAAATACTTTTAGAGAAGGCTAAACAAGATGCTATAGTTGAAACTAAAGAAAATAAGCAGAACACCAATGAAACAGGGAAAGCAAGTCAGGTATATTTTCAGAATTTTTTTCAATAATGTTGTGTTTTGCTGTCAGTATATGCAAACCCACGAAATTGAAAATATCCACAAAAACGCAAAATTTCCCCAAACCATAAATATTGGTACCACCAAAAATAAATTAAAATTGAGAATGGAAACAGGGGAATGTGTCAAAGAGACAACAGGAAACGGGGGAATGTGTCAAAGAGACAACAGGAAACGGGGGGAATGTGTCAAAGAGACAACAACTTGACCAAAGAGCAGAGAACAGCCCAAGGCCACCAATGGGTCTTCAACACAGCGAGAAAATCCCACACCTGGAGGCGGGTTTCAGCTGGCCCCTTAACAATAATGTACTGTGGATTCACTTATTTTCTTGGGTACCAATTTTCGTGGATTAAGGAAAACTCTCATGTTCGTGGATATTTCATTTCATGGTTTTGCCGAAGTTTGCATACAAGCCTATAGGAAATTTGTCATTTGTTGAACATTTAATTTCGTGGTTCACTTATACCAACGAAATCCACGAAAATTGGTATCCAACGAATAATAATGAATCCACAGTATACTAGTTCAGCGAAACTGGACGTCACATTAAACTACGAAACATATAAATGAACCAAAATTAAAAGAAACCTGTATTTACACAGGTAAATTATGATATAAGGTGATTAGATATCGTGTTTTAAACTTTTATCACCTATTTAATAATGATGGGAACAATGTGTAAGCAAAACATATTTTATATATAAATAGTAATATCATGGTGAGTATATTTTACCCTATAAATTCCTGTAAAATCTCTTCTAGATTGAAAAATATCAATTTTCTGTTTCTTTTTTATATTTATTATAATACTGTTCTACAAACTTTCTAATTGATGATATAGGAAGAAGAGGATAAAAAACACAGACTAAAAGAAAGAGCTCGACAGTTAATAGAGGAAACAAGGGCCAGTATTGGCAAACCTCAGATGTCTGATATGAATCCATCGGTATCATCTTCACAGAGGACAAAAATTAATACTGATTCAGGTATTTATTTATATTTTCTGTATGTCAACTGCAATAGTGTTGAACTTTGAATTATTTTGCAAAAGCTCTTTTTAGATAGATATATGGTCAGTTACTGAAATTCTGCACAAGTTATGACCAGTCGTATCTCGAAGGATCTTTTGTAAAACTACTTCCTGGTTAAAAATTCTTTTTATCTTGATCTTTCTTCATATTAAAATTTGTTCTTTGCAGTTTTTCTTTATTTTTTATTTCAAGATTTTATTCAGTTTGACTTCAATGATTATTTTTTTCCTGCATGTATGTTTAAGGGTTCCAAGGCACATGCGAGACTAGCTTTAAGTAGAATATATACTTACACAAAAGAAAATTTCAAATTAGCGAGTTAATAATTCTTAAATTTGTCTTTGAAATGCAAAGGTTGATTATTACTTCTACAGCAACTTTTGTTAAGAGAAAATTTGTCTTTAGATGAATACATGAAAGTTTAACTTCCAGCTGACTATCTTTCAACTATATTCAGGAAAGAAATTCTTTGATATGATGTGGATATGAACAATAAGTTGTGCTTTACCAACATGCTGAGAAATATTTGAATATTATAACTCACAAGGAAACAGATAGTAGAAATACTTGTTGGCACAACTTGACACATTATCCTGACTCTGAGTTGACAACTCTTTGCTCTTAAAGCTGTGTTCTTAGTGGAGAAGCAACACATATACATATTTTATAGTACATAAGAGATATAGAATTTATTATATTTATGTGTCCTTGAATTGGATTTAAAAAATGAAATGAAATTCAAAGAATATATACATACAACTGCTGAACATTCTGCTTTTTCTAAACAATGCATGTCAACTTTCTTCTTTAAGATAACTTTTTTAGTAATCTGTAAAGTAAAAATGCCCATGAACTTTAATAAGCTTTATTAATGGTAAATGTTTTTTTATTTCATGCACTTTGTTTTTTGTTAATCCATATACTTCTATTTATTTGTGTCGCCTCTGTAGCAGAGATCACAGTTAATTTTGCTTTTGTAAATGTTGTGTTTTACACTAGAGTTTAGTTTAATGCAATAGATTTAGTTTTGTTTTTCCCAGATTTTATTTTTATTTCTGTTATATTTATGCAAACAGTTAAGCCTACAAAAGCCAGGCGGATAACTGCCTCTTCACAGCTTTTCAAAGCTAGGCATGGTATGTTCTAATGCATGTTATTATGAAGCACATAATTTTGTTATAAATTCACTAATCCTAGATTTTAACCCAGCTTTTAAAAGTATCTAACCTTTGCAGTTTGCTGGGCAATTTTTTCCTAATTGATAAAATTATGTATGTATTTATTTTTTGGTGCTTATGTTGTTTATATATATTCGTTTTCTTAGCATAGCAGTTAGGGCAGGTGATGGGCATGTTAATTTGTACATTCAGATTTTTTATGCACAGCTTTTAGCCTGCAAATGGATTTCAGCAAAACTTTCTCAAACTCTATTGAATTTGATAGTTTTGTGTATCTCCAATTTTATTATGTGATCAGAATGATTTTTGGGTTTTTTAATCAAAACATGGACTGAAAGATTATTTCATATTATTATTAAAGATGACACCTATTCAATACCATTGCCAAACATGGTTCAGATTCCTTAATGAACATAATGATTACTGATATAACAAAAAATATGAACAACATATTATATTAAATAGAATGTGAGAACTGGTATACCTTAATGTGAAGAAATCTAATTTATTTTCAAAAGAAAAAAAAAACATTGTTTTAATTTATGAAAAACGTTCTTTATTTTAAGAAAATACCAATTAATGCATAAAAATATACAAATTACTGATATCTCCTTAAATATGTACAAATTACTGTTATTTCAGTAAATATATACAAATTACTAATAACCCCATAAAATATGTACAAATTACTGATATCTCGATAAATGTATACAAATTAATGATGTCTATAAATATATACAAATTACTGATATCTCCATAAATATATACAAATTAGTGATGTCTCTATAGATATATTACACAAATTACTGATATCTCCATAAATATATACAAATTACTGATATCACCATAAGAAGATTAGGGCTGTTTCATTTTTAATGTTTTTGAACCAAATGAATTTTTGAAAGAAAAAATCACGGTAAAATTGTATCAAAACTTATTGTTATGGGGGACAGGAGGGGCAAAACAAATTACTGATACAATTCTGTATTTCAAAAATTATTTAAAAGATTACATCAAAGGAAGGTTAAGGTATTTTCCATGTGTTAGCTTTTTGTTTGTTGGTACATGTAGGTATTGTTTTTAAAACCTCTGCTATTCCCTATATAAAACAAATTCTTTTTACCTATATTGTCTACAATTTCAGTGGCGAATTTCATCCACACACCAATTATTCTTTTTAAGTGCCTCCCTATTCAACTCCTTTCACGACCCAATCAAACCATAATGGAATAATCCTCATTATGAATTTGAGTAAATCAAACTCACTTGAGGAGTGACCAATTTTAATGCCTTGCAAATTTTGAGAGAAAAAAAAACTTTAAAAATCTTTAATAAAATTGACAACTTGAAAGAAAAAAATGTTAAAAAAAGATGTCTTCTGCTATAACTGTATGATTAGTTTGGTGCTTGTGTGTAAAGGACAGATATATGTTTAAGAATTAAATGCTTCTTTTTATAATATTATTAGGGTGTAAAAGCGTTGACCGAAGCACATTTTGTATGAAGCGGGGAAGTGTATCATTCGAAAAATTCGTATGCATGATCAACGCTTTTACAACCCTATAGAATTATAAAAAGTAGCATTCAATTTTTATAATTACATTTTTTATGCTGCATCCATGAAATTAAGAGTTATATCAAGCTTTTATAAGCTTTATTTTCTATGCATCGTTTTAACATTGTCACAGAGAGAATATGTCTTCCCTTCTTGTAGAGGAGATTGTTCATGCCTACACTTCACTCTTTACAAGTTGTTCTAAAAAAAACTCATGGTATACTGGTTGAAATTTCAAAAATTAGGCTTCGACCTATGCTGTCTCAATATGACTCGCTCATAAATTTCAAAGTTTGTAAGTCTGCTTAGTGCTTTTACAGATTAAAGAATACAGCAATATGTAAATAAAAGTCCAGTTCTTTTTCTGTAAGGTGGAAAATTTTTGCAAGGGTATTTATTTTTCGCTAATTTAGGAATTAAGATCAAATCTTTGAGAAAAAAAAACAAAATCAGAGACAACAAAAACATTCAAATAAAATCTTGCAAACAGGTTTGACTCAAGATATTACAAAATCTAAGCTCCCAGAAAATAAACCATTTCACAGTATGTTACATATGTATACTAATATGATTAACCTTACCAATTTTTCTGCACCAGATGCGCATTTCGACAATAAATGTCTCTTCAGTGATACTCATGGCCAAAATATTAAAAATCTAAAGCTTATTGATAAAAATGACGAGCTTATAAAATAAAAGGGACAAAAAAGTATAACCAAAACGGGACAAGGAATCGGAGCTTTGTATCTAGATCACCTAAGGTCGTCAATCATAGCAGGAAAATTGATTGCAAAAAGAAAATTTATCAGTAAAAAGAAACAATTGCTACTTTCTGTAAAAATCTTGAAATGAATCTTATTAAAGTGGGATTTACAGTAAGATTTGAGTTTTGGACAAGACTGTCTAGACAGATCTTAAAAGTATGAAATTGGTAGCATGCTTGTAACATCAATATAATTAATAACATAGACTGACATTGTCTGTTGATACTTTTGTTTTGTATCCTCTATCAACCCATAAAGTGAAGCAGTTGAAGACTGTTTGATTTGGGTTTTCAGAACAAGGTGGACACAGTGACATATCAAACATGCAATTGTTTTCATGTCGCTAAATTCAATAAACTTAGTAACAGAGATTGATCTTTTCTGTTGAGAACCTAAAAGTAAAGTAGTTCAAGAAGAGACTGTTTGATTTGGGTCTCAGAACAAGGAAGATACAGTGACGTTGAAAACATGAAATTGATATCCTGATCGTAACGTCAGAATGTCTTTTAACATAGACTACCATTGTCCCTTGACCCTCCTCTTTTAACTTCTATGGTAATTATTTTCCCGTTTTATAATATTATCTTCGGCTCTATCTTGTTACAAATATGTACAACAGATTTTAAAGAGCAGGAGGTTCCTATAGAATATGCACTTCAAAATATTATCTGCACTTGTAAGGTTCAAGATGCTGATATTGACCTAAAAAATTAAAACAAAGGACCTGTGACCTCTGCCTTATTTAGAAAGCATTTTATGTGACTATTAGAAAGCTTAGGTTAACTTATTTAAGTGTCACAATGTGCAGATTGCCCTGAACCACTGTAGGTGTGTCATCAGTTAATTTGTAGGTTTTCATGATTAGTTGATTGGCAGTGGTTTCAAACTGTCGGGCAAATGGTAAATGAGTTGAATTGACAAACTGCATGTTGACATTTTTTTTTTTTGAGGGAGGGGGGGATTTGATGAAAGAGTAGTTTTTTTCCTTACATTTATTTGCAGATTAACAGAAAAGGATGTTATCAAATTTATCTAGATAATAGAAAAAGACTGCAAAATCATACATTTGTTGACAACATGCATGACCTTATGCCTTGATACAGGATCGTGAATTAGATTAAATTTCTCTTTGTCATCAAGTGTCTAGTATACAAAAAAATGTATAATGTGTTTGGTTCTTTCAATAAGTTGTTCAGTTTATTTTCATTGTATGCCTGAAAATGACGTGTAAAGCAATACCAAAATAATTTGTTGTTCATTAAACTCACTTCCAACTAAGAATACCTTGATTTAAACTTTTTTAAAAATGAATTTTATTGCTGCATATTTTTATACGACCGCAAAATTTTGCGGTCATATATTGGTATGACGTTGGTGTCGTCATCCGAAGACACATTGGTTTTCGCACTCTAACTTTAGTTTAAGTGAATGGATCTCTATGAAATTTTACCATAAGGTTCAATACCACAAAAGAAAGGTTGGGATTGATTTTGGGGGTTATGGTACCAACAGTTAAGGAATAAGGGGCCAAAATGGGGCCAAAAATAAGCATTTTTGTAACTTCCAGACATAACTTGTGTGTTAGTGTATGGATCTCTCTGACATTGTACCACAAGGTTCCATATCACACAGGGAATGCTGGGATTGATTTTAGGGGTAATTGCCTCAAAACATTCAGGAATAAGGGGCCAAAAATAGTTTCATGACAATGACTTGTGTGTAAGCGTATGGATCTTTCTGAAATTGTACTGCAAGGTTCCATATCACAAAGGGAAAGCTGGAATTGAGTTTGGGGGTAATTGCCCAAAACGTTTAGGAATAAGGGGCCAAAAATAAGCATTTTTCTAGTTTCCAGACAACAACTTGTGTTCAAGTGTATGGATCTCTCTGAAATTGTACTGCAAGGTACCATACCACAAAGGGAAGGCTGGGATTGATTTTGGGGTAATTGCTTCAAAATTTTAGGAATTAGGGGCCAAAAAAGGGGCAAAAAACAAGCATTTTTCTAGTTTCAGGACAATAACTTGTGTGTAAGTGTATGGATCTTTATGAAATTGTACTACAAGGTTCCATATCACAAAGGGAAAGCTGGGTTTGAGTTTGGGGGTAATTGCCCTAAACGTTTAGGAATTTGGGGCCAGAAAGGGGCCAAAAAACAAGCATTTTTCTAGTTTCCAGACAATAACTTGTGTTCAAGTGTATGGATCTCTCTGAAATTGTACTGCAGGTACCATACCACAAAGGAAAGGCTGGGATTGAGTTTGGGGATGATGAATCATAAGGGGGTTCAAAAAATTTGGGGGGGGGGGATTTATTTTTCTTTAAAATTTTCCTTTTTAAATTGGTTATTTCTGATTTATATATAAAAGCAAATAATAATGATATGGTTTGAATAGGTAAATTAAAAAATTTTAAGTTCTTAGACCACATTCGTTCTGTGTCAGAAACCTGTGCTGTTTCAAATATTTAATCACAATCCAAATTCAGTGCTGTATCAAGCTTGAATGTTGTGTCCATACTTGCCCCAACTGTTCAGGGTTCGACCTCTGCGGTCGTATCAAGCTGCGCCCAGCGGAGCATTTTATTCTTACTTGTGACTCATAAAAAAATATGTAATTTTTATGAGCATCAGTTACTTTGGCAGGAATATATCAAATCAAAATCAATCACATGCTGTTCTAAAGTCTTAATGAAAATAAAATCTAGTAACTTTTTTCAACATGGCTACTCATTTATTATTGGTAAATTCAGATGAAATATTATCAATGAAGATTTGGATAACTCACATACACACCCCTTATTTAACATTCCCAAAAAGTTGAGGACCAACACATTAATTTGGTATAGCCTTAACTTGTGTGTTATTGCCAAATTATGACATTGTAAATAATTAATGTCAGTATACATAGGTTGTCTCACTATAGTGAGGGGCCTCGGTGGCTGAGTTGTCTAAGTAGTTACTACTGTAATCTCTAGCCAGTCAACACTGAGGTTGTGAGTTCGAACCCCGCTAGTGCGGGTGTACTCGACTCCAATCTTAATTGACTAGAATTGTCAGTTTTCCTATCGAAGGTCGGTGATTTTCTCCGGGCACTCCGGCTTCCTCCACCAATAAAAACTGGCCGCCACGAAATAGCCCAAAATCGGTGCTTAAAAGTGGCATTAAAACACCAAAAAAATCAAAATCAAAAATCTCACTATAGTGTGCCAGTGTGGATTCATTTATTTTCGTGGATTGAGGAAAAAATGTTTTCATGAATATTTGACTTCCTGGTTTTTGTCAAAGTCTGCATGCAAGTCTGTAGAAAATTTGTACTTTGTTTAACATTCAAATTTTTGGTTCACCTGTACTTAAGAAATAAATGAAAATTGGTAACCTGTGAATAATAATGAATCCACATACATGTGTTACGATGTGTAGTTGCAAGATTTTTTCCAATTTGCTTTATTTCGTAAGAGGAACAGGACTTAGACATGTGCTTGTTAAAAATTTTCAAATGGTAATAAATTTGTGTGGACAAACTATTATATTATTTAACTTTAAAAAAATGAATATTATAAAGATGAAGAATTAGAATTATTTATTTCAGGAACACAATTATAAATACAGATTATTGAATCCATTGTAGGAGGAGGATTACTTAAAAAAAAAACATATTTTTAAATTATTTTTATTAATACTATAAAGGATAAAAATGAATATGGTATTATATTTAAATGGCTTCATGAGGTATTATTTAATTAAAGCTGAAATAATAGAAAACAGGATATTATTTTCAAAGTGTTTATGAAATATGTACAGTTGTTGAAATTTTTTTATCTTGAGGTTATATCTGAAGTGAAATTCAAGTACGTTTTTGAACTTTTTATTCTAAAAGACACTTAGGATTATATATAGAACACATGTTATGATAAAAAGATTTGTAAATGAATAAATAATGAGAAGGAAATCTCATGTTAGAAATATACATGTGCAATAAATAATTTTTTTTATCTGTCTTATTCTAGAAGCATCAGTTATAGCCTCAACAGAGTCCAGCGTAAAAGGAGACAGCAAACTGAAGAGACTCAGTCTGAAGAAAGTAGATCTGTCAACACCATTTTCCAAAGACAAAACTCCATCTCCACAGGTATTTACATTTACTGACAGATATAAAAATAAGGAGATGTGGTATGATTGCCTGTGAGACAATTATCCACCAGAGTTCAAATGAAGTGAAAGCAAGTAATTATTGGCAACCATATGGTTTAAATAATAGTTCTGTTCCTTTGACCCTTTTTTCTTAAAAAGGGGAGAATTTTTTCAGTTTGATTAGATAGAATAGATTTTATACATTTTAAATTTTGACCATAGGTCATGATATACATTATCTTTTTAATCTATTAGTGTATTTAGGCTGAAATTATTTTATTAATATAAATTGAAAATGAATTGAAAAAATATTTGGAAGAGATTAATGTACAAGTCCCCTTGATGAAATAAAAATGAAAATTTGGGGTAGCAATTTTCGTAATCTTAATTTTTATAAAATAATGGGGGAAAAAACAGGTTGGGCATATTAAGTTATTTTAAGTTATCTCCCCTAGCTTAATTACGGTTTATTTGGTATATAGATAAGAGAAATTTGATTCATATCATTTATTTGCCAAAACAATTTTTGACAGGTTACAGAATTACAACAACATCTATGAAACACAGATTAATTCTTTTTCAAACAATGCCTGAAATATTCCTTTTTTTTCTTTTTCTTTTTTATTAAAAAGCATATATGAAACTTGACTTTTACAAAAGTAATTGATTTTAAAGAGTTATCTCCCTTTACCAATGTCTATCTTTATTTTTTTTTTGCTGATAATTAGGTGTCAGAACCAGATAAAGCTGTTTTAAATAATAAACAAGAGAAAAGAAAAGTTGTTCCTGCAGTGAATATTTCCTACAGTATGGAGTTCTCTAAAGAGGGTATGTATGTAGCTAGGTACAGCAAAGTTTTATCCCAAACTCAGCAAAGTTGATAATTCTTAGTAATTAGGTATCAATTTCTTCATTTGTCTATTTTCAAAAATAGTGGATCTGTTCAAAAGAAACTTCTCAAGAATGTTCAACAATGGGAATAATGTCGGGATAGTTCCATATAATGAGAAAAGGTAATCCTTAGACTTAAAAGTCAGATTATGTCAAGAGTGAGATTGCTATTCACAATATTTCATTTAAGTTAATGCACAGTATGTTGGAGTGTAAAAATGTGTACAATGACCGTGCCTGCCAACAAGGCCGGCATGGCTAAAAATAGAACATATGGGTAAACTGCTATGAATAGAGAAAATATGTCAGGTGCAGAAATATTCAGAATGTTGAGATCTACCTACTGTTCATTTACATCAAAACTGTCAGATGACTTCTTATAGGAGTTATTGTACTTAAATGAGAAATTTTACCATTTTTATACCCCCGCCTGTACCGGAAGGGGCATTAAGTTTTACCCTTGTCTGTCCGTACGTCCAAATGTTGGTTTCCGTTTTCTAACTTAAGTTTGCCTCAACCAAATGTTATGAAACTTGTACACAATGCTTATTATCACAAAATACAGATCAAGCTTGAATTTTGGTGGTGTCACGTTTACTGTTCTAGAGTTTGCCCCTTTACAAATGGAAAAATTGCTGAATTTTTCGATTCTGTTCTCTAACTTAAGTTTGCCTCAACCAAATGTTATGAAACCTATACACAATACTTAATACCACAAAACTCAGATCAAGTACAAATTTGGGTAGCGTCACTTTCACCGTTCTTTAGTTATGTCCCTTTATAACTTTATATGATATGCAAGCTGGGTCATCATCTGTGTCCAATGGACACATTCCCCATTTATTTTTCTTCATTTCTGCCTATTATCAATAGATACAGAGAAATTGAAATTGCAAAAACAATCAGCAAGGCAAGATCTACAAATAAATCAGCATGGCCGAAAAACATCAGGTGACTCCTTATTGGAGTTAATGCCCTTTAATGACAATTTTTACCGATTTTTGTGTTTTTGTTTAAATATTAAAATCTATAATAGATAGATAAAACTTATAACCAACAAAAATTATCAGCAAGCAAGACTAGATCTACAAATAAGTCTAATCTCTCAATGTTTTGCGTTATTTTTAGAAGTATGTGTTGATGGCAGATTGTCTCTGTTTTAACTCATTATTATTTTTTTTCGATTTGAACAATTTACATCTGAAAATATTGTTAAGATATCTGCATCTATTATTGAAGCCAAGTTTTGCCCTCCAAATGTCATTTGGGTTTGATGTCTTTTAGTTACTGTCTCAATGATATATATACTCTATATCTCCTTTCATTCAACTAAAGATGTCCATTTTGTTTGGCTTCTGTTGTTCTGTTACTGTCTCATTGATGTTTACCCAACATTTCCTTTTATCTATATGATGAACATTTATCTGTGTTGGCAGACAAACTGATTGTTGACAGACTCACAAACTTGTAGCAACACATAGAGATTACTTCTATCGTCTTGCTTTGTTGTTTGAATCACATTTTATGTAAATTTGAAACTTCTTGAAAATGACTGAACAGAATTTAACAGATTTTTCAAAAGGACATTGAAGTTTTTCAACTGCTATTTTAATTTTTGAACTGATTAATATTTAAGGTTTCCAATACTTACACATGGACATTTCTGCTTATATTATTTAGAGACTGCAGGCGACACACATCTTTCTAAGAAGATTAACACATTTTTATTATTTTTCAGATGGTGGAGACTCCAGTGATAATACAGAATCATTAGAAGAAGATGTGTTGTACAAGAAAAATGAGGTATGATAAAGTAAGAATTCAGACAGGTTGTTGGATTATGGTTGGGTTTTTGTTACTCAGTCTTTTTATGTTTTCTGCATTGTTATTTGTAGACTTTTGTTTGTCTTTTAATCGTTTTTTTTTTAAAGGTATTGTCAATTTGTTTTCAACTAATGAGTTTGAATATCCTTTGATAACTTTAGCTTCTTTTGCCATATTTTAATTTAAAATCCCATACATTTAATACTATGAAGTTGTTGTGTTGTCTTTTACAATGTGTTTACAAATACCGTTGAAAGTTCTAAGTTTTACTACAGAGCATCATGTGTGGTTCAGGTAGTATTTTTTCCTTATTTCTTCCCAATGTGTGCTTGAACCAGTATCTTTTATCTGTAATTGTTTATCAGAATTTTATTTGACTCAATTTCAGAAGTAAGATCTGTTGATCACATGTGGACAATACAAATTTGTTCAATCTTACCTTGAGAAATAATCCCCAGGAATATAATCAAATAATTAACATTCAATAGTATTTTTAGATAATGTCTCTACTTTGTTTAGTTCCATGTTTCAACTAAAGTTCAAAGGTCATCATGAGAACATCTGTTTATTAAGCAGGTACATTAAAAACTGGTTCATACGAGTCAGAGGCTTAGATTTAAGATAGTTGTGTTGATTTTTAAACAGCTAATGAACTGTCAGTGGTATTTTTAAATGCAGTGTACATTTTTGTCAGATAGTGGGATCTTTATCTGTACATGTCTCAATGAATTTTAAGAAACGGTAATTTTTATGAGCAGTTAAATTTGGCTGGATGATATGCTTTTACCAAAGGTTCAGGAAAGTGCACTGGAAAAGGCAAAATTTCTGAATAGGTTTCTTTGATAATCTATACTAAGCTTGTCATTAAAAACTGGCCACCACGATGTAGGCAATTGTGCAATTAAACACCAGAATTCAATGAATCATACTTTTCGGCTGCTTGATTTTATTATCAAGCAAAACAGAGTTATCTTTCTTTTAATATAGATCCTGACAGTAGTTGTTTTTAAATTTGATTTAAATTATGCTGATAGCAGTATTATAAAAAATACTAAAAGTTTATCATTTAGACCAAAGAAACAAATGAAATAAAGTTTAATGTGTATATTGTAACATATATTTTAATTATGGTACTAAACAATGGCCATTGTTGACAATGGGAATAGAATAGATACCAGCTCTTTAGAGCCTTTAGGTATGTAGACTATTCAATGATATCTCATTATGATGAACAAATTACAGTGAAACCTGTATATAAGGATGACCCTCAATACCAGAGAAAACTGACCTTATAAAAGAGGTGACCTTTGAAACTAGGTTCAAAATGCATCAGTATTACTAAGGCAGGTAAGATGACAGTGACCTGACAACACAGGATTTTTTTTTGCGTAATAGAGATGACCTTTATAGATCAAAGAATTTTATATTTAGAATTTCCAGAGTACCAATCAGTACGTAATGGCTGAAATGGATGCCTTGGATAGGGAACAGAAACAAATTGATGCTGAGGCAGGACTACTGGAGGAAAAACTCAGAAAGGCCATGAATGGTAATACTTTGATAAAGCCATTTTAAAAACATGCATTTCAAATTTTTATAGCATCATTTCTATGCAGTATTTCCTAGAATCACAATAATAAATCTTTAACATTTTTTACCGTTGTTCAACATTCTCAGTTATAAATGCACACAATAATTTTTAAAGGAGTAAGTTCACGAAGGCTAAGATTTTGATGTATTTTTTATTTAAATCAGACCATAATACTACAAATTTCATAAAGAAATAGTTGTGGTATTACTATTGATACCAAATAAGTTCTTTTTGGCACATCACATCATAAATTACAAAGAAGTGACCACTTAATTAGGCATTATTTTTTTATGAAACATCAGTTATGGTCCAATTTTTCCATAATTCTTAACATTATTTGGCATAATTTACTTTGGTCGTAATCCACTTCTCAGAATTTGTTTGTGTCTGTGTATTTAATATCATCATTGACATTTGATTGTTACATAACATTTTGGATCATTGTTTGTGGCAAAGGTTTTCTTTAAGCTTTTAGGTACAAAAAATACACCAAATTAAAAACCAATTGTTCAGAGAACAATTGAAGGTCTTTCCACCCATAAAGATCTATTTTGATATAGAATTATTAAAATTCGGTTTAAAATATCATATCCAGCGTCAAATGATAGCTTATTGTACACTGATTCCAAAAATATATGGTTTCTATACATTTTTTTCTAAATAAGGGAGATAAATTGTTACTTCCGGTTTGAAAAATGTCACTTCCGTGTTTTTTTTATAGTTTACTTGATACTGATTCCAAAAATATATGGTTTAATATACTTTTACATTAAATAAGTACAAAAAAATAGCTACTTCCGGTTTACACATGGTCACTTCCGGTTGGCTTTTCCATGGTCAAGTGGCTTGCAACGTAATGCAAAAAGTCCCATGGATTTATCATGTATACATATGAGGTAAAATCGAAGGTCAATATCTAGAACGTCAAATTTACCTATGACCTTGAGCTCAATTTCAAGGTCATAAACCAAGGGCTTCAAATCAAAAGACCATAGGTCTTAACTATATATGGTTAATGAGTTATATCACTATATGCCTAATTTTTAATATAAGAAGGGAGAAAACTCCAATTTAATGTTAGTGTACCCTTTCAACCAAAATTTATGTTTTACGACATGTCGCAACTTACAATTTAGTAAAAATATGTTGTCGATATCTTATACAGTTTTTAAAAAGAATTGAAAATAAGCCAAAATCAAAATTTAGAATATGACCTTGACCTCTGACCTTCACCTTTTTTTCTTTTTTTTGGACCAAGGACCTTAAATCAAAAGATCCTAGGTCTCTATCACTTATGGTTTACAAGATAGAAATGCATATCACTTACATCAAATGCATAAGGGGAAATAACTCTCATATGGAGTGTTCGTATGGCTTCGGTCAAAATTGAACAAATCATGCGAAGGATATAACAAGCAATTTTATAAAAGAAATTTGTCACTTTCTTATACGGTTACGGAGGAGATGCAGTCACAAGGAAAACAGTGTTCGGGGAGATAACTCCAACAAAGAAAATTATTCGGTTACGCAGGGTGAATTTCAAAGGCGCATAAACTGTTCGATATCATATACCAAACATCTAAGCGACATCTTGCGAAACAAAATTTATACGCAAGAAATAAAAGTGGCGGAAGAAGAAAAAAAAAAAAATAATAATAATCAGAACAAATACAATAGGTCTTTCCACCGAAAAGTGGAAAGACCTAATTATTGTAATTTGATAGCAATACCAAAATTTGCTGACTTTGGGTTCTATAATGTACTCTTTTGAAGATATTTGTATAAACAAGCAATAAGGCTTTTCAAAATGACCCATTTAAGAACCAAATTATAACTTTTTTGATATTTAATGATAAAGTTGAAATTCAACCCCATAGTTGGCCAAAAGTGAACTTTGTCCTTTACAGTAATTGATGTGTTACCTATATATGTTTATCTTCCGCAGGAAACAACAAATCTTTAGAAGAAAAGTTAATGCAGCAATGGTTTCTACTGGTTAATAAAAGAAATGCTTTGATAAGAAGACAGATGCAGCTTAATATTTTGTAAGCTTATAGTGTATTGTTGATTTGTATATCTTCTATTCATATTTGGCATTATTAATGCAGGAGTCCATTTCATAATTTTTAAGTGAAAGAAGAAGGTTCACAGTGGAATCCATTTTGGTCTTAAAATTATGACTTTCTAACTCACTAATTTGCTGTAGAAATGTGATAGAGCACAATCCTTACACAGAAAGATATTCACAAAGGTTGTCTTTTGTGTTCATCTACTAGCTGAGGAAAACTCATTTATATCCACGTTTATCCTCTATACTAATTCAAAACAAATGGTCCTGAAATTAGTTTGTTTTTTGCTAAATTTTGTAAGTTGCTGCTATGACTATATTTTACAACATCACAGTCAATTCGGGTCATCAAGACTAACCTAATAGTTACATTTTCATATAAGTCTATATACTGTATATCAGGGTTTTTTATGCGTCTGCTTTTTTTTTGAGATTTGATGATAAAATGGGCAGCTTAAATTTTCATTGTGTATAATTTTCGCTGAATGGGAAAATACATGCGAAAATATAACTGTATAGTATTGTTAAAAATGTAAATAACATAAAATTGAGAATGGAAATGGGGAATGTGTCAAAGAGACAACAACCCGACCACAGAACAGACAACAGCAGAAGGCCACCAACAGGTCTTCAATGCAGCGAGAAATTCCCGCACCCGGAGGCGTCCTTCAGCTGGCCCCTAAACAAATATATATATTAGTTCAGTGATAATGAACGCCATACTAAACTCCAAATTGTACACAAGAAACTAAAATTAAAAATAATACAAGACTAACAAAGGCTAGAGGCTCCTGACTTGGGACAGGCGCAAAAATGCGGCGGGGTTAAACATGTTTATGAGATCTCAACCCTCCCCCTATACCTCTAGCCAATGTAGAAAAGTAAACGCATAACAATACGCACATTAAAATTCAGTTCAAGAGAAGTCCGAGTCTGATGTCAGAAGATGTAACCAAAGAAAATAAACAAAATGACAATAATACATAAATAACAACAGACTACTAGCAGTTAACTGACATGCCAGCTCCAGACTTCAATTAAACTGATTGAAAGATTATGTTTTCATCATATGAATATCAGGCACAATCCTTCCCGTTAGGGGTTTAGTATCATACCATCATAACATATATGAGAAGAACATAACCCGTGTCATGCCAACAACTGGTTTTTAAATAAATGTGTTTAGTGCCGATGCAAAGACCCTATAAGTGAATCAATATTAACGCCAAAATATGCAATCTTAAATGACCTGACAACAGTATCGTAACTATATCCCTTCTTAATAAGTCTATTTAAAGGTTTTGTTAGTTTCAGAGGTGAATACTGACATTTTTGTGCTTTATAAAGAATATTTCCTTAAAAAATTGGATGTGAAATACCTGAACGTATAAGAAGTCTGCATGTTGAGCTATATTTATAAACTTGATTGACTGACTGGTAATCTATTGTAAATACATATGGGTACTACAAACGAAAATACACATAATTCAGTGAACTTTCAAGGAACATAGAATATGTACAGACCATGGGTCATGCTAAAAATTGAAGCTATTGATCATTACAGATAAACAAATATCCGTGTAAATGTGATTTATTTTTAGTTTAATTTTACATCAGATGCAAAATGTTAGTGTTATGACACCAATCAATAGATCATCGCTAATTAACATCTTTTAACCTGTCACTGATTGCTGTGTTGTCGTGTGCCATATATGAATAGTCATTTTAATTATTATATAAACAGAGATCTTAATAAGTATACACTTTCTTGTGATCTACCGAACAACACAAAAGACTCGATTATCAACAGTATGATGTATGAAACTTTCAAACAATAATAATCTGGGAATATGCAGAGAAATTTACGCGGAGTCAAATTTTTGGGTTTCTTTAACTGCCGCGAACAAAGGGAAAATTAAACACACGCGAAAAATACCCGATATACGTTATCAGCAGGTTTGAAAAGTCAAAAATGATATAATCATCCAGATGTACACATTTATTTTGTAAACACTAATATCTTGTGACCAACAAAGATTTTTTTTTTAAATGAATATTACGCTAACTTCTCAATTTATGAGATTGATCAGATCATTGCAGTAAAGTATGAATTTGCAATTGAAAATTTTTTTTCTTCAGTTATTCCCCTTTAATCATAAAATCTTTCATGAAAAAAGCAGGGTTATTCCCCTTTAATTATAAAAGCTTACATGAAAAAAAACAAGGTTATTCCCCTTTAATCATCAAAAAACTTTACATGTATGCAATGGAACCACATTTAAGATTGAAATAAACAATTAATTTCCCCATAGGCGACAATGATAGCCTTTTTCAAGATACAGACTTCAGAAAGTTGATTTTTTTAACAAAACCTTGCTAGAATTAAAGAAAAGTTATTAGGACAGTATTTTTTGGTCCAAAAAATATAGGTTCGCGTTGCTTTTCTTAGCGTAATTTGTACTTATCTCCCATGCCTATCAATTTTGCACTTAAAAATACGTGTCTCATCCTAGCGTTTAATAGACATCTCAGTTCCGTTAGGGCTAAGGAAAATAATTTATTTGGCCTTTGGTATAATACAGAATGCACGAAGTCTCTAATAACAAAAAATAACGGGCGCACATATCAGCCAATCAGGATTAGCTATACTCTTAATTCTGAATACCATGTTATGCTCATAAAATGGCTGCGCCCATAAAATCTAATGGTGTATTGTAACCTTAAGAAATTAAAGGAGATTCTATTTTTTTATTTTCCCCTTATTTCTTAATACTAAGTCTTAAGATTTAAAACTCATTTAATATGTAAAATAGAATTTATTGCTCAAAATAACTTGAAGTTCAGGTAACAATAAGAATCTATTGGTCATCAGATTTCTTACAGAAGTTAATAATTATGTTTCATTATGAACTTATACTGATTTATCATTCAAAACAATGACAAAAATCTATCAAGTATACATGGAATCTCATACATCTTTTTGTATTGGTCTAAGTGATATATTACAAAAATTGCATATTAACATTAATTTTTGAAAAGCAGTTACAAATAGCTGGGTAAATACAGAATAGGTAACAGTATTTGTATGGCCTATCACAGAAACAGACAGGATTGGTAAAAGTAAAAAAAATGTGGTTCATTGGTGCCAAATTTTTAGTTCATCTGACGTGCCAGTATGAGCTTTTGCTTAATGTTTTTTCTTCTCTGAAACTACTAAACAAATTTATATAGAACCTCACATGATTGATCTGTAGTGTATCTAGATTAAAGTTGTTTTTTTCTGATCCATCAACCAACATGGCTAGAAATAGAACATAAGAGTAAAATTAAGCTAATTGGCAAAGATCTTGAAAGCAATAATAGATACAAAACATCAGATATTGAAGAAAATGTTCAGAACCTATTTCTATTGATACCACAATTATCAGACAACTCCTTTATCTGAGCTATTGCCTTTAAATGACAATTCTGCATCAATTCTAGCATTTTTGCATATTGATTTGACAACTATGATAGATACTCAAGACAGATAAATCGCAAAATTTATCAGTGATATAAAATCTACAAGACTTCCAAATTATAATGAAACTATAATTTGGCTCCTTAAAAGGAACTATTGCCAGTAAATGATGCTTTTTGACAAATTTTAGGATTTCTAGTTTTTAACTTGGGAAGTATAATAGATGGACAAAAACAAAAAAACAGCAAAAATGATCAGCAATACATGTACAAGATATACAAAATGTCAATATGACAAAACATTTATCACATATTTGTTACTAAAAGATAAGGTTTTGCATATGTAATAACTGTAGAATTGCACAAGTCATATTCCCCAAAATAGCAGATTATTTTGCCCTTTCAGTGATCATAAGCATTCCAAACAACAATGGTGGACAAGCGAGATAGTTGTTTTATCAACAGCAAGCAAAATTGACCTTAAATGACGATTTTTGACTTATTTCTTTCTATCTTGAAAACTAGTACAGGTAGACCATGTATGGTAAATAAAAACTGAATGCAGAAAAAATATCAGCATTTCAAGATCTACAAAAATTTCAGTGTATCTGCATATTATAAGAATTAAGATTAATAGACAGCACAGCTGTTAACAGTAAAGGGTGTGGGGAGTGGTATTGGAAGATTTTGCATATGTATTCTCCCCCCCCCCCCCCCCCCCCAAAAAAAAAAGGATATGGGGTATCTATCCATGACACAAAATCAGTATATGCACAGCAAAGGAACATCACTTTTATTGCTGCTCATCATCTCAAAGTCACAGTGAGGCCTTTAACAGGGAGTAAAATAACTCGCACCTCACTGCAAGTTGAAGATGGCCCCTAGCACTGGTTTGAGCAGATTTCTTTCCAAACTGACTATCATACAACAAATGTGTAAGCTTTCTAGAGCAATATTTACAGTAACCTTAGCTGTCAGGTGCTGTGCCACATGTCTACACTTTTATTGTTGTGAAATTGTAATAATTGATTTATAATAAGCTTGTTTCATTATTAAAAAGTACAGTAAAATTTTTATGAACCAAACCCTGCATAATCCAATCACCATTCTAATCTAAACAAAATCTTTTATATTGAATGGTTTAGTCTAGACAGGTTTCACTGTGTGTATCATCTAATGATATTATCACAAAGTATCATATTGTGTGACTGCCATATACCAGTACGTTCAGGGCATCATTGCAATTAACTTGGATTAGTAATATTGAGGAATTACTCATTTTTCATTTGTGTAAATGTCCTTGACCCCAAAATAAAGTTTTTCTGATTTTGACCACTCCATCAGCAGAGTAGAAGGCAGCTGCATATGAAAGCTTAACTCTGATGATGGTCAAATTATATAGAAGTATTTGCCTCAGCTGGAAAACACTTAACCATTTTACACATTTTCTGGCATCTGGTCAAATGTACTCTAATTCAAAAGTCCAGAGTTTTTTCCGTTCTTTTTTAGGATTTGAAA